GCAAATGGTTTTGTTACATTGAACACCACCTTCGTCGCGCACTGTTACCGGCTCTGGCCATCCGCTGGATTGCATCAGAACTGGAATTCCTTCAAAGAAAATAGCTGACACGGCCATAGGGGAAAGATGTAAGGTATGAGTCATGAAGAGCTGTGTATATGAAAAGGGAATTAGCTATATCAAATTAATTACTTTTAAAAAACAGGTTTGCATTTTCTGTGTCTTTAATATTTGTTTTTAATTCTTGAATGTTTAAGTTATAGATTTTCTTAATCTTGGTCTTAATGGTACTGAATAGGAATGATTGAATTGATGTCTTCAAACCATACTGTTAAAATTGCCCCTAAATCTCTTCCAAGGGAAGGTTTTGTGTTTTGGAAGCACCTATGTTTCTGCTAAAATCTCTGCTTGCTGTTTTCTTTTAGTTAACATAGTATGGCCTAGCCATTTATAGACAACCCACAACTAACCCATGGCCACAATTCAGCGCTGTTGTTTGATTTTGGGGAAGTTTTGTGTCCTAATTTCAATCTTAACAAAATACTTCTGATAAATTTGGAAGTACTGCAGGGAGGACTCTTCGTAGGATTTATCCAAACAGAGCAGGTAAAATTCTCTGTTCGTAAAACCGTGCCTGACCTGAACCTGCAATTTTCCTGGCAATGTGTTTCTCTTGGTACTGGGTAGCTCGTATTTGTGCCATTTGAGTGGGGGTTGGACTGCATCTAGTGGAGTTAAAATAATTTCCAGAAACGCTGAGGGAGGACTGAAATAACAGCAGTTACTAGAAATGAATCCCTTTCCTTGCGCTGTCCTCGGTTACAGCTTTCTGCAGTGTTTTTGGAGGCTTGACTCTGCACTGAACACGTGCTCCAAACAAAGCCAAATACTGAGGAAGCTGTAAATGCAAACCTTGTGGCTTGTACCCATGTTCTTGCTGTCTGTTCAGGAAGATCCACAGATGCAGCTGAAATCTTGAAGTGCAGATCTCCCCGTTTCTTGCAGAACTCCTTTAATGATAGCACGTGGTGCCACTGTGTGATGCAGCTTGTAGGGCTCTAGGAAAGAATTGATTGGAAAATGGGGCACAGGGCCCCCAGTGGAGCTGGCGTCAAAATATCACTGGAAAAGAGCCACGAGCATCGGTGGCAGCTACTTTGAAGACACTTTCGATGTATCTTGGCAGAACACTACCCTGAAATGTGCAGGAAGATGTGCCCAGGATTCCTAAAAACCACTTACAGTACTCAGTCTGAACCCCGGGACATTCCTGAGGAGGAAAGCCCCAAACCATGTAGCTGCTGAACCAGATAGAAGGCCCGTGTTGAAGGCCTGGTGGTAAACCAAGAGTTAAAGCCTAAGTTTGACCCCAAAATTAATACATTTAAGTGCACTTGAGTCTGTTTGGAGGGGTTGAGCAGTACCTAAAACTTGTTTTGGCTGTGATGTTTGTGCAGTGGATGGTTGGCAGAAGATGAGCTACTCGTTTGGGCAAAGCACCTTTTTTTTCTTTGGAGGATGACACAAAAAATTTCATTACAAAAGAAGAAAGAAATTTATCTCAAGATTTAGGGTAGAAGGCAGCGAAGGAGGAAAGAGAAAATGGGTAGGAGTGGAAAGAGAAATAAGAAGTGCGAGAACCACGCCAGGCCCGGGGAAATACCAGGTGAAAGAATGAAGAGATGAGGATTATTGTTTGCTTTCTGGAAAAGTCTTTTATTATTATTATTATTATTTTTTATTTCTAGCCTCCTGATGACTTTTGTGGTCCTCTGTAACACCCCCACCTCCAGGCATTCATGCTCTTCTCAGCATGCTCCCCGAGGTGCACCAAGTGCTTCAGCCGTGGCCTCGCCAGGGCTCATCTGCATGGAGGGGGTTCAATAGCAACACAGCCTCCTGCCTGCCTACTGCAAGGTCAAGCTAAAAAAATGTTTAAAAGTTTAAAGTCAAGTTAAAGAGGGGCCATTTCACCGTTTCTGTGCTTATATTTCATTTATTTTCAAAATCAGATACTGATACTGAAGTGGCCAGCATTTATTAATTCCTATAATAAATAAAATCAAGATGTATTTTGAACAATCCATCTATCATAAAGATGTTCACACTTTACTTTTTTTTTTTTTTGGCATTCACTTCTGTATTAGCTGTTGTATGTGGTGTTTTAAACTCACTCAGTGCTTTGTGCTTGTCTGTAACACAGAGCTGCTGGTGTAGTATCATGCAGTCCTTTCTGCCTTTTTTTTTTTTTTCCTGTCTTGATTGCAGCAGTAGCAGGCACCTAATTAACACAAGGTCAAAACCCTCTTATCTCAGTCTTCCCACTGTAAAGTTTAAAATAATGAGATAGAGGGAAGGAAGAGATGGTGAGAGCTCCAGGCTCAGACCTTGGAGATCGAAGCCTACATCAAAAACTTGCAGTTTTAGGACAACTGTGGCTGTTGGTCAGTTCTGGCTGAACTCAGGGATTCCAGTGGAATTTTTAAAGAAAGAAACTTCGTGTAGTGTTTTAGTTGGATGGTTCTTAAATCATGCCTGAAGATCAGATACAATTGAATTTACTATTGTTTTAATTTTAGTACAAATGAACCATTTAAATCCAAGCCAGGGAAGACAATAAAGGCACATCCTGTGAACCTGAAAGGAAGAGAAAAAATAATTTAGTTTCTCTTTTCTCATTTTGGCCTCATGGCCAGGGGTCAAATGCTTATCTGCTCTTCTTCATTCATTCGTATCTTTCCCTGCTCCCCTTATTGTCTCCCTGTCTCTGGGCCTTCCTGCCCAGACCTCTCATCTTCTTCCCATCCTGTTATCTTTCTTGCCCTACTGACTTCTCAGTCTATCTACTTTTAGACATGTTTTTCCTTTTCTTTGTGGATCTCCCACCTGGCAGCACCACCAGCACCCTCCTTCATTCAGCCCAGTGTCGTGCCTTGGCACCTCCCAGCTCCACGCGTGTTCTCCAGGCACAGGGATTCTGCACCCCAGGTCATCCACGCTATTTTGGCCGAAAAATAGGTTTGTGTGAAGGAACCATTGCCAAATAGATCTTGTGTACTCCCACGGCAGAGTGGCTCTCTCATATCAGAGGAATCACTGCATCTAAATTTGCCCAAAATAGTGCAGTTGTAGCTTTGGTTGGTTGTCCTTCATCTTACACAGCAGTCAATCTGACACGAACAGAAAAACAAATCTTTTTCTCTCTCTTTTTTCATCAGCCTATTGTAGGTCAGAGTTTTGCTCTCAATCTCTTTTCATCTCCTTCTTCTGTGCCCCCCCATCCCTCTTTAGTCACAACTTAACATTGCAAATAAGAGCATAATAAGCCACCAGCTGTATCGCTGCTTTTAATCAACCAATTCTCCCAAAATCTTGGCTAGTTTTAAGCATTTTTGCATGCTGCTTTCAACTTGTTTTTAAAGTGTACTTAATTATCCATCATTTTAAGGCAACAATTAATTCATAAAACTCCACTTTATTCTACTCTGCTAATCCAATTTATCTTACTTTATCTCTAGATAAAATCAGCAACTCGTGATTCATAACAAAACCGCGACTTAATTTCTCACTTTTATTTTTTATTTTTTTTTAGTTTTGAGGAAATCCCAGCCCATCAACATGGTTATTAACTGGAACGTCTTTAAAGGATGAATAATGAATGTATTACAATGGGCTTTCTGCAAAGTTTTGGCGACTTAGGGCACGAGCTAATTGGGCAACCGGTGCGTTTAGCTGGTGTTAGACATCGTGGTTGCTGGGAGATGTTACAACAAACCCTATGAAATGTAGGCACTGTGGAAAAAACATTCTGTTTTCGTGCTGTGGCCTTGTGGCACGGGGAATTACACGAGCTGAGCTTTGTCACCGGATCTTATGAGAAGGGAAAAATGTTCGATGTTTAGGGAGGCTCCCCAAGCAAGGCTGCTTGGGGAAGCCCATGAAGGGACAAAGATGTGCCCTGGCCAAACTGGGCCAGCACATGGTGTGATGTGACATTGTGAAGGCAGCAGCACGCCTGGAAGAGACCTCCACGAGAGGAGGCTCACTGGGAAGAGACAACATCCCAGCTGAGACCCACCAGAAGCACGTAGGTGCCGAAATAGCTGATGGCACCATGTGCTGCTTGAAGACATAGGGGCTCGTCTGCCTCGACCTTAAAACGTGCCTGCAGAGGTTGATTTGATCTGTCCTATAGCACTTGATGCTGATATGTATATATTTTATTTTATTTTTCTGCACAGCCAGGAGGTCTAGAAATTGTTTTGCTTTTGTTATGATGATTTTTTGTCTGTTTTGTAATACTGGAGATTTTCATCTGTTAACTTGACCTAGGATTTTTCAAACTGCCATCATTTATTGCAATAAAATCCTTGGAGCTGGAGCACTGCCCGGAGGGTAATGTAGAAAATCAATCGTTGCTCAACCTGGTGCTTCCTGAACCACGTTCTGTGAATTCTCCTCTTACCCTCACATACAGGGATTGCTTTGATGCTGAAGACCCCTCCTGAAGTGTTTTCATTAGCCAGGGAACTATTAATGACATTTAATTGCTTACAGCAGCAATTCTCCTGCTCTAGGATAAGAGACTGGGTGCTCACGCCTGCAACTAGTTATTTTTGTTAAACCTGAAGGCTCAGAGCAACTGTGGTGGTACTCAAGGAGAAGAGGAGTTCAAAACCCTTCAATTGCTCCAGTATTCTCCACGCCAGTCTTAAGAGATGCTAACACTTGTTAAAAAAACAACCTGTGGCCCAAGGAGGGAGGCCGTAGTAGATGCTTCCCATTGGAGCAGAGAGGGCAAAGCCAAGAGGCTGAGGATACAGCTTGTAGAGGTTGCAAGCAGAGTTGTATGACTGGGTTGTTTCTGCTACCAAGCTTCTGGACTTGATTTCCAATGAGGTCCCATGCTGCTCTCTGCCTTGTACGCCTGTGTCATGCTAAATAGATCCAGATGATGACTGAACTAATGTTTCTTTTTTTTGTGTGTGTGTTTGTTTCAGAAACTGAAATTCCACAGAGTAACGCCGATGACAGTACTTCTGTATCAACGTTAACCTCTGGTAAGAGTCCAAATTCTCTGTTATCTGGTGTTCTGAAGGTCCCATTGCCTCTCTAGCTTTCATCTTTTCCAGCTGCTGGGACAAATCAGGCAGATTGTTTCCTCTGCGGTGATTGCAGAGCAGTGTATTTCCATGGGGCTCTTACATAAGCCTGTTGAGAAGAAAGAAGGATTTAGGAATCTTAGCAAGGAGGTGGTTAACTGGGGCAGGTTGTATTTCTTTTTTTTTTTCTTTTCTCAGATAAAAAAGGCTTTAATTCTGTGAGTCTGTATGCTTAGGGAGTGGTTAAAACATGATCAGACATTAGTAAAAGATAATATATGTGCATAAAGCTGTCACTTCCAGAAAAAGTTATCGGTAACTTCTTGAAACTATTAATGTCAAGGTTGATGTTTTGGGGTGAGGCAGTGGAACCAGTGCCCTCAGTTTCAAAAGACTGACTCTCTTGTGATTTTTTTTTTTAACTAGATCAACCATAAAGTCCTAAAGCTATGAATTAACAGAGAAAAAACTGGTTCAGAAGGTGAAGCCTGGCTTAACATCTTCAACTACCGCATTAAATTCTCTTTACTCTGTAGTTATGAAAGTTAACTGCTGACTACGTTGCATTCATGTGGGCCAAATACCAACTCTTTCATAAGTTCAGCTGTCAAAGATTGCTGTGTTGAAAGTGATGCACATGAGGAAGAAAAGTTGGAAATGGGACTACGTTTCTTGCTAACTAAACATGCAAAATAATCTGTTTTGGAGCTGAGAGTACTGCTATAATCAAGATGAATATACTCAAAGTGCTAGTAATGGAAGTGAGTAAGGTGCAGCCAGAGGAATTGTGAATGTTATGTTCATTACACGAATTAGTCCTGCTCAAATTGTGCTGTAGTTCTTTCATGTTTCTAAAACCCTGATGTTTGTGCCTGTTCTAAAAACATTTAATAAACGCCCAACACCTCTCGGTGAATGAGCTCTTCAAACATTTCACTGAAATTTCTCCTACAGCTTTTTGCCACAGAGGAGAAAGCAGTAATGCTATTTATGCCTACGGGAAAAGCATCAGAAGCCCACTGTGAGGGCACCTCTGTGTCCCTCCCACAGGGGTTGGCTGGTGGGCACCACTGCTGATTGTGTGGGCACGGGCCAAACCCCCCCTCTGACCCAAACCAAGTGTGCTCTGAGCCCTCCTGAAACACTCAGGGGTGAGAAAGGTCTCTGAGGGCCAGACCCCAAAGATAAACTGACTGCCTTTGTGAGAGTCAACAGCTAGAGGTATGCGATGCTTATTTAAATGTGATAAAATAAATCAATAAAAATGCTTCTCTTGCAGTGCCGAAAACTGTGTCCACGTCCTCTTCACAAGTGACATCACTGCAATCGTCAGCGCCAACAGCAAACACTGCAGCCAAAGCTATGACCTCGTCTGTCATAACTGGTGAGTGACAATTGCTTTGTGCTAATTGCTGAGGCTGTTCCAGAGGTCAATCAAGGGACTGAGCAGCAGTGCCTCATGGCCTGGGGACTTATTTACACATAGTCACTTCTTTGGCGAAGCCTTGAGAACCATCAGGCTCCAGGAAGCTCCAAGCCTTGTCTCGTAATTGCGTTATCGCAGATTTATGTTCAGGGGGGTTTTCCCTTAGAGGGAAGGGAGCCCTGTCCCCATTGATCTTCAATTTAAATTCAGTATTTAAAGCTAGACTGCAGGCAAGGCAGGATGTGTGTTTTGTGTGTTTGTGCATGTGTGTGTATTAAAAAAAAAAAAAAGCAACAAACAAACAAAAAACTGAGGAACTATTTTGAATGTCCTTCCTTTCGTAGGCTCCATGCCTTCTTCAACTACAGCTAAACAAGGAACAACAAAAGGTACAACAGTGACAACAGTGCAGCAGACTATAGCACCAACCCTTGCAGCAAGAAATGAAGTTGAAAACACAACAAGCAGTAAGTGATGGTTTCACAGAGCCATTTCTGATTCATCATACGCTACGTTTCTGTAAAAGTGTGGGGTGATAAAAAAAAAAAAAAAAAGAGATCACAAACAAGTAACTTGTGTAATGGGTTTGGATCTTTGGAGAGGTAGAGCTCTTCATCCTGCCCACGGATTGCATATCCTAATGAATCTTTCCCCAGAATCTTATACCTTTAATTTGTGGTGGAGATGATCTGAAACTATTACACAAGATTTAAATCTCCCTGTACTTGGGAGAGATGTGCTTGGAAGGGTTTGCAGTTTTATTTATTTTTTATTTTTTTTAAATAAGTTATTTCATCAAAAATAAATGATTTGATGTGATTGGTAGTGTCAGAACAGCCCCTCAGTTTTTTATTTTATATATGTGTATTCAGCGTTACAAATAAGTCTGCTCTGTATTATTATGAGTCATCATACTGAAGGCAGCGAGGTGTTACTAATTACCCTGCATCAATCTTCCCCATAAATCTTTAGAATAACGTGTGTGTTGAGCCAGTACATCACGTAGGGTTCTAGGGAAGGGGGAAAAAAAAAGAAAAAAGAAATCCTCTGCATCCAGCGAGTAGCTGGAATAATTTAAGCAAATATAATAACATGCAAAAGGAGCTCAGTAAAAAATAAACTGAAATTGAATCTCCCTTTTTTGTCTGTGAACTACACTGTAAATGTTTGCTCAAGCCTTTTGCTGAACCAGAGCTTTGAAATACTCCATTTTTTGTATTTAATTGAATCAAGCTAAATTTAAAAATAATTACAGAAAGTATTTAACTCAGCAGTCAGTGATACAGTGATGTTCTCCTAGCTGATGTTTAGAGCAGAGTGAAGCCTGTGACAACTGTTTAAACCTTTGCTTCTCTTCCTGGGGTTGCCTCCTGGTGCCACTCTGGCCCAGACACTGCTCTGAACCCCCAAAAAAATCCCAAAGCAGGCCATATTGCAACCCTCCCCTGAATAGTGTAAGAAAGAAAAGGTTTTCCTGTGGGTAGAATAGGCCACCATGAAAATACACGGGTGTCTGGAGCACCAACACTTCTTCTCTGTTCCTCTCCTCTTCTCTTTCCAGCAGCTAGCCTTCAGTCTCCAGCGTCTTGGATTGAATTGTTTTGAAAACTCCCCATGTAACCAAAATAATAATTAAAACAAAACAACAAAAAAAAAAAAACAAACCTTGAAGCTTGCAACAAAAATAGTTAATGGACCTAAAAGCAAGGCCTACTTGATTCTAACTCCCCTTAAGTAAACAGGAAAATTAAAGACACTGATTAAAACACCTCCTCACAGCAGGACTGGGGAGTTGCTCTCCCTGGAAAGAGCAAGATTTTGCTGTTAAAAATGGGTAGAATGTAAAATTTGGCTGCTATCTCCTTTTTTTTTGTTGTTGTTGTTATTGTGGTGTTTTTTTTTTTTCATTGTGTTATTATTTAGCAGTCAGCTTTCCCCCCCTTTTTTATTGGCCTCAGAGAACTGAGGCAGGAATTGATGGTGCCTCTAAGAAATTTCAGATTTTCCTTTTGCTGCACCTGGTTGCTAATAAAAAACAAGCATCTCTGGTGTTCTGTAATGCAGGCCATCACTTTATCTACTTCAATCCTGGCTAAAAGCTTCAGCAAATGATTGCATCCTCACAGCAGGGGTTTGACAGGGCTTCCTGTTCCTGCTGCAATTTCTGTGGCTGTCACCTTCCATTGCAGGTTTGGAGAAATTCCTCAGTGCTCCATAAACTGTGAAGTCATGCACAGGAGTTTGTCTTTTATTCTTTTGCTTAAGTCTTCAGTATTTTTTCCTCTGCAGGACATAAATACAATCTCCCCTCTTTCTTTCCATGCCCTCTTACCTTGTGTGTTATATCGGAAGCCAACAATTAGACTTGCCTCCTTAGTTTTCTAGTACGAGGGGTCAAATCCAACAGTTCACATTTAGTCAAAAGAGTGACCTCACTTGTTGTCGCGTTAAAGGGGTGTAGCTGATTAACCGTTACGGGCCCAGTTGGATTCAGAGCACTGAACCAGTCGGACATTCACCAAAACTGGGGGTCCGTTCGGACATTCACCAAAAACGTAATAACCACCTGGGGGTCCGCTCAGACATTCACCAAAAACGTATTAACCACCTGGGGGTCCGTTCAGACATTCACCAACAATGCATTAACCGTCTGGGGGTCTGGTTAGATTCAGAACACTGAACTATCACGGATAACCACCCTCACCCTAGTTGCATTAATGAGAGCTATCACAATGCAATCAAGTATGGTTTATTACAGCAACAGATAATCAGGTTCTTTTGGATTGACGGTGATAGTGACTATCTGCAAAAGCAAGCTAGTATGCATGAAATACACAGGTGTTACAGGGGTTCTAGGTGTGGGTTCTAGGTGTGGGTTCTAGGTGTGGGTTCTAGGTGTGGGTTCTAGGTGTGGGTTCTACAGGGGTGTTGTAGGTGTTGTAGGTGCGCAGCCTAGAAATAAACGCGTTAAAAGGATCAAAGACTCTATAGAGATTTATAAGCAAATATTCAGATCTCACCCAAAGGCGTCCCAATGGGGGGGGAAGAGACGCTCAGCCCGTCGACTGATCCCAGGAGTCAGGAGGTCCTAAGGATGTTGTATGTCCTTGGGATGGTATCTCCCCTGACGATGGTATCTTCCCTAACATCCCCTCTCTCTTGGGCCAATTTATATTATTTTCTATCTTTTAGGTGGAGCTTGAGTGGCTCTAGTCAAGCATATCTTAGTTATGATTGGTGTAAAGTTTTCCCGTCTCCGTTTAAAGTAATAGGCTCCGAGAAATTCAGAGCGCATGCTCAGTGAGGGGTGGTCGCACCTTGGAGGCGGGTAGCTTTTGGGATGGAGGTGTGTTTTGGTATTATAATGATATTATAATGAGCAAAAAGTACACTAGGGTACAGCATTTGTCAAAACATGACAGGTCTTTGGCTTAGGGTGGCAAAAAGTGCAGCTTTGTGCACAAGAACAATCGAGGCCCCACCTGATTACAGAGCCTAGCCGTGGTGTCTCCACTCCACTCTCCGCTCCGTGGTGTTCCTTAGAGCTAGCACACCAAGTTTCCCCAGCGCGATAGCATCTAAGGTTGGGAGCCTAGGGAATGCTCACATAATGCAGTTATGCCCTACCCTGAAAGCCTCTTCAATGCTGTACCTTTTCCTTAAAAGTGTGAATGTTAGTTTTATTTTCCTAGTTACTTCAGGCATTTACACCACACTTGTGCAGCCCAGGCTCAAACCAGGAATTTTAAGTGGTGTCACACTACATCAAGTCACACCTGCATGCAGGATTTCACGTCCTGGGACACTGGCTCTGTCGAAGAGAATATGAAATGAAAGGCAACACAGGATTGTGTTCTTCCTTCCCTGGCCGTGGAGCAAGTGTTGTGGGCAAGGGCAGCACTCAAGTTATTAAATTACGAAGTCAGAGTGGGTTTTTGGCTGTTGTGTTTCTGATTTATCTCATGTCACTCTCCTGGAGGATGATACATCACACTGCAATGAAATAGGAAACGTTAAAAAGAGAGGAAAGGAATGAATGGAAGGAAGACTCTTTCTCTTCGTCATATCAAACTGCTGGTAATTGAGAGGGAAGCTTTACGAGGAGGGATAAGCCAACAACATGTTGCTTGGCTGTCCTCAGGTCCCCACCGCGTGCTGCAGGTGCTCTCTGTATATCTAAGACACGTGGTGTAGTTGGCTGCGGGGATGTGATCGTCAGAGGGGGGAAGGTTTCCTTTGGAATTCGTGCTCTGCAATTTTTCAACACTTCCATTAATGCAGTCACCAATGCAAGCGGTTTCTCAGGCCGCTGATTTCAGGCAGAGACTTGCATGTGAGTTTATTTTCAAGACGTGAGCTCTAGGGGAAGGTTCAGCCTTCCCACATTTAGCAACGTGGCTTGTAATGTGGTCGGTGTGCCCTGTAAAGGTGTATCCTGGGCTCACTGACTGGCTGAGTGGTGCTCGTACACACGTGCAGATGGCTGCACTCTCTGTGCTGCCCGTCTGCTGCTTGTTGGAAGCATCACATGATGCCAAAGCTTGTTAGGCAGCAGCCTGCTGCAAGGAGGATTTAGAGCACTGTTGGGAGATGCTGAAATGCTCGTGGATTATATGTAGGTTAAGCAGAAAATCCTGCTAAGATCAAGTGAGGATGCGCGTCAAATTTCAGTTGGTTAGAGAAAAGGAAGGGCTCTGGGAGGACAAAAGCAGGGCAGTAGCTGAGGCTCAGGCAGCAGCTGAATCACTGAGGATCACTGATGTTCTAGCTTGCTTCTCACCCTCCCCTGCAAGCTTTTACTGGCTTGCCCTTATGATAAGGGAGCCACAGGACAGTGGCTCTTAAAAGCCCATGTGTCAAAGAAAGAGGTAGGCTCTTTGTGTTCTGGTTGTTATTTTTTGTTGCTGTTGTTGTTTTAAATTGGTTTTAGATTAAAACTCCACGTTTAAAACTGGAGTCTGCAGCCACCACAACAAGAACCAGAAGTGGATATAGGTTGCTAGAGGTTCATTCATCACTTCTTCAATGAGAATGAGGAAACGATTCAGGCTGGTAGATCTTTCCTTTACACCGTGGTCAAAAATGGTGTACAAGTTGTGTTTTTCACTAATTTCTGCTGCTGATTAGACTTACATACTGAAGGTGCTCAGTGCTGAGGTTTCTGAAGGGAGCTGACAGAGGAAATTATGCCTCTCCTCACTAGAATGCCAGCAAAACTTTTAGATATTTAAGCTTGTTCTGCATGAAATTCATTAGTTTCCTTCCCTTCCCAATTCCCAAATTTGCACTGAACCCCCAGGCTCCTGTGGCTTCAGCTCACTCTTCCTCAGCACGTTGATCTTTGAAGCCTGCCTCTCCAAGCTATTGCACTTGCTGAACAAAAGGGGAAGGGAAGGGGTGAGTTAAAGCCGTATGGTGCTAGGAAAGGGAGCTTTGGGTGTTGGTTTTGTTTTCCCTGAGTAAAGGGCTCTCTGGGAATGCCTGGTTCTGGTCCTGCTGTGTGCCATGCAGGCTCACCCTGGACTGTGAGTCTCATGATGCGGATGGCCTCGATCCTCTGTTGACTCCACGAGAGCAGCAATAAGGCTCTTCAATTTTTCATATGTTCATTTTCGTGGCTATGTTATTTCCCAGAACTTAACAGCACAGGATGAAGTAATTAACTCTGCACTTAATTGCAATACCTAAAACTTTCCCAAATATCCCATTATGTGACTGTTGCAGCTAAAGCTTTATTTATTTATTTTGTTATTAACTATTTTTTTTAAATGAAGGTAAGAGAGAGATGGCAGTAAGCCATCTTCTGCTCATGTTGCCATGACTGCCCTGGGCTCCCTGGCCAGTGCTCTCAGCTGTCTTCTGGCACAGGCTGTGTTGGACGTGAAGGATGTGCTTTAAAGATGCCCCAGCTGTGCCAGGAGTAACAACCCCATAGGGATTGCTTGCTGTTTGAATGCATTGTGCTTTCTGACCTGAGATCTGTGATGGAGAGTGCATTTGTCTGCAGAATGGCCGGGGATCTAAGGCAGCACTTCTCCTGCTGTACCTTACCCAAATGTTTGTCTTGTTTCCAGCTGCTCCAGTGAATGGAACGCAACTTGTTCAAGTGAATGGAACGCACGCGACACAAAATGAGAGTGTGGGTGCTCCATCTACTAAGAGATGGCCTTTGCCTCCAACAACCTCTCCACAAAAACACACTTCTTCTGAAACCTCAAGTAAGTCTTGAAAATATACACTCCATTTTCCTATGCAACGTGTTCAAAAGATCTTGAATCTCTCCTTCATTTGTTGTTCGTTGTCCCAGAATGAGGGCCACCTCCTTATTCATGCAGGGTACAAAGTGTTCGTGCCATCCAACGATGAAGTTCTGATAAGTGATGAGCGAACTTCAAAAGATTCGGTTAGAAAACTCAATGTCATTACAGGAGGATATAAATTAAGATAATAGAAATCTTTATATATGCTGTATGTGGTCATTGTGTAGCACTGACTGCCAGAGGAGGTCACCGAGATAAATTCTCTGGCTGCAAAGCAAAGGAGCAAACAGCTATAATTTTTACAATTGTTAATAAATCTAGAGGGCAAGCTAAGGCATACCACCAATTAAATGGCATTGTTCAAAGTACAACATGGTCACACGCAAGGTCAAAAAGATATCAATCCTTCCCAATGCCTGGCTAGCTATAATGTTTTTCAGGGTGTGTTTTGGTGTATTTAACCACTAAGCAACTCTGTGGCGAACGTAGATGCTGGGTTGTGAGAGTGATCATTTATTATGTGTCCACCACACATAATAAATTTCCCAGATTTTGAAGAATCATATACTTAGGTTTTCTTAAAGTTCCCTGAGCTTTCACTCAATACTATGTAAGCCTAATAGGGACACTGACTTTGTTTGCATTTCCCTATTAATATTAATGTTTAACATTTCTAGAGGAATAAGACTCTTTGCAGCACCCTGGATTATGTTTGTAGGAGATAACTGTGAGTGCTCAATAATGTTTTTTTGTGCTACAACAGCATGGTGAACGGGATTCTTCTTATGGAGGGTGGGGCTGGATATCAAAGTGTAGTAATATCATATCCTCAGTACATGCTGAAATGCTTAAAAGCATGCGGAAAGATATAATAATAAGCATTTTAGGGAAGTTGGGATTTTCTCATTTTTAAGTCACGGCCACTGATCTAGAGAGGAATCTCTCATTATTTTAATAAGCTTACGCCCCATAATGCATACAGTGTGAGCTGTGGTTACTTGACTGTCCTGTCACATTTTGTGTCTTTTGGCAGACACGTGTACAGTGGGGAAACCTTACCATTGGCACCCTGCAACAAACCAAGAAATTGCAATGCTTTTAGAGAAAGGTTCTCACAGGGAAATTCTCCAGGTTAAAATGAAATCATAATGCATATACGGCCGTGGATCCTATGCATTGAATTACCTGTTACATTAGTTGTGCAATTACACTTTATGCTTAAACCTTGCCCTGAAAGGTTTACATTTTTCCTTGGGTCTGTTTGTGAAAATCATCATCTTACTCAGCTCACTCTGCTGGAAAGCCAATAAATCTTCTTTAGCTCAGGGACTACCCAAGGTGCCAGGGCTGTAATTGCCTGGCTGAGGAAGAAAGGGCCCATCTGTCCTGGGGGATTCAGCCTCGCTCCTTGGCATAGCCGCTGCTTCGAGTTCCCATAAAACTGCCCTGTCAAAATCATTTCCTCCCTCACCAGGGCTTCATCCTTGCACCTTCCCTGCCTCCTCCCAGGACCAGCTCCTTGCTGCTTTCTTCCAGCTTAAATACACAAAAAAATCCCATTACTCACCCTGCTGAGTTAGGTAGCTCATCCCTAATGGGTGCACCCTTACGACACCCTTACTCCCTGATCCACGTGCTCAGGGCTGAGGGAAGCCACAGGCTGCACCCTAGTTACTTTTAAGCCATCAAAAACATTGGACTCCTTCTTTTCAACACTGAAATTTCATCTTCCATGGGGGCCTTCCATAGGGTCTGGATGCCTTTTGTTCGCCAGAGCAGAGGCTGGTTGGTACACGCGGTGTGGCTCATGCTGCAGCCCACAGGGGATCACAGAGCTAAAAAGCTGAAGGCACCCAAGCCACAGCTTCTGTGTGGGCAGACAAATTAATGTGAAATTCATCCAGAACAGAACGTTTCTGTTTGGTGTGCTAAACCAAAATAATTCAGATGGCTAATCTCAATCCAAAACAATATGCTTAGTTTTGAGACCATTTCCCATTTAAAAAAAAAAAAGCCATTTTTTTTGTGAAAAACTCTTGCTGCAGGAAAAGAGGAAAAAAAAAAAAGAAACATTTTGAAGAGAAATTTCCAATCAGCCATATCAAAAGATCAGGGTGTGGGAGGAGTGCCACAGAGAGCTGGAGAGCAACTGAAAGGAGTGTGGGGGGGAGCCTGGGAAGGAGCTTGGAGAAACATCAGAGAGCAGCAGCGCTGTGTTGAGGAGGCTCGCAGCCAGCAGCTGCAGAGGAGGGGCTGCGTGGTGCTCACCCAGGCTAGCGGAGGGAATAGGGGCTGTTTTTAGCAAAGAGAGCAACCGGCATGCGTGCCACTGACACATACGTCTTCAACTTTGGCTGTCATGTATAATACGCCTCCTGCTCCACCTCCGCAAAGGATCGCTGGCTAATATTTAATTTTTTCTCCTTCTGTTTAATTGATGAAGAACCAGAGATTTCATGGATCAGTCTAAATACCTCAGAGAAAGTGCAGGTATTGTAGCTCTTTATTCTCTGACCTGAACAACAAGAATCCAGGAGGCAGCATGAGCTGAAATCCATCCAGCAGGCTGGTGAGATCAAATGACCTGCTGCAATAAGCTGGCAGGTGAATCAACCTGCTGCACCTGATGATGCCTTTATTGCACTCCTCAAATTGCAAGTCCTACTCACTTGATTCACAGGAGGAATCTTCCTAAGAAAAATTGCTAGGAGTAAGACGGGGAGGGTATGACTCTTGCCATGTACAAACTGTATAGGAACACTGGATAGTGATATTAAGTAAAAATTGCCCTTCAGCTTCTTCACAGAGAGAGAGAGACAGAAATTGAAGCACTGGGGAGATGGAAAATACCGTGAAGCCTCGGTTAACACAATTGTAGAACCACAGCACAGTCATGGCAAGGAGGGTTTTTTTTAGGGTTCTTAATTTCGCTGTGATTTATCTCGTGGTATCCCCTCTGAGTAATCAGCCAAATTTATTCGCTTGTTTTGCCAGCGAGCACAGTTCCACGTGGCTGCCCTCCAAAACCAGAAGCAGCAAGCCGCGGGGTGTCCCGGCTGTTCAGGTAGCGGAGGTTTGGGAGAGGTGAGCTCTCGGGGCCTCTCTCCATCTGCCAGGCTCCTCACCAGCGCTGCCTTGACTTGGGCAGGTATTGTCAGCTCACCTGGGCGTACACCAGGCTCTTTATCCTTGCCTTCTGTCTGTGCAGCCAGCGCTGTACGCCTCGAGATCCTCGTGATGGATCTGGAAATCTTCCTGGATTATCTATGCTGAGCATCTGCCCCCCAGCTCACAGCCCCAGGGGACGTGGTAGGGGCCAAACAGAGAGCCAGAACAACACAATAAAGGTGTTAGCAAGCAGAAGGCCACCTGCCTTTCTGCCCTCTTTCCCCACCACCAGAAAGGGTGCTGTGGATGGTTATGTGGGAAATGCAAGCTGCAAGCACCTGCTGAACAGCTCCAAAGAGCACAGCTGCGTTTAGGTGGCTGGGCTGAGCAATCTGAGCAGAGGAGAGCTGGCACCTGGCTTGCTTACTGGAGACCAGGGGTGAGAGAAGGGTGTGTGGCTTTCTTTCACTGGCCATTTGATTTTTCACACTCCAGCAGAACCCCAGTGAGATCTCTTTTATCATTTATCTCCATAAACACACACATGGCTTTGCATTTGCTTGTTCAACCATTGCTGTGTGCTCACGTGGCACTTGTGCCACTCACAATAAGAAAGGCAGGATTCAGGTAAAAAGAAATCCTGTCACATTTGGATGTTCCCTGAATGCCAGGTGGGTGTCCTGCTGCTTTCTGTGCTTTTCACCGTTCTTTGACAGGAGAGTTGTGAACTTCCTGAGCGCTTTTCCTTGGCTCATGTCATTAATGCTGCCCAAACGTGCCATAAACATCAGCTAATGAGTCGTCACAGAGATCCTCTCTGAGCAAGGTGACGCTGCTTTGCAGCCGGCTGGATGAGATGGTAAATAGCTTAGGAAAAACATCTCCTCTGCGTTTTGGGAAGCCAGTATGAAATAACTGTGTACCCTCAGAGTACTTAGCATGGCTAATATTTAATATGTTCAAGAGCAGCTCTTGCTGCTGACTTTCAAGTACTTGCCTTGTCAGCCTGAACATGCTTTTCACGCCCGTTTGTGATTAAAACGTCGTTAAAGCTCCGTCACGTAGATCACTGGCAAAAGTGGCTGTTTGCACGCCAGCGGCTCAAGTGATCCGTGCTTTTAATTGCTTGTAGAGAGGAGGGGAAACAACAGCAGCTGTTCCTGTTCCCAAAACAGCTCTCACGGCAGTAGGACAATGCGTTTAACTCTGCTGCAGCTTCTCGTGCAGGAGCTGTCCTGACCAAGCACAGAAAGCACCATGGTGGGTCACGGCCTCCTGAGGAGCTCTCAGGTCAGGGCCAGATGAGCCCTGCTCTTCATGGACACCACAGGAGAAGCCAGCCCTGTATGGACCCAGGGGAAGGTTTTTTATGGTGCCATCCATCCTGGAGGAAGCTGACCAGAAGCTTTACACCTCAAAATAAGGAGGCAGTGCTGAGGATGTAGCACGAAGATTCACGAAGATTAATTTTTGAGAGGTTTTGTGGCACTTGAAGACGTGTCTCAATTAGGCGCTTGAGTTTCTTTTATTACCATACTTAGTTGTCAGCTGAACGCCAGCTATTTGCCCCAGGGCAATTGCTTGTTTTTGGCAGGCAGATTTTTATTCATTTATTTATCTTTCTGTGTACCAGTTACTTCAGGATTTTCTGCCCTGCCCCATCCTGGGGACAGTTTCTTGCGCAGTTACTGAGCCCGTTTCTGGAGTCTTAAGACCCCCCTTGCTTTCCCCTCCAGTAAGCAAGGACCTCTAGCCCTAAACCAGTTCCTAACAACCCTGCTCTTCTGTTTTATTGCAGGCCTTCACATGATCACCCTGACAGAGCCATCAAGTAAGAGCAATGGCCAAGCTTGCTCTTTGCATGCTGGCTGAAGGGCTGGGGTGGGGTGGTGAGGGGCAGCCTGGAGAGGGGAAATATTTGGGGGAAGAAGGGGCTGGTGGGGGTAGAATGGACCTGATGCGTGGTATGGAGAAGCAGGTAAGCAATGCTCAAGTCATGGCAACAAGTAACTTTGCTGTGAACACAGCTGAATGCCCATGGGACCAGGAGATGCTGCAAAGCAAACAGGGTGGGAGCGTACCGCGTGATGCCATGGGCAGCTGATACCAAAATAGTGCTCACCAAGGAGCTAGTCCTTGTCAGCGGCTCCCCTGCCTCGTCCTGTGGTTGGAAGCAGCAGGTCCTGGGCTAAGTCAAGGTCTTCCTGTGCTAGTGAACCAGTATTGTCTTATTTCCCTTCCTCTGGGCTTGTCAGGAAGCAGTGGCTTCTGTGCAGCTCGCTGCAGCCCTTGTGTCTGCCACCAGCAGCCTGTTCCTCGTGTCACCACAAGGTCTATTGCTCCAATTAATTGTTATCTGGATCCCAGATCATTCCCTAGCTGGAAAAGCGTCTTCCAGATCCAATTTTCAGATCCAGAGAAAGCAGACAGGATGGGCTGGCTTGTGAGAAAACTTCAGTGGATAACTGAGTTGATGTTTTTAATTCCTCAATCCATTTCACTCCTTCAGCAGTGCTTCTTTTCAGCTCTTGGGTTTCTCATTGATGGTTTCACGTAGTTAAAACACTAACCTGTGGATTTGTTTTTCCTGCATTATTCTCATCTTGGCCATTTAATAGACAGCTAGGGAGATAACCAGTGCATTTGAATCCTCAGCTTTATTCTCCTGGGGAGACACTGCACAGGTGTAGAGATTCACATTTTTCAGAGCAATTTGTTTCTGTTGACATTTTTGGCCAGTACGCAGGATAAGTCATTGCTCTGATAATTGTCTGCCTTCCCTTTGTATCCTGTATTCGATCAGGGAAGGCAGAGAAAAGGGCAGTAGTATTTCTTTGAAAAATACAAAGCGATCACATGGACATGGAGTCATGAATTCATGAGAATTATTTCAGTCACGTTGTGATGGCTCACGGTTTCCACCCTCACGTTGTCGCCCCTCAGCAGACAGGCACCATGGAAGAGAGAACTTTACAGAGACATGGTGATTTTTCAGGGGCAGGGGTCACAAGCAGTGATGGTTTCAATGCTTGGATGCATCCGATGCTGTGGTTGCATTGAGCAGGCCCCACCCAGTAAGTAGTACGTGAACGTTTCTCCCTGTGAGGCCAGTCTTTGGCTGAATGAACAAAACAAAAACAAAACAAAACAAAAAAAAAAGGAAAGGAAACAGAAGCTAAACAACTTGTCCAAAATTCACACAGCTTTGCAAAAGCAGAACAAATTGAGAACACAGCTCTCAAAACCTTTCCCTTTGCACAAGCACACAGTGTTTTAAGTAGGACCATGTGGCTTCTCGTTATCTGGAAAACCAGTAAGCTGGCATAGCTGGGGGAGAAGCTGGCCCCTGGCTTTTCTCTGCTTTGCTTCTTTTGCAGCAGGAGACAACGTACTCTTACACAGCAGAGCTGAGCAGGATGTTGTGAGAATGGGAATAGGGGCAAAACGAGAATAATGGAGAAAAAACAATCACCAAAATATTTTTCAGGACATCCCTGCGGGTGCAAGGGGTGTAAACGTGTACTGGAGCAGTGGGTCAGAGCCTCCCTGCCTGCTGCTGTGCTATTGCAGCTTGTACACAGAGCTCTACCTCTGCTGGTACCTCTGCTGGTACTCCTGCTCAGCAGGCCTTCTGCCTTTACCTCCTAAAAGTGAAAATGTTAGCGAGAAAGCAGATGATCCCAGAAAAAATGGCTGTACAGGAGCAAGTGCAAAGCACGCGTTTCTCTTAGGCCACAGCAGAAAAGCTTTCCCCACCCCTTGTGCCAGATTTTTCAGGTGTTAACTGAGGACGCCTATATCCACGGAGCGCACCATGGCTCCAGAACTGGGGACTCCAAAGTTGCTTAGGGAAGGTTATTTTGGGGAGGCTGAGAAGAGTAAATTTTTGGGGAAGTGCTGACACTTATATGTTGACCTGAAAACAATATTTCTTTTGCACATCCAGATGTTGTCGTCACCGAAAGCAGTCCTGGAAACAAGAAAATACAAGAGGATACGATCCATTACTCCAGTGAGTATTGCTACTTCGTTGTCTGTCTTCTGAGTTTTCAGTAGATCAGCATGGTTTTAGATGAGCGACTGGAGTAGCAGAGAAGTAAAACTGGCAACATGATTTCTGTCCATACCAGGCTGTGCGCCCTCTTACAAACCCAATTTAACTGCATGTTATTAACCTCATCCCAAAGAGAAAGAGAACTTGGCAGGTTGACGCTTCTCTCACTGGAGAGTGGTGCAATTATTCCCAAGGACTGAAGTCAAAGTGATAAAATAGAGAGAGAAAAAAAAAAGTGAACAGAGTCATCCCCTGTGAGAGGAGACAAAAGGAAACACGTGAAAATGTCATTCACATACCAGTATGAATACTTATTACACAAATTGCCCATTTTGTCACGGGAGGGTGGGTGGAAAGAGAAGGACTGGAAGTCCTCTGCAAAGTCCTCAAGCACTCAGTATTTACATGGTGCACGTCACTTAATGTTTTATTTTACAGTTATGTACCTCTGGGGCAAGAGTGTTACTGCAGATCCGATATTTCCTACCAAAAGCACTGGCTCAGCAAAATACGTTTGATGTTTTTCTACTCTGAACTTGTCTCCAGGTTCTCCCTCTGGTTCCAGAGACACTCTTCTGTGTGAATGTTAAATATTAATTGCATCAAGAGCCAGTGTAGGTGCCACTTCAAAACAGGGGGCCAGCAGGAGGGATGGTGCTAAGGCTTTGCAGCTTCCCCAGCATGGGGCGGAGGCCACCAGGCTAAATACAAACGTGGTCGATGGCTGCCAGGAAAAAAAAAAAAAAAGACAAATGGGGAGAAACTGGGCTTTGATATTTCCCCAGGAAAGCTTCTCTTCATGACATAATTCTTTCCTTTTTGCTTCTTGGCTGGGAAACACCTGTCAGGAAATGGCAGATGGTGGGAAATAATAAAAGGGAAGAAATGTCCTCATTTGAAAAGGAGATCTTGCATTTTCTCTCCCTGGTTGTGAGTGCTGTGGGGAATGTTGCTGAATTATGTAACTCCTTGGTGTCTTTCTGGGCGCACGATGCTAAAAGAGAAATAATAGCTTTAGTCGCTGAATTTCAGATCAGTCTTGCTTTCCAAAACAAAAAAAGAACACCAAAAACCTCTGCGTGCATCCAAAAATTGTTCCTGCAGCAGGGCAGTTTCACAAAAACCTTTGGGGGTGATCAACACCGGGGGTGAACCCTGCGGATGTAGATCAGGGTGACTGGTCCCACCAGGGCAGATGGTGAACCCTCACTCTCCTACCTGGAGCCCACCCAAACCCTCCCCTGGGTGAAACCAGCACCCTGGGGTGTGGAGTGGATGCTGGGGGTGGGCCGAGAAAATCAGTGGGGTTTGGTGAAGGGGATGCGGCAGGAGGTGCTGGTGGTACCTCTCACTCAGGTGCACAAACGCCAGGGCAGAGGCGAGCAGCAAAATGATGTTCTCCTTCTTTTGCAGGCGTTATCTTGCCAGTCGTCATCACGTTGATAGTCATCACCCTCACTGTCTTCTCTCTGGTGGCTTTGTACAGAATCTGCCACAAGAAAACTCCAGGTATTTGGTTTGCTTTCTCTCAGCAGTAGGAGGAGAAAAAAAAAAAAAAAGCAGTATGCTTCGAATTACTCTAAGATCTCTGGGGGCTTTTTAGATTACTGTAACCATAGATGCTGCAGCAGTCTGACAGGAAATCTTGTATTTCAAAGTATTTTGCCTAAAGTGGGAAAGTAGCACTTTATTTTCAAAATCACTAGGAATAACAGAGGGAGCAAAAATGTCTGTGATTTTCTGGAGAATATATAATGCTGTAAAGCTTTTTGTTCGGCCCTTTGCAGCTGCGAAGAGCTAACAAACAGCTGTGCTAACACAATCAGTCAATCAGGTAGAGAAAGAGGGTGAAAATAAGTTTGGAGATATGTTCAGCAAAATCACCTTATGTTCATTTTATCTCTGTTGCAAATACAGGCAAAGAAACATCAATGCTTTCTTTTAGGAAATACCTGATATACAAGTATAATTTTTTAGTTACAGTACATGCATGGGTACAAAATTGCTGAGCAAGCAGTGCTTTCAGAAATAGTCATTTTTGACAGATAGCTAAAACCAGCACAGGCTTTGCTGCTGTCCATGAAACGTTGAAGGTAATGGGGACATAATCCCATTAAATTCCAGTTGCCAAGTTTTTCAAATTGTTGCCAGAGTGGGCCACAGGAGAGTGCAATTTGCTATTAAGTGGGGGGAAAAAATAAAGAAGAAAAAAAGGCAAGCATGTCTGAATTCAGGCTGTGAGCTGGCATGAGTTAGGAGATCTGTGCAGAGCCTCAACAGTGAAATCACTGGGGCCTGGAAATACAAAATCACAACGGGGTGTGGAAGCTGCAGAGCAAGGTAAGCAGCGTGCTGCCGCCAATTTAGCCAATGGCAGGGAAAACCAGAGCCAAGCAGAAAGCAGAAGGTGTGATGCCCACTGAGGAAATTACCGAATATTCCGAGGGAAGGGGTGAAGACATGAGGTGAAGGAGGTTTCCTTGCCAGCCTCCCCCACGCACAGCCGCTAGTGCTTGCAGTGCTAGCAAATTTGCCTGAAAAGGAGAGGAGGCAGCTATGGCTCTCTGCCCTCCTGCCCACAGGGCTCGCTCAGCCTGGCTGGTGTGCAGCCCCCCGTGCCTGGGGATTAGAGCTAGCTCCACGCCTCCCATGTAACCCCTGGCCCCATCCATCTGCCCACATTCGGGTGTAAGAAGAAAAATTGTTCGGTGGGCAATTCATTTTGGGGAGAAACGTGTTGCTTGCTGGCTGGGATGACAGACTGCCCTCCCAGGGGTGAGAACCACCAGGGCATGCATCCCCTCTCACCCTCTGCCTTTTAGCTGGGTTGTTACATGCTCGAGAGCTGCTGCCTGCTCACCTCCTCCGTGCCTGCGGATTTGGGAGCTGCAGGGAAAAACGTGATTTCTGCAGCTCCTCCGCCTGCACCGAGGGGTTTTCCTCTCCCGGCACAGTCACCACACTGATGGCACGTGGGGCATGGTGGTCTTTTGGGAGGGCGCAAATTGCCATGCAGGCTGGTTGATCGGGTTAATGTACTTAAAGAAAGCAACACTGCAAAATCACAGCTAAGCCTTCTGCCAGCAACAGCAATAGCTGCGTCTAAATGTTTTGTTTAATCGAGTCCTATCAGCCACAATGACCCTAACTCTTTTTTCTTCTTCCAGAGAGACAAGAGAACGGCACTGAACAGTAGGTTGAATCCTGTCTCTGCCTTGCTGTGGGGTGCTTGTGAATGCAGCAAATTCTGCATGCGATTCTCTTTGGTCTTCCTCTGCTTAACCACAATAAGCAGTTGCTGTCTGAAGAGAAATATGCTGTTGAAAGGGACGTGCTTGTAGTTGCTGTACACCTGTATGCATGAAAAGCGGCTGTTCCAGCATGAACAGAAATTGCAAGGGATTCTTTTGAAATGGATAAACTTACCTTGTGTTGTGCCATCTTTTTTTTTTTTTCCCTTTCTCTTGCTTTATTCTGGATTATTTTTCTCTTTCTTTCTCTCCTGTTCCCCATCATTTCATATTCCTCTGTCCCATCTTCTCTCCACCTGTCCATTTGCACAGGCTCAGTTAAAATGGAATTGGCATAAGCAGTTTTAGGGGAGTGAAACTTAGAAAGACCCATTAGAAGGTATATACCAGAGGCCATTGGGTCTGGATGTGGCCTCTCTCTTTTGTATGACTAAAAGCATTTGCGCTGGCAGTTTACTTGCTGACCCTGACTCCCTGGACCTCTGAGGTGGTCCTTCTTGCAGCGTGACGTGGCTAAAAGCCTTGCATGGGCAGAGGAAAAAGATGACTCTCTTTTCCCACAGCTGTACTTCTGTGGAGCACTCGATTGAATGCAAAGCCATACAATCTATCAGCTATTTTAAGAGAAAGGTCCTTTCAAAGAGATTGGTGTGCATTATTTGCCATCTATAAGATTCACGCATGATCCCAGGGAAAGTCCATTTCAGGCCTCCAGATCGTGGTCTTAGAGCTGTGTTTAGCTGACCAGCTTCCCAGAGCTGCACACTCACTGTGTCTAAATGTCTCTGACTCCAACAGGGCCCAGCTGGATAAAGAAGGTGTCAAACTTCTGTCTGTGAAGATAACCACTCCCGAGACTGGTGAGTGTTTCTTCTGTGTGTCCGTGTGTGTGCCTCAGGGCCTGGAGAGGAGCAGTTCTGGGGTGTCATTTGCAAGAGCAAAACCATCTTCAGTTCCTCTCAAGCCAAAGTCACTCAAAACAAATCCTCCACAGTGCAAAAAACAGGCTGGGAGCCTGCCGAGCTGCAGTGCAGCTGCACTGTGTGTGGTGTCAGTATTTGGGAGTGAGAATACTGCCATTATAGAGAATATGATTTTTCTATGGTAAGTGACCTACAGCTGTGCACGTTGAGGAGTAGCTGAGATTGTGACATTTATCAGCTGGATCTGGCTAGAGAAGGGCGTTTGGGGACTGTTAATGTTCCTGCGGCCAAAAGGTTTGGGAGCGAGTGCTGCCATCCTGCACCCAGCCACCCTGTGTATTCAAAATCCTACTCTTATTAAAAATTCCTCTCTCCCGTGCTTGACCAATCCAGTTTCTTACAAAATGTGTGTGTAATAAAATAAAGGGAATAGAGGTTATAGTTAACATACACAAAGGAAATCAAAATCTCATCTCTGGTATCTAAGAGAAGGAGATAGATATTAGTTCTGAAAGAAAGAAAGAAAGAAGCACAAAATAGGACTGAGGTAGAACAAACTTCTGACTAATCTGATTCACAGCTATCTAAACAACAAATCTGAAACTTCTCATGGGAATTCTTCTCGTGGTAAAACCCATGGCAGCTCGCTTCCTCAGCTGCGTAGTCCACCCTTGCTCCCACTTGACCTGTAGAAGTCCTCCGGGAAAAACAGTCTCTTACTTTATCCATCTTTTTAAGGTTTCTGCTCCCCCGGTGACATTTCAGAAGTTGCTCCATAGATGCTCTCCTCTTCCTCTAAATCCTCAAGAAGTCCGCTGAAACACAAATGTAAATGACTCTGGTGGATGCACTTTGTAGTTTTATGATTTGGGAAACTAAATATTTTTTCAGTATACATCTTTGGGAACGGATGTTTAGCTCTGTTTTAAGGGGCATGAAGTGGGCACATTTACACTACAGTCATGATATGTCTTCTGAAAGCTGAACGTAGTCTGAGACTAGAATTCAGGGACATTTTTGGACTGATTCTGCCCTCATACAGCTTTCAACAACAAAGTAACTTCACTGGCAGCAAGAAAGTTACTGTGTTTTGCAGCAGTGTAAATGAGAGAGCACCCAGGCGCAGTTTTTCACAAGATGAGGTCTGGTGCCTGTTAATCAGCTGCTGGTTCACCAAGTATCTGAATTTCTTCCATCCAGAGGATGCTTGATATTCTTCTTTACAGAAGTGTGATGTATGCATGCTATAATTGGAAGGTATGAGTCAGAGCCACTTACAAGACAAGATTCTTGCCCTCTTCTCATTAATACAATTCATATTTAAAACAGCTACCATTTTCTCTTGAATTCTTACATCTTTATAGATTTCAAAATTAAACATGCTTTCACTGAGTCCTGCTTTTCCACAGCTTTTGAGAGACACTCGGCTTCTTAAATTAAAAACACTCTGAAAGAAAGGCCTGTTTCCTTCCAGAAATATCCCTCTCTCATACAGATATTTTCAAGTTATATTAGGGTGCCTGCCCATTTGACTAAGATTTACTTGCTTCGTTAAAAGCTCAGGGAGAAAAGTAATCATTTATTAATGGTACAGGTGCACCACAACATGGGAGATGTCCAACTCATCTGGTCTCTCTTGCAACTAGTGAAACAACCACTTCTCTACGTATGCTCCTCTTTTTCCTTTTTAGATATATAAAAACCAGCTCAACTGAAGGGTGAATTCATAGCCCAACTAGTTTGGAAGTGTTACAGCTGCCTCTGGTTGTATGTACAAACAAAATTCTAAAAGGTTTTGACTAAATTGAGTAATTTCTTAAGAAAAGCCTCACCTTCACAGCTAGACCTTCATCATCCTCTTGCCATCACTAGGCTGCTCCTGTTTCCTGAAGATGAACACACGCACAACAAAGGTCTGCACTGTCATGTACTCAACTGAAACTTTATTAACCAAAGTCGTATTTTTTTTTTAATTTTTACTTTTATTATTTCAACAGAAGGTTTTGTTCTTGTATGAATGTTCCAAAAATGTTGAGAAAAGACTTATGTACGAAACATGCAAGGATGTAATCAGCAACTATGCTCAGACAGGTAACCTAGAAATACCTTGTGCCAGTGATGTGTGTGGCGTAGCTTGATCAAAGCTTGTGGCAAGTTTAGTCTTGCCTCACCTAAAAACTGATTTAGCTGCAGATAGTTGAAGGAGATGTATGTGTCCGAAGGGCTATTTATCCCATCTGTCTGGGACATGTACCTTGAACTGGAATGAGGTGACCTATGGAGGTCCATTGCCTACTAAAGGATCCTATTTCAGGACTTCTAAAATTAGGTTCTGACTATAAATTAAAAGAAAAAGAAAGGCTCCTTTTTCAGAAGCATAGCTGAATTAAATTTAATCGAGGATATGATTTCAAATACCCACAATTAATGTGAAAGAATACAAGAAAAGAACAGGGCCGATTAAGGCTTGGGCCAAAATAATATATTTTAATGGAGCAATATCGTCAGGCACATCACTAGGTAAAAGTGAGCTTTGTTATTCTCATTGCTTAAAGCTCTTGTTAGAAAGATGAACTTCCTGATGGCTATGAGTTCTAAGGCACTACTGGTTAAGAAGTGATGTAAAGCAAATAAAACAGAGACAAAACTAAACATTTTGATTTTTATTTTTTATTCATTTACTTTTGCCAGTGAACTTCAGCACCCGATGCAAGTGCCTGTACGTTCATCGTATGTGAAAACTCAGCTTGGATAAAAATGCTTAGGATACTGCATCTTCTCAAAAGTTTTACACTAATATGCAATTATAGGGCTTACTACAGCCATTCCATGTTGACTGTATAGGCAAATTTAGGGTGGCTCTTTCCAGGGAAAATAAATGGTCTTCTACAATACAGAACTCCAAAAAAAATCTACCTGAAAAAATAGTTCTTATTAGGGATTCATTATAGCCCACAGTCCTGTGCGTTTGGCTTACAAGTGGTAGATATACTTGCTGTGAATGTAGGCTGAAGGATTTGACGTGATGACTAAGAGATCAATGTCATGTCCATGATGTTAATGATAAAGTATTGCCTATCACAGAAACATACCTCACTTTTGCTGTAATGGTTTTTGCATATTTCACTGAAAAACAGAGTAGGTATTGACTACCTTTTGGGACTTACACAACATGAGGAACAGAAATGAGGCTGAGGAGTAAAATTGGGGTAAAGCTACTCCTTATGTATGAATTATGCACAACAGAAATATTGCTACCTGAGTAATGATTTGACAACTTTCTTTTCTGGCCCTTACCTGGAGTACCCATTCTGAAATGTAGCAAGGGCAGTATAACAGTTCCCTGTTCAACGTAAAACCTCACAGGAATGTGGCAGGTGACATATTTTGGAGTAGTTAGGTCTGATCCCTGGTGTCTTTGTATAAGGTGATTCATTAGGACATGTTTTGTAATCGATGTGAGTTTGTTTGTTGTCAGATGTGGCTTACGTGGCTTGTAGGGATATCATCTGTTCTGTGTTGAACTTGCTGGAAGGATATTAAAAGTGTGCCAAAGACGATGTGGCACTTTTGGTGAGACACCTGCAATAGAAGGTGGTCCTTTAGGATCACTGAGTGAGAGGGGTCTTTGTTATGTGATGGCATAGAGTTAATTTTCTTTATAAAATCTTGTACGGTACTGTGTTGGGGATGTTTGAAAACAGTGGTGACAACACACTGCTGTTTTAGTTGTCGCACAGCAGTGCTTGCACAGGGCCAAGGACATTTCAGCTTCTCGTGCTGCCCTACCAGCAGGGAGGCTGGGGGGGGCAGAAGCATGACAGCTAGCCCAGGCTGGCCAAAAAGGATGCCGTGCTCAGCAATAAAAGCTGGGATAAAGAAGGAGGAAGGGGGGATGTTCAGAGTGATGGTGTTTGTCTTCCCAAGAAGCCGTTTCACTTGATGAGCTCTGCTTTCCTGGAGGTGGCTGAACACCTGCTTTCCAAGGGGGAGTAGGGAACAGGTTCCTTGTTTTGCTCTGCTTGCGGGCATGGCTTTTGCTTTACCTAGTGAAGGATCTTTAACTCAACCCATGAGTTCTTGCACTTGTACCTTTCTATTTCTCTCCCCCATCCCACACGGGGGGAGTGAGCGAGCAGCTGGGTGGTGCTCAGCTGCCTGCTGGGTTAAAGCTCGGCTTCTCAAGACACGAACTGTAGGCACAAATGAAATTTCAGGTGTCACTAATAAAGCAGAGAAAACGTTCCAGGAAAACAAGGGTATTTGAGGAAAGGCGTACTCCCTGCCTGTAGCTTTTCATAACGTGTCTTGGGTGCGTTGCGTGCACAAGACGAGCTACCCACCTGGAAGATGGTGGAACCCATGACATAGATTAACTGGACCCCATTGCTTCAGCCACTTTCGAGATGACCCTGCATGTGCCTGCAGCTGCTCAGTGTTCCTCTGCACTCCCTGAATTTCCAAATCCCCCTCTGCCAAAGCTTTGAGGATTCCTAACCTTCCATGTCAGCAGATGATGGTTGTGACCAAGCACCAAAATCAGCAGAAAACGAGGCAAAAAACCTTGTTCTCATTCAGCACAAGAACTTGCCTTTGCCACGGGAATACACATGAAGTTCAGCACCTGATGAGACACCCCGCTGTGTTGCTGGGGTTTGGGCCTGGAAAATCCCATGCTCTTCTGATGATGAGGTTGAATGATGACATCTTCATCAGCGCTGAAGCCCGCCGGAGTTCAAGAAGCTTTTGGACAATGCTCTCAGACACAGGGTCTGATTTTTTGGGTGGTCCTTTGAGGACCCAGGAGTTGGACTCGATGATCCTTGTGGGTCCTTCCCAACTGAGATATTCTGTGAGACTGTGAACTTCTGAATGCTGAGACTGTTTAATCATGCTATCTCACACATCAAACCATACGTCTGGCTGTGGTGGAGCAGGAAAAATCTCGTCAGGGAATTATTCCTCCTTGTTTTCTGATATGCTGAGTACATCAGAGCATGGACTGTGGCTTCTAAGAAGGTGAGAAACCTTTATTTTTGCCTCATTAGTGACTCAGCCCAGGGAAACTTACTCCTGCCAGAGGGAGTAGGGCATGTATAGGGTATGGCTCCGCAGGGGACTGTGGGGCTTTTCTGCATTCATTGGTAGTTTCATCTCTCTCTCTTTTTGTCTAAGATCCAGGTGGATGCACCTAGGAGCAGGTGAAGAAGCCAGGTCTCTAGGTCACAGAAGCTTCCCTTGCCGCCTCCTCTCACTTGCCAGATAAACGAAGCAGGTCAGCAGAGAGCAACCTGCTGTGTGCTTGGAAGTGGTAAGAGCTGATGTTTCTTCTCATTTGAGGATAAAATATTGATTATTTCTTTGTCATATTATCAGCAGTACTCTGTGTCCTATCTTTTCCCTGCAGGTAGAAAACCTAGAAGCTGCTTCATAGAAAAAGGTCCCCTCACAACAAAAAAAAATAGAGCAAGTATCTGCTTCACTTTCCTTCTCTTTCTCATTTTCTCACACCTGACTTTTTAAACCTTAAATTGTGCAATGACCTGAAGTTGTGATTTCTTTCTTTATAGAAATGGAAGAACAAACTTCCCCAGCTCCTTACTACTCATGGCTTGATTCAATGTGTGTTTACTTGCACCACAAAGCTCCGACTGCACACAATTCCAGCTGAGACTTTTGGGCAAAACTGTCTGTAGTCAGAAACATTAAATACCACATCTTTCCTCCTCTGGTTACACTTCTAACCCAGTTTGCGAGCTATGTATATTTGCAAGAGTTTTCCAGGCAGCTTCTTACAGTCAGAGGATGCTGAGGGTCTGACTATATTTGTGTCTGTGGAGCATTTGCTAGCTTTGCATGTTGCTTTCCAAGATTATTCCCCAGCAGGGGAACATCTCTCGCCCCTTCCAATCGCACAGACCCCTCTGTCCTGCTGAATGTGGCCAGGACAGCTTGCAGGTAGCAATGGGGGGCCCTGCCTGCCCTCCTGCACCACGACTGCACCCCAACTCCTCTCAGTTCTGCACAGTAAAGACAAACATCTCGATTACTGGGTCTATTGAGGTAGTTTCCTACTTCTGTGAAAAATAGGACGCTTCAATCGAATTTTCTTCAAAATGAAAAGCAGGCTTTAATTCTTTGCTCCGAACCAGATTGTCACTTAGAAGAGATTTCTCAGCAGCAGAAATTACAATGAAATTGCGGTGTAACTCATTTTTTTTCATACAATGTAATCTGAGATGCAGTGCAACCTATTTTTTATGTCAAAGCCTATTTTTTTATATCCTTTCTTCCAGCTTTCAAAAGTCAGAGGGGCCTTTGCCCAGGTCAAAGTACTTCTGTACTCATGAAGATATGACCTGTTAGCTCTCATTTTATATCACCCTGCTCCGTGGTGTATGTGTATTCTGAATATTGCATTCAGTTTCTGAATCTAATGGGAGTGCATCTGGTTGTGCCCGCTGATGAGACTGTCAGCTTGCCTTGGTGTCAGGTCTCCAGGAAAAATACCTAATGGGTGTCACCATGGGAGGTTGTGTGTCTGCAAACCCCATCTCTGACAACAGCTAGCATGAGATGTCAAAGGAAGATAAGGAACAGCAGAGGCACATTGATACATCCTCTGCTGCATCCTTGCAGCAATCTGCAGCTTGGGAACTTCCCGGATCAGAGGCTGTATCTCTTGCCCTTAATAGCTCTCAGTGGCTTTTACTTCCATGAATTTATCTTATCCCCTTTGGCATCTACAGCATCCTGTGGCAATAAGTTGGACAGTTTAACTACAGATCTGTCTGTGTTATATTATAGTAATGTTTAGAGACTTTGCTGTACCTATGTCTTTGTGTTTGCAATCCAATTTCAGACAAAACTGTACAAACAGATGTAACATTGGAGGATGAGAGGGAGAATAAAAGGTTTAATAGAAGGGTTCATTTGTCACTTGTCAACAGAAACTTCCGTGTTGGTATCGGTATAATTTCATTTTCCAAAATACTCTGTTGGAGGCCTCTTTCTCAACCTGTGTATCATGTCTTTCAGTTTTTGTAGAAGCGCGTGATATATTTGAGGTTGGCTTCTCACTGCCCTCAGCCAACCTCTCTGAGCTCACAGCTCCTCCGGCAGGAGAGGTCTCACAAGGCAGGACTGCAGGTAAAGGGGGTCACGCTGGGCTTGCAGCTCCAAAGCTGCCAGCACATGGTTTACTGCACCAACCTCTTTCTGAGGGGTCCCTTCATCTCTCAGTTACTCAAGTGTCTCTAGGCTACCTTTTATGCAAGATACTGTATAATGATATCGTGAGAAGCTGGTGGTTCGTGTCTCTCTTGATACCTTCCATCCACTGACGTGCAACACTGCAGTTTGGGGGTGTCACCCTCCCCTCAATGCATAACCCTCAATCAACAATGCCGGCTTTCCACTGATTTTGGTGTCCAGCAATTATGCTATTGTTGGAATATTTCGTGCAATTCTGCTCTTTGTCTCTCAGCAACAACCTTCAAAGTGTGCAGGCAATCTACTAAGACTAGTTGAGCACCCTCACTGTGCTGCGCATTTTCTCCATCAGCCACAATTTGGTGTGAACTAATTCCTTTGGTCGATTTAAATATCATCTGTTCTAGCCAAACACTGAACGCAAATGTTTGCTTTTACTTTCCCTTGTGGGAAACAAGGTCTAATCCGTTGTTTTTAGTGGGTGATGGTTTGGGGTCAAGTTTGTTTTTCGGCAGTCTTGGAATTTATTTCTGTCACTTAAGGCTATTTTGAGATCAATAAAAACGTCTTCCCACATGCAACTAACCTGAATGTTGTTCTTAATTTGCTCTTTGTGCTGCAGCTGGATATTTAGCACAGCATTGAACTGCTGAGCCATTAGACTCCAAAATTGTCCTAGACAGCTCTCCGTGTAGTCTCAAGGTGTACTGCAGTCCTGTATCGAACACAGTTTGTTGTCTTTGTTACTCTTGATCAGGGAGCATTTGTGTGACCAGTTTCACCCCTCTACATCATCATTCTGTCCTGATCACTGAGCTGTTTGTTGGCACTAATTGTTGTAGACACCGCAATGCAAATATATTCAGACACATTGACATCAGGCAAGCCCTGATAATACGTGGAGACACTGACCCCAGCACTAGCTGATGGCGTTTCACCCTTTCCATGGACTATGCATATAGCACCACCAAATCCAGATGGGATGTCGTAGCCATCCCTGCCTCACGTATTTTTTACTCTGGTCTGTTGACATTGATGGGAAGTTATCCAGGGAGATGAGCTGGCTCTGGAGCCTGTCCTTAGATGTGTTGCTTGTGGCTCAAAGTACACATCTTCCGTGGACGTCTACCTGCTTACAGCCCAGGCAGAGCAACCAGGGTGGGACTGATACCAGCTTACTGATATTTATTACAGCTATTGAATATTATCTTCCCCGTGGTGATATATTTCCAACTGGTTTCCCCTGCATGCTTTTAAAAAGAAATTTCGCTAATTTCTCCTTTTTGCTCCCTATTAAATAATCTGCATCTTTATATTGAACACGAAAGGTTCAGGAAAAACTAACAGACAAAAAATATTTAAAATGAAATAGAAAATATAATTTCTATATTACTACAAAACAGTACAATAATTGGAACCGGTTCACTTTGTTTTAGCTTTTCAAAATAAGATATTTTTTTTCTAATAAAAAAAAAACTTTTCACCTTCCAAAAACGTATCAACTTCTTGAAATGTTTCATTTTTTTTTTCTACCAGAAACTTATACTTTCTTGTTCTCTGAAAATCTGTTAGGAATTCTTGAAGTAGTTGCTGAATGCCTTTTTACCTGAAATTTAACATCATCAAAATTTCTGAAACACTAATTTAGCAGCACTTTATAATGTGTTTTGAAATAATTGTATCCAAAATTGAACACTTGGAAAGTGAGCACCATCCCAGCACGTTATCGTTGAACAATTTTCAGGGTTTCCCGTTGAACCCTATTGTGGTGGTAGCACAACAATGACAGCAAATCATGGGGAGAATAAGCCATAAAACACACCGAGTGGTGAGGATCTGTTGTGTGGACAGTTTTTGCTGGCTAAGTAAACGTGACAAGGAGACGGGTTAGTTGGTGCAGTGGCCAGTGATGTGCTGCTGCTGGACTCACGTATCCTCTCTTCATGTTTGACCGAAGCACAATGTATTTTGTTTTTTAGGAGAACGTTCATCTCAGGGGAAGAATAAAACTCAGCAGTGCGATGATTCCTCTTCACACCTCAGCAATAAATATGTAAGTTGATTACTTTTGTCTTGTGTTGTGTAATTTTAGTCCTTGTTAGTCTCAGTACCACTTGTTAGTCTCAGTATTGTGCCATGTAAAGGGGTGAAAAACACAAAACAAAGTGAGCAATAATCTCAGCTGAGGAAGCCTCAAGGAGCAATGGCTTAAACAAAGCTCAGCTTGAACCAGTCTCAGGCAATCCGAGGCTGCCCATGGCAGATGAAGAAGCTGCCACCTTGCAAAGGCAGACTTTTACAGATTTAGCGTTTGGCTTTAACTGTTCAGTATTCATTTCCTGGATGTAATTCCCTTGGCAAATTTCTTTTTTTTGTTTGTTTGTGTTAGAAGTAAGAGATTTCTTAAGACAGTTGTCTATAAGAAGGAACTTGATACTCACAAGTGTTCAGCTCCTTTTGTTTCCTGAAAAGGATTTGTCTGTTCCACATCATGCAAAAGCAAACACTCTTATTGAGATGGTTTAGCATGGCTTCAATTTATTGATTGCCAGCATGCCAAACTAGCAGGTGTCGCACAAAGTTTTTGTATGTTCAAGGGCAGGGACCATCAGAGCACCTAGGAAATGCACTGTTTGAGGTAAGGGTGTTGCATTTTCCTGCACGCATGAAGCTTTCTCAGGCACCACAATCTGTCCATAGAGTTGCTTCTCCTGTAGAGGAGGTAGAGGAGAAAGATGGCTTGAAGAAACAGGTATCAGATCATACTGTGGGATGGACTGGACAGAGGCAGATATGCTGGGCCCAGACTTGCACCACCTTTGTGGGATGAAGTCCCCCTAGAACAGGTCCCATCACTGTCTACTGAGAGAGATGCAGTTGAACAGAAACATGGAGAGACCCTTTTGCAAAACATCTTTGAAGTTTTCGGCCTGTTCTTATTTCCCCTGGGAATGCCCAAAACGCTCTTTCTGGATGCAAACAACAAGGAAAAAATAAACTAATTTGTCCCTTGAATTAGAGCATCAGAATCCAACTCTGCCTACATTACCAAAAACTCAGAGCTTTCTCTGTTTGTGTGAATGCAGGACAGTGTCCTGGATGATGGATTTACTCCTTGTTGTCTGCTCCACGTAGGATTTACTCTGTCTGTCATCTATTTCAGTTTAGTATTATGTTTTTGAGCAGCCTTACCTGGAATAATAATCTTGAGGTATTTTTGTCATTTCAGGTGTGAAGCAGCCTGTTTTATCACAATGTGCAGGAACGTCCCATGAAGGTTGCAGTGCTGCAGGAAATGTGGAGTAGCTGAAGCTTTTTACCAGGCAGGACACTTGTGTTAATGACCAGCCCTTGACTTCTAAACCTTGAGTGTCAGTTCTTCTGGAATGACATGTGCTTTTTTGGTGGCTTATTAACTGATATATCATATGTATTTATTATTTTCTTATATAGTAAAGGCAGGGAAGCTTTCAAGAAGGTTGAAGAGCATGTTTGCGTAGTGATTATTAAAAATGTTTTCTGCACATACAGGAAGGAACATGTTAGCATACTTTGTTGAACTAATGGTAGATAAGGTTCTTTTAATTGTATGTAGCAAAATACAAACAGGGCCTGACCCTTGAAACAGTACTGGGCATATTGCCACGATGAAAGTTAATTCAGTGATTTCCATGAGACTCCTCACTGTAGCACACGCTTTACTTGTCATAAATGTTTACAGGATGGGATGCCTGGGTGAAATCCTGAAGTGTGTGCTTTATTTCTGTGAAGGGGGGGGGAATATACCTTGCACTGAGGGGTTTTTGTTTTCATTTTTTAGTTTATCTTTTATTTTTTTTTAAAGATCTGTAAATTGCTGAATATGGTCCTTCTAATGTAGCAGGCAACATAGTTTATTTTCTCCTGTTCCTTGGCTAATCACTGCATTATGCATGCTATAAATGTCTCTCTACAAGCTGCGGTGCACAGTGGGGATCAGCAGGATAAGAAATTTTGCAGCCGAACCCTGTGTTCAGAGTAATGCATGGGATTCCTGTTGGCTATTGAATAACTCCGGAAGTTTAAAGAGTGTTTCAAGTGATAATTACAGACACTTGATTTGTACAGAGCTGGCACTTCAAAAATATCAAGTAGTGCTTCTACCTGCATGTATCCTACTTTGCTAGAACTATAAATGTTTGGAAATTATATTCTTTTGAGCGTCTGCTCAGTCTCAATCCACTGACTCTGGCAGTGTGCTGAGAAGCTCCATGGTTTTATTGGGGAATGAAAGGGAGACAATTAGTGGTGTAAGTGCAGGACCAAGAGCTAGGACAGTAATCTGAGTTTTAATACCTACTGATACAGTGCTTTTGAGGAACTTCTCTCTCCAGTTTCCTTCTCTGGGGTAAGAAAACTTACCTAGCAATATGTTAAGAAATCGAGCAGATTTCTTAGGTCATGTTTATACACAAAGATAAAGTGTTTGATTCCCTGTGTTTGACCATTGCTCTTACTTCATCTGTGATGGATCTGATCCTCTGTCTTAGCAGCACCAAGATAAACTTTTGATGAAGTTTTGTAAAAGATGGGGAACCAGCCAGGGTGCTCCATGATGCAGCTGAACTTCTATGGTTTGTTCAGGTGTTCCTGAATCACTTGGGTTGCTCTGGAGCAGAGGAGTCTTGAATGCCTGCTTCGGAAAAGTCAGGCCACCTAAAACATGCCGTTTAGCATCTGCACCTATTCAGATTCCTGATTGCTGAAGTTTCCTATGAAAAAAGCAATCATTGTGGATTTTCATATTGGTAAAAAAAAAAAAAAAAAAAAAAAAAAAAAAAAAAAAAAAAGTATTTCATAGAATATTGTGTCTTACTGAGAGTATAAAAGAGCAGAGAAACATTGTGAAAAAAAATGTATGTATAAAATTTGTTAAGAAACTACCATGATGTGTCAAAAAAAAAATAACAAAAACCTCCTATTAAAAGTTATTCTCTTTATTAAAAGGCTCTTCTTTTTCTCTTTGCAGAAAGGCAATTCATTATGCATACCTAGTGCCAGTATCAGCCATTACACTGCACTGCTGTAGCAAAGGGTGAGCTGAACTCATTCTGGAGAGCCCAGAGAGCAGGTTAGATGTTTGGGGCACTGCGGTGGTGGGGGATGCATCAGGCCTTGCAGAAGACTTGCTGGGGGTGGAGTGGAGTACAGAAATCTCCTTCTTACACAAGTTGACAGAGAGAGAGAAAAGGGCTCGCTGCAAATCCAGGTATTAGGAAAGTGACAAACACAATGGGAGGGGAAGGTGCTTGGACTTTTCACGATGCTGGGCACAACGGGTAACCAAGCTCTTGCCAGAAGGCTGGGAAATGTGCCACAAAGCGACTGGCTTGTGTGAGCCCATGTGAGGCAAAAGAGGTGGATTTAGTGGAGAGCAGAAATGAAGAACTTGTGAGCCTCTTAACCCCTGAGGTGACAAAATTAAACTTGAAACCCAAAACGTTTCTACAGCTGCTGCTACTGATAGTATTAGAGTTAAGCTAAGAAAATATTTAAACATGGGCTACACTTGGAAGAAAATGATTTTCTATGCCTGTGATGCAAGAAAAGTGCTTGCAGTGTACCAGTAATTTTTGATTTTTCTCTATGCAAGCTCCTAATAATGTTCCAATGGAGATGAAGACTCTCGTACAGTTAATTCAAACTTGATGACAGGGGCCTTACTTTCTTCTCTTTAATTCACTAGAAACAGTCCATGGTACCTTGAGGGTCTGCAATTCCAGGCTGTAAAAGTACTCTACTGTGTCATTGTCAGAAGGGAGCACAGAAGTCTAATGATCATCCTTATCTCACAGGCATTACAGAAGTCTTGTCAGTTCATTAGGTTGCCAAACCAACTAGAGGGGGGGGGAGGAGGGACAAACGGGGACCATGTCAGTACTCACTAAACAATAGCCTGGAAAAATCTTAAGCAAATAATCTGTTATCCCTTCTGAGTAGAAGATCTGGTGGTGAAATGACGCTTACTGAAGTTTTTATAGTTCAGCTGTATTCAGTGAAACAGGAAATTGTAATACAATGTAATACAAATAACTGTCCTTCCAGTCCCAGATTTCTTTTGTTAATAGGAGCAAAAACCATATTGATACTGAAATAGCACACACCAGGTGGCAAAGGCTGCCCGGGAAGGCTGAGCCTTGGGCCAGGCGAGGCTCCATAGCACATTTAGAGCCCTGTGGCAGAGGGCAAAGCCTCTCCAGCACCATCAATCACAGCTCCTCAATTTCTTCACATTAGGACACTATATCTAATAAAATAAATAAGCTTAAAGATTACTCTATCGATTCCCAATTGAGGCTTCTTTTTTTTTCCATGTCTGGCCAAGGGCAATCCATAAAGCACAGGCTTTAATTCACCCCGGCAAATGCAGTGGACGTGATACCCTGATGCTCATAAGATGCACACCATGCATGGCTGAAGAATCTTCTCAGCTCCCTCTTGTCCACCCTGCAGGATCGCCAGCACCTAGAAGAGCAGTAAGAAATCTTTTCTGAGGTCAATAAAGATGGGGCTGTAAGCTTGACAATGCAAACTTCTTCTAGCTCCTCTACATAAAAGTTATTCTTTTGACAGCTTTAATGCACATGAGCACATTGCCTGACTGTAGCTGGTCAGCTCTGCCCTGAGAGTAACCCGTGGGAGAGACAAATCCATCTCCAACCTTCATTCCCTAGGTACAGGGGGTCAGCATGAGCCAAATACCACCACAGCCCCCAGCACTACATGCTGCTTGGTCTGGTCACCCTCAGGTGCATTTGAGCTGTTTCCACAAGCCCCATGAAGGCACAGCTGCACCTTGCCAAAGAGGACGTAGGCCAAGGGAGCGCAGCAAAGAGCTGCTACTATCCACAGAACAACAGTAATAATAATAATGTACAACTGGAATCGGGGATCTAATGGGTTCCCTCAATACTACCTGACAGAAAGGGCAGAGAGGAGGTTGTCCAGCCCGCCATCACCCCCTGATCTTCTTTCAGTAGGAGGACCACGCTTGGCCCCAGTGCTTCACAGGGACACTTCCTACTGCTGTAGCTGGTTTTGCTCCCTCTTGCACTGATATTTCAGTGTATTTCAGTGATATTTCAGCACATGCCAGGTCACCAGGAGGAAGAAAGCAGACTGATCAGCCGTGGCAGGATGCTTTCCCTCAATTCCCAGGTCTAAGGTGTGCCCTCAGGGCTCCCAGTTCCAGGCCTACCAGCAGAGTCTGTGGCAGGCAGACGCAATTAGGGAGGATGTAAAGCAGCTGGGCATGCACAAGTCCAAGGAATTAAAGGGGGACGCATTCAAGGGTGCTGAGGGAGGTGGTGGAATTCACCGTGAGGGTTTCCATCTGTCTTCTTGGAGAGGTTATGATGATCAAGGAAAGCTTTGTGCCCATCTTCAAGCCAGGCAAATAAGAGGATCCAAGAGGGGTAGGACCAGGGGAAATGGTTTAAAACTAAACGAGGGGAGATTCAGAGTAGATACGAGGAAGAAACTCTTTACTTTGAGGGTGCTGAAGCAGCAGGATTGCGTCAGGTACGGTGACATTTTCTGTCCTGATAGAGGCCGTAAATCCAAACAGAAGAATGAGGAGGAGGAATCCGGGCACCGAAAAAAAATCAGTGGGATTGCTGCCTCCTTGGGGAAGGCGTGTGTGTATTTATGTACCCACATGTAGCCAGAACAAAAGTAATGCATGTGGCCCTGTATATTTTCTTGGTAACATTGCAACCATCTCTCCCAGTTGGAAGTGCAGATACCACTGCAAGGACAGAGGTGTGATTTGGGAAGAGGAGAGAAGGACCATTGTTTCCTTGCACTCGAAAAAAAATCAATGTCCTAAAAGCTTCAGCTTTCTGAGACTTGCCATGGTCTGCAGGATGAAGGTGACTTCAGATCCAGAAATATTTGATAAAAATATTCTGGGCGCTTTTTTTTTTTTTTTTTTAATTAAATGAGGGCACCTAACCAGCTGGTTTACTGTGCCAGTTTTAGGAACATGATCATTAGGATTCAGCTGCAATGCTGAGGCAGTGCACTAACTTTAGCTGAGCCTCAGTCATTAAGCACATAGGGGTTTTTTATTTATTTTCTGTAGCTGGGTCTGACATATAAAACAAGTTATTTTGCCCGTGTGTGTTGGAAGCAGCAGGAATTAATGCGGAGCATAAACAGCCGATCTGACAGAGCAAAATAAGGAAAAGTTAATGGATATAATTACCGGAGAGAGCATTCCAGGTATTCAAGGTGGCATTCGGGGAAGAAGAAGAAGCCCTAGTTGCAGTGGATAAAATAGTTTCCAGGCAGAGATCCCTATCACGCATCTCATGTGGCCTTGAGAAATACTTGAGCAGCACCTGGGTGATGCCCAGAGCAAAAGCTGACCTGTGAATGTGTTGTGCCAAATGCCATGCCTGTTTGTTCAAAAGAAAAAAACGAAGAAGGCCATGAAAGGAAAACGGGAAAGCAAAATCCAGCCTAATGGTGGAGAGGGGAATTTGGGAGAATTCATCTCTCTTCTTGACTTTGCAGGAAATGAATCTGCTTTGCCCTCCCATCGGCAATTTTTATCTCTCCTTCCTTCAGGAGAACTGATCAGAAGCAGTCTCTGGCAGCCTCCACGCACTTGCATGGGAAAAACATTTCCCCATCAGCATCTGCTAGCGATGGCCCCAAAACCCTAGCAGCTGAGCCTGCAGCTTGTCAGGTCTGGACTCTCCGTCAGATTGATTTTTCTTAATTATGTTTTGGGTGTTAAGCAACACACAACCCATGGCTACGAAATACTCTGTTGCTAAACACCCGCTGCATAACGAGGACCTCAGGAGCAAGTCACAAACCCGGGCACCCTCCATCCTCCAGCAGACAGAGGGGAGGGAGGGCACAGCACTGGAGTGTTTTTAACACGAACCAGAGCATTTCCAGCAATACTTCCCTCGGCATGCCAGTGGTGATGCACGGGTCCCAGGGATGCTGGTTCCAAATACGGATGCTCGATGAACCAAAAAGTCCTTGCCTTGGTGTCACTGCGCTGTAGGAAAAGGCAGCCAGGGCAGGATTTCATCTTTGCAGGTGGAGACTGCTTTGGAAAGGCTTTAGGAAAGACTCTACACCAGGAAGCACCAGGACACCTGGAGTGGAGGGGGAACCAATCTAGATATTCTCCATCGGTCTGGATGTTGAGCACCGTAGGGGTGTGTGAGCTGCCCCACGGCGATGTCCCTGAGGGGGTGTCACTGGGGCACGACTGGGGACATGTCCATCTCTGGCCTCTGTCCTGGTGGCTTCTCTTCACATCGGCTTCATGGGTTTGGCAAACACTTTGTGAGATATGTTCATCTGGTTTGTGTCAGTACGGAACAGTGCTAGGGCCGCGTGGTATGATGAATGTGATCTTCTGTCTTACAGACCCTTGGATAACCACAAGTCTAAGAAAAACAGAATTCTTGTATCTTGCAAAGGAATGTTTTAGCAATTTGTGTCAATAGAGAGCTTGAAGGGAAATGTATTTGTAGACTTTTCCTTGGAGTCTCTGATATCTGGGGGGTTTCAGAATAACTGCTAACTATTACGACTATTGCATGGGACACTATGCAAGTCTCTGCTGTCTGGCCAGGAGATTAAGGAGACGGAGAGAGCTGAAAAACAACTAAAAGACAAAGCTCGCAGGGGGTGTTGCACAAGTCTCTGACGTACAGCCAAGTTGGACAAAGGAGAAGGACAAGAGGGAGGAAGACCATGAACCTTCAGCACGAGAGACCCCCAGGGGGACCACCGGAGACTGATACGCATGCTCCAGTAGGAGGGACTGGATCCCGGAAGCTAATTATAATAACCCAGGGTTTTTTAGAAGTAGTAATGAATATGTATTAGTCTAGGAGCATAAAAATCAGCTACTTGATGTAACTTGATGTTTCCAGTCCCTCCTACTGGAGCATGCACATCAGTCTCCTCTGGGGGTCTCTAGGGGTCTTTCATGCTGAAGGCTCCTAGTCTTCCTCTCAGTTTTTTTTCTTGTCCTTCCCCTGTGTACTCCTTGGCAGCATGTCAAAAGCTTACACAGCAAGTTTTGTTTTTGCAAGTTTTGTCTCCTAGCCGTCCTTCAGCTTCTTTTTTCTTCTCCTTAATCTCCTGGCCACTTGGCCAGATATCAGGGGCTTGCACAGTGTCCCATTCAGAAGCCATAACAGTCACTAGTTGTTAGCAGTTGTTCTGAAACCCCCAGACATCTGAGACTTCAAAGAAAGAACATACAAACACAAATAGCTCTCTTATTGACACTCCACGAGTATTTAAAACATTCCTCACAGGCCATTCCCAGGGACACTCCAGTCACACCTATAGCAGTGCTAAATCAACCACAAAGAAGACAAAAAAGGCTGTAACTGTTAGGAATAAGAGTTCAGAATAACAAAAACAAATAGGCTCATGGATTTGAGGAATATTTCTGAAGATTTGATAATTTGACTATAATGAGGGGGAGACGGGGACACTGGGAGGAAAGGGAAGAAACCACATCTGTGGAAGAATTAAATTGCCAGTGCAGGACCCAGAGACAGACAGAACTGCTCTCTAGTGACACGAATTCCTTTGCAAGGTACAAGAACTATATACATTAACCATTCTGTTCTTCTTAGACTTGTGGTTATACAAGGGTATGTAAGGCAGAAGGTCACATTCATCATACCATGCGGCCCTAGCACTGTTCCATACTGACACGCATCAGATGAACGTATATAACAACCAGAAACATCAGTGTAACCTTACAACCATCCTCCATTTATGTTTCCATCAAAGCAGAGAGAAATTTGGCGTCCTGATTGCAAGTGCCCTTTATGCCAGCCCTCACCGTGGTGCATCCAGGAGCAGTGGGTAGGTAACAGCTTCTGAAGGCCGTGGTGGTTTATTTTTCCCTGAGAACAAAAGTATCTATCCCCAGTACATGAAAACCCTATTGATGTAACAGAAAAAAAAAATAAAATTAAATTAAAGGAGAAATGAAAAATGTAAAGTGAAGCTCCCAGACAGGAAGGCTATTGCAGCAGCGACAGCCCCTGAGCTGCGAAGTGGCATGGCCAGCTAACAGATGGAGATGTTCACAAGCAGCTCAACCAGATCTTGTGAAATGTGTAGGTCTCGCTTAGCCCTGCAGGCAATTGGAGATGAGACCTCTGCTTTCAGCGTGGTGTTTCCTTCCAAAAATACGGACCAGTAGATGCTGCGGTAGCTGTGGCTCCCTGTGACTGATGGGACAGCTTGCTGCCAGCCCACGGTATGAGCACCCTGGGTCGTGAAGCTCCTGCTGGCTCCTTGTTCCCTCTGGAAATAATTCCCTGTTTCAGTAGGGAAGGTAGCTAATGGAAATATCTAACCCTAGAGGGAAAGCTCTGGAGAAAGGTGCGCCTTGTTGCCATTTGGCTTGGTTTAAATCTCAGGCAATGCCATCTTCCTACCTAGCAAAGCCCTTCAAGTCTTTTCAGCCTCTAGATCTTCCACATTCCTCTTCAATAGGAGAAATCGGGGGTGAGTTTTTAGCAGGAAGCTCGCAGCCCAGCTCTTCACCGTGCCGTGCTCCCCCATGGGTTGCTTGAGGCTTGCCCTGCTGCTTTAATTCAAGTTTCCTCTGTTTGGCATCCTAAGTGTTGAGCACACCAGTTCATACCATTATAACCTTGTGATTGCCTTTAAGGTTATTGGGTTTTTTGATGGGGAAGAGTTTCAGGGGAGCTGGCTGCACTGTCTCAAGGTAAGCTCATGGTTTCTGTATTTACACAGATTTTGTTTTGGTAGCTAAAAGGAAAAAAAAAAAGTAAAACAAACAAACAAACAAACAAAAGCCCTTCCCTATCCCTTCTTCTGGATATTTTTTCTTCTATATTTCTTATTTTCTTCTGGATATTATTAGAGTCTGGTGCTGGAAACCCTTATGAGACTGTTCTAACTTTCACCCTATTAAATAGCAATTGAAATGAAATCAAAGGATTTGATATTTTATTTATTTCTTCCTAACTGGTAAAAAACTAACACTATGTTCTTACTGAGAGTCTGGCACCCTGAAGAGCATCATTTCCAGCTGGAAGGCCGCTCCTCTGCCCATGCACTGTGGTTTGCCTGCCCCCAGCTCTTCCAAGGGTGTTGGAGGAGTTTGTATGCCCCTGTGGGGACAGTGCCCTTCCTTCTGCCTGTAACCCTTCCCCAAATCTGCCCATTGGGTCAGAAAAAAGGGGATGGAGACCCTCCAGGGACCCTCAACCCAGGAATGTATACATTCAGGCTAATGTTATTCTGTAGAAATGGATAAGTATTGTGAAAGTCCTTGCATGGTTACTCGTGACCTGCAGTGGCTTGATTTACTAAGACAAAGATCAAATATTTCAATATAATTAATTGTAATTAGCACTCAGTGGCTTTAGGAGTTCATTTCCAGCCCCAGTGATCAATCAGCAGTCACCGGGACTCAGCGGGGCTGCCACAAGACGTCCTTTGAAGCCTTTCCAAGCGACAGCTCCAACCCCCTTGCACAGACCGTACAGTAATGGCCTTCTCTTTTCAGTGTGGGCGATACGCTTTGTTTGAAGGAGCTCCTCTGCCATGCTTTTTGTGGGATTTTTCATGGAAAAACGCTCCGCAGCACATTCAGGGAGGAGGCCTACAGGCGCTGTCTTTCACAGTGAAATTTCTGGAGGGTGGCTGGGAATTTTTTCTTCCCTTTTTCACATCCCTCTGTGGGTTGCATGCCGACACAGGTGAACTGCAGATCTCACTGCCAACAGCTGAAAACGCTTGGTGGTTGGTGCTTCCAGCAGCTCAGAAAGGAGCTCCATTGGTGATGGAGGCCCATGAGGTGGTGGAGGAGGTCCAGAGAAGTAGCCCGGTACTTCATCCCCACAGCCTTGCCTGTGGTTGCCCCAAAAAGCCTGGCCAAAGGTTGGTTGGACTACAAGGGGGACCAAAACAAGAAAGTTCTGTGTGGCCGACAGAGAAATATCTACTAGGAATGGTTAAAGTAGAATGAGACTCTTTTAAGGCCCTCTGATTGTAGGCAATAGTGGGTCGATTGGTCTGCAGGACTGTTATGTCTCAGATCTCTTTTTTTTTTTTTGTCCAATACTCCGTAGGAGGTTGAATCTTTGCTGTGGAGTCTACATCAGCTCAGAAGCCATGCAAAATCTGCAGTATGCACCAGATCAGAGACAACTTCTGTGAGTACACTTGCAGAGAAACGTGTGTAAAAGGCTCTTTGGGCAGTAACCAAAATTGTATTATTTTTCTGTAAAACCTATATTGCTTTTTCATACACAAAGCCTAGTGTTTGGAAAACTCATCTTCCCTAAATTGCTTTCTGTGAACGCAGGTATCATACAGTGTTTTATACAGCGCTGGGCAAAATATATTTTTAAGGATCGGGTCACTATGGTAACCACTTCTTATCTCAGAATCAAAAAGCAGTTATGATTGTAATTAAAAAAAAAATGTATGCTGTCTACCAAGAATTACTCTGAATTATAATTCATTTTCTGTCACATATTGGAGTTATTTTTATTGCTCCCAAAGGCATCGATTTTTATTATAATTCAGCAATGCAACCCTTTATACCGATAGACTATACCCTGCTTCGAGCAGACTGCCAGAAATCATGGTCAAAGGCTTCAGCCTCGGAAATATTTCAGCAAAACACCAGGAACACTTTGTGTCCTTACGAAGGGGAAACTGTGAGAAAAATACAGCCTCCTTGAAAGCTCATGCTTCATTGCGAGTGGCCGCATGTCCCAAGACCAGTGATGATGAGTTACAGACGTGAAAACTATGAAGTAAGAGCTCCCGCCTAGTTATTGATGTCTCCTGTTGCTGGCAGCTGGTGGAGAATTTCCTTCAGCTTGCTCAGAAGAGTTCTCCTTTTTTTAAAAAAAATAAAAAATAAAAAAAATCTTCATTAAAAAAAAAAAAAAAGATACATGAAGAAACCCTTTCTCTGCTTCTCTTCCTCAGGCATATATGCCCTTCACTTCTGTTCCCAGCACCAGGGCCACGTGTGGAAGTCTTGGTGAAATCGCTGCGGCTGCCTTTAAGAGCCATAAAGTAAGTAACACAAGCATCGTGCTCCAAATGGTCCCGAAGGAGCTGCCTGGGAGTTCAAAAGTGCGTCTTGAATTCGACAGGAGCAAAACTGGGCTCGTGAGTAGGTGACCTGCTCCAGCTGGCTCTCACAGGGCTCAGCCCCACGCTGCTTTGTGGAGGAGAAAATTACATTTTTTTTATTAGATTATTTTAACCATTTTCAAATAGCACCAGGGTGGCCCCATGGCTTCCTCCCCAGTTTGGGTCTGCTCGTGGCTGGGAAGCCAAGAGATTGTTAGCGGGATCTCTGGCACTCACCCCAGTATTTCATTTTTTTGGACTACAACCTATTCATCCTTCAGCTAATATGCTACAGAGCAAATATCTGCTACGTTTTATGTAAGCAGTAATAGATTTGTTTGCCTAAATTGTTTTATTTTTTTTTTTGCCCTTTCCAAGAGGGAGGCAGAACAAATGTTTATCTTCCCCAGACCTGTAGCTTTAGACACTTTTTTTGGGTCTCATTTCTCCATGATACAATCAGGCGTCCCCACAAATGACCAAGCACTTTCCCTTAGAAATGGATTTACTGCTTGGTGACTGCAATTCCTCTAGAAGCACACCCTGGAAAGCCTTTTTAGTGCCTAAAGTGTGGGATTTACTTATCCTGGTGTGGGGAAGCATGACGGGGCAGCCTCCCTATTAGGAGTAATCAGTCAGGTTAATGAGCCAGGGACTAATCCTTTGTATTCTTCTGGAGCTGCTCCAGCACCCCAAACAATGTGAGGTGAATGGGAGGTTTGAATGAACTAAGGCCCCCCTTTCTCCTTCTTCTTCCTCCATCTCTTCATCCTCCTTTTCCCACCATTCCTCCTCCTCACCAGGCCCTTGCTTCATGGAGAGAGCAGAGGAGTTTTAACTCCCCCCTAAATCCCTGATGCCCTAAATCCCTCCCAGAGCTGGCAGTGACAGGGAAAGGTTTGGGAGTGGTGATGGGAGAGGGTGGGGAGGACCTGCACAGGTGGGCAATGAGAGTGGCAGGGTGGTGGTGATGCTTGCTGTGTGCTTTATCTTCATGGGTTTTGTGTGTTTATTTTTTCTCTGTTAAAATAGCTCCCTTCCACCAGAGCAGAAAGCGGCTGTTTGTATTTCCCTGTATTGCAGCAGTGCTTCTGCGAAATTTTGGGTGTTTTTTCCCTCCAGCAGGTAAGATGAAACCATACGCTTCATCTAGGCAGGATTAACCCACTCTTAACTGCTCCGGAAGGTCTGTCTGCGTAAAGGGAATGATGTGCTTTCCTTGTAGTAACCCAGAAGAGCACAACGACCTCCTCACCAACACCGTGGCTTCCTCGGGTGGACACTGAGAGAAGAGGAATACTTCACAGTGGCTATAATGTAGTTGAGTGGCAAATGACTTCATTAAGCCAGCAGTGATAATTAGTTTAATCAGCTGAAGTGCGGCTCAGCACAGCACACTTCAGAGGTGCGTGGCGTGGCAGGGGCTGCTGCTGCTGGCTGGGAAATCATCCTCGGCCCGATGCATCTTCAGGCAGGGGGCCAAGCAGGGGGTCTTCCTGCTCCTCCCGTCATCTTTGCAATTAATTTCCTGCTTTAATTAATTCCCTGATGCCACTCAGTGAGGCCAGGCTGAGCTTCTGGGAAGAAATTGCAGCTTAGCTGTGATTCAAGCTACAGGAAAATGTCCCATTCACCCCAAAACAGCAGTGACTTCTCTGCCTGAAATCCCACCGTGCTGTGAGCCGCCTGGTGTCCCTGAGCCCCACCAGAGAGTAGCATGGGTCTGTGGTTGCCTTTCTCTTGAAGGGGGAAAAAATACAGAATAACAAACACTGTTCTTCTCTTACTTTTTTGGGACCAGACCCAAAGGAAATGTGCCACTTTGGGAGCGGCTGAGGCAGGTGCCCTTCTTCTGCAGGAAAACTAAAGGGGTCCCCTCACATTGATGGTCAGATCTTTATGAAAACTGCTTCAGTACCAGATGTCACAACTGCATTAACGTGTCAATGTAAGTTTTTTGACCTCTTGCACCTATCCTGTTTGTCTTTTATTTTTTTAAATTTATATTTATTTTTATTTCACTTCTTGTTTGTAAAGGATGGAGGGTGTGTACGATGCAACCCTCAGGTTTGCAGCACCTCCCTAGCACCCAAGTCTGTCTTGCTGGGATCTGGCTGTTGCAACCTGCCTTGGCTTTTTCAGCTGTGATAGTTTTAATGTCCATCATCCCCTTCTAGTCTGGCAGTGCTTGTGGAGGTCAGTTTCCAGCACCACCATGGGAGGCTGGTCTCCTCTGCTGCCCTTTTATTTTCTAGATCTGTGACAGCAATCGCTTGCTGTCGTAGCACTACCCCTAAATAGACAATTTTATAGAATGAAAGGGGCTTGTCTGTGTCAAGTTTAAGGATCCTATTTTTGTCTTTCGTTGTACGGAGCCTGCTGTGAAATGCTCCTCACCATGAAGGCCGCGCATTGTGGTTCCAGCCAGTGGGGATCTCAACTCCTCCCTTCGTGAACCGCTTGGTGAGCAGTGGAGATGAGATGTGCTGCAGATGAAGGCAGAAATGTGCCTCAGCACCACAGCCTCAAAACAGGAGGGCCGGCCAGGCTGCTTTCATGAAGGAAAAGCTGGTTCTTAAGCAAGTGTAACTCCCTTTGCTCTTGAGCAAATTCACCTGGCAGTGCCTGTGCCATCTCACCCCAAAGAGCCCACCATTTTGGGCGGCCTGCTCCTCCTTCGAGCCACCACAATAGGTGACCCACAGCAAATTCTCCTACTCGGAGGCAGGACGCCCCCAGGCAGCTGCACCAGGCCCACATGCTGTCACACAGACTGGATGGAGCCCAGGGACCTCCCTTTTGCCCACCACCCCCTCTCCTTCAGCAGGAGCCTTGTGCAGTGCGGTGGCTCCAGCCGTCCTCACGCTAAGCCCTGAGGAGCGCTTGTGACTGATAATTATTCAAGATTAGAGGCTACAGCAATCAGAGTGATGCTGAGCTTACAAGAGCCTACTTCAGCTTGAAGTACGCTGACGTGCCTAGTGCTGGAGAGCAGAAACCAGCATGAAGCACCCAGCCTCGCTTCGCAACACGAGGAGCAAATCCTGCCGCTGGAGCTGGCTACCGTGATAATCAGGCCATCCATCTGTTTTCTCAGCCTTGAACTCATTTCCTCATCCTCTGGAGAGGGTAGGACGTGATCATCTTTGCCCATGAGACCTCAGAAAGAAAATGACCTCATGGAAATGGAAGGGATTCACTCACACGACAGAAATAGCGTGTTGCTAAGGTAGGACCAGAGCTCCCTCCAACCCATCTGTTCTCCTCCAGTGAACAGAACAAAAAAAATCCGTCCTGGAGCTCCAGATCCACTGCTTGCATCCTCTACCTATGGTTCTGAAGCTAAGTATATATCCTTAAGAGCTTCTGTGTGCAGGAGGGCCTGCCCTGCAGCCTGCTGGTGGAATAGCTCAGGAGGCCGGGGCATCACGCTGCTTGGACTTCACACAACTGCCTCCTGCCATGCCACTGCCTTGTGAAGCAAGCTGGTTAATGGAGTCAGGGGAGAGGAACCAGGCTGAAAGAGGTGGTCAGGAGATCCTGGCAATGAAGTGTCGTATCGACAAAGTCTTTCAAACAGGAGCCCTCGTGGATGAGAATGGAGGTGTGGAAGCCCTGGATGCAAATGCCTCCAGCAGATGTTGCATGTGAGCTGAGTACTCACCCCAAAAGGCAAACACCTGAAAGAAACAGCCTTTTGTGGTTCCCTGGACAAGTTCAGTTTTCCATCCCTGTAAATCCACCCTGTGAATAAAAATGAGGCAGAAATCCTGTGAGGCCATGAGCTTCGTGGTAGAGCTGGCCAAGGAGAAGCAATGCTCACACAAAGCAGGGACAAACCAGTCCCACCTCCCTGCTGCTCCACCAAGTGCTGTGACACGGGATCCCACATTGATAGGCTTCATCTTTGCTTTATTTTAACCCTGCCCTTCCTTCAGAGGATCACAAACGTAGAAGAAGAAGGTTTTCCAGAGCTCAGGACAAAACTGTTGAAAAATAACAGTTGTATTGCTGACCACAAGGGCTTCCTGTGTAATGGAAACCTCTGCTCCAGAAACCCACTGGGCACCTTCTTTGAACAACCCCACCCATCACCAGAGCCATGGAGCACCTAGGTGATGGAGCTGTGATGTAGAAAGAGGGATGCATGCATGTCTTGAAAATAGTTTCAGGAAGCTTCTCTCTGCTGGGCTCCCCACACCTCATAAGAAGGGAAATGTGTGTGCTTTTTGTTGTTGTTGTTATTTCCCCCCCCCCCCTAAGATGTGAGCTGTATGATGGCTGTGGGCATCCCACCTGAGCACAGCTGGAGGTGCTCTGCAGACCAAAGATCCCAAGTCAGTCACTCGTCCTGCTTCATAAAGTAATTTAATACGAAGTAATTCAGGCAGGGACTCAAGTGCTTTGCTGAACTGGGGCTTCGGGGGAAAACGTGCTGGATTTTTTTTCTTGTGATAAAATCCCTCTTATCTTAAGCAGGTATTTATCAGAGCTTGGGCAAAACCACTTATATGTTGCTTGGAAGTCTTTCACAAAGATCTCATTGGTGATAACCTGGACACCAGCATGCAGGCGTTTCGGGAAAAAAAAAAGAAGAGCATAAACCAGCGCTGTGTGGGTGAGTTAAATGGGAGAGGGAGAAATCATCCAGTTTAGCTATTTTTAGGCAGACAACTGTGCAGATGTGAGACACAAATAGAGGAGAGCCGGGTGAGAGCCAGCCACGGTGGAGACCTTGATGGCCAGCTATTCATTTCAGAAGAAAATTGGCAGTGAAAGGGATCTGGTCAGCATTAAGCTCTGGCAGCACTTGCTCTAATCCTGTTGAGCTGACTTCTTGCTGCCACTCAATTAAATGGCTGCTTTACGGGGAGCAGCAGATATACCAGGTGGAGGTGGCTGTCCCACTGTTGGGTTTTCTTTTGAACACCAAGATTGGTTTTCAATAGCACCCAGGCACTAAGCTCTTGCTAAATAACAAATTAATTCTGGACCCATCTTGGGTCTTCAGCAGATCTCATGGCAATCAACTTCTCAGTTAAACTCCATGCAGTGCAGAGATAAAAAAAAATAATAATAAATAAATATATATATATATATATAAAATATGCTTGCAGAGTGGCAGCCTGATTATTTCATTGCACGCTCCTCACTTCAACAAGAGTCACCAATTTTGTTCTTCATCTCACAGTGCTCTTTGGAAAGGATTAAAAGAAACTTGAGAAGTATGAGAAATGTGGCTGTTCCCATCTTTACACCACTAAGATGCAACGTTGGCTCTACAGCACTTGAAAGCAATGTGTTGGTAAGTCACGTCTGTGGTTGTGGTGTCAATGGGGCCGGAAAGGCAGGGCTGGAAGCTGGGTCAGCAGCTAGATGTGAGTGCCTGGGCACCAGTCACAGCCATTCTGGATCTCCGTGTTTGTCTCTGCCTTTAAAATAAATTAAATATCTCTTTATTGTGGCTGGCAAGCAGCCAAGGATGGCTCAGCTGCGATGCTCCCCAGGATGAGCTGTGCGCGCTGTGTGTGGATGGTTTTGCTCAATAACCCCTAGGCAGAGGAAGACAAAATTGCCAAAGCCTGGAAAAATGGGACTTGTTATCCGTAAGACCCCTGAGCTAAAACATTGTCTTAGCTCAGCAGAGGAGACTCATTGCTTTAAAGCAGGATCTCCTCAGCCCTAGGCGCCACAAAGGAGGACGGGATGGCCTCTTGTCGATGGTGACGGGTTACTTTTTGCCACAGGATTACTTTACTGGGAGGCTCAAGCCTCAGCAGGGGTTGAGTGTGTGTGTGTGTCCGGGAGGCAATAACGCTGTGCTGATGTTCTCCCACGCCGCCAGCCCCCGGTGCAGTGAGGTGTTACAGGCAGCATTCATCTTCCCTGAATCACTGACAACACGTCCTCGCGCCAGGAGCCGTCTCTCTCTGTATTTCTTCAGTATGACCGAAGAAATTTCAGTCATACTCCATGAGATACTGCTATAGCTTCCCCCAAATCTACCACTAACCTTCATAACAGAATCCCATGTGGATGGACCTGTAAAACATTTCCCACGTTGGAAGCTTCCCATTAAACCTTTCCCACGTTTCCTTCGTACTGCACACGTTGCATCTCCTTGGTGCTCTGCTGGCCAGTGAAAACCGTGGGGCTTCAGCTAGATTGCAGTAGAGGGAGAGGAGCAGGATTAGATGCATTCGGGTAATGACTTGTATATGCATTAAATATTTTCCTGATTATGGTTTTGGATAATTGGGGGAAATTTCAAAGTAATTAGAAGCCACTAAAGGGACATGATGTTGTTTCGTGTAGTAAGCTCTGATTAACTGAAGTGTGGAAAATCTGCGCTGAAGGAAACAGCCGAAAACTTAGGGTATATCTTTCCTACTGAGCGGGCCATTACAGCACTCACACAACCAGAGGTCATCTGGAAGAAAACCTCTGTGCTGGAGACCCTGCTGTCACCCTTGGGAAGTCACTGCTAGGGCTGCAATTCACCCCTGGTCCTCCACATCTGTTTTTTGTCTTAGTCCTGATGCCAGCAGCTTGATTTTTGTCATACCCCTGAGGCTTGTGGAGGTCTTCCCTTGGGTTTGTGTGTTGCCCTGACTCATTCAGGGAGATGCCAGCTGCTGCCCTGGGTCTGCATTCACACGTTGGCTGAATAGCTGCTGGCATCGTCCCTGGGTTTGTTTAGGGGATGTGTGGATGTGGCACTTATGGACGTGGTTTAGTGGTGGACTGGGGGATCTTAAGGGTCTTTTCCAACCTGATTCTACGGGTCTAGGTGGCAGCGCCGTCCCCAGAGCCACAGCCTCGCTCTCTGAATGTTGGAGGTGAAATCCAAATGACCCCAAACCGAATTTATCCCCAGGCTGTGCTGGCAGTATGAACTGCTGTGCTGCTGATCACCACATGCCTTTTTAGCTGTGCCTGTTCCTAAGGCTTCCAGCTGCGGTCACCCATTTTCCCTGTCCCTATGTCCAAAGCAAACTCCAGAAATCTCCTGGAGACAGTTTGGACACAGACCATCCGGGAGATGTCTGTGGTTACAGAAAGTACCGGGGTTTTCCCTGAAAACCCTGAAGACCAAGCTGAAATAGGTAGCTCTATGCAGAACACCAACAAAGCATAAACACGGCGCTCACCTTGTGTCTGTCTCACGTTAAGCATTTCTTAAATACTACAGGTACGATATCGTATTCTTTTTCCCCTTTTTAATCCACTGGGGAAGGGACGTGGCTTATCACACAAGATAATCTGCAAGCTGAATATAGAGCTGTCAGCACGTGGAGGTGGCAGCCCTTTAAGGTGCTGTGATGGTTACGTTGGATACCTGCATCAAGCAGCGTTCATTTCAGCCTCAGAAAGCCAAATCCACCTCATCTCACCTCCCTAGGGGGCTCCGTAATTCAAAGCATTGATATGCAGCGGTGGGATACGTGGCAAAAGGGTTTTCCTGACATTGTGCTGTAGGTAAAATTAACTCCCCCCCGTGACCTGAATCACCCCAGTGTGATACCCAGTGGTGTGAAGCTGTTTCTAAGGCTTTTTTGAAGGTTTTTTGCAGGCTCCGTACCCTCCATGAGATGCTGATCCTGTAGGATCCTCGTGGGATGCCCTGCACAGACCAGCTTGGTTTTGCATCTCCTGCCAGCACATCCCAGCACCTGCTGGAGGTCCTGGGGGAAAATGACAGCAGGAGGAAAGCCCCGGTGCCAGCTCCCATCGCCTCGCACCTCTCGTGGTCCCCAGCCCTGCCCCGTGCCCTTGGCAAGGCACGGTGGCTTCTGCTGGGCTCTGTGTCAGCGCGTCCCTGCTGCTTCTTGCCTCTGGTATCAACAGAGCCTGCCTGGCGGGTGGGTGGGTGTGAGATTTATGTTGCAAGGAAATTCAGGGAAGCTTGAGAGTTTCTTTTTATTTGTTTCTTTTTTTTTTTTTTTCTTTTTGCTACAAAGCTTTTGAAAGTCCACTGGGGACCCCTAATGTTTGCCTGCCGCAGAAGCACACGCCTCCGAGCTGAAGCTGCAGGAGCCTCTTTGGGTACCCCTGGGTTCGCTTGTTTTGGGCGTTCCAAGGTAAGAGCCCCGGAATGCTTTGGGGTGCAGAAATCTTCGTGCTACCCACGTAAAATGTGGGAGTCCCTGGTGCCCTGAGCCATGACAGCAGAAACGTGTAACGTGTCCAGCAGGAAAGTCAGTCAGCAGAAGGAAAATAGCGTTTGCCTTGCTTGCTCCCTAGCAAGACATCGTCCATTCAAGCGAGCAATCATTAAAGGGGAAAATACATTCATAAAGTGGGTGGTATGGCAACAGGAATTACGGTCCTTGTCAAAGGCAGTGGGAGGAATAACCCTATCAGAGTTGTGTGTTTTTTTTTTTTAAGGCCGCTCCACAGCCCCGAGATCAGCTTTATTCTCAGCTCTCTGAGTGCCACCTCATCCAAAAATGCTGCTGTCATCTTTCCCAGACCAGAAGCATCATTGTTGCCTCCCACCCTCAATGCTACAGAGGAACCAAACCTATCCGAAGCATCACACTGTGCTTGCAACGGGGATAAATTGCCCTTCTCTCTTTCCAACCTCCAGCCCCAAAGCCAAGTAAATCAGCAAAACCTGGACTTTAAGTGGCTTCTAACGTACTGAAAGTCAATTAGAGTGATTAAAACGGAGCTGCTAACCACAGGTCTTCATCACCGATGCCGTGCTGAACATCTATTCTGTGTGGTTTGCAAGTAAAAGTGCATGGAGAGGAAAGGATTTATTTTTTTTTTAAAGCAGCCAAATTGCCTCTAATTAGCAACACAACTGTAGTCAAAACATAATGTGAGGATAATAAATTGATATTTGCATAATGGAGACACTACCCAAATGTACTTCAAATAAGCTGAATTGGATTATAATTAGAGCTGCGTTTTGGGAAAGAAAATCCTCCTAATTGCCTCCGTACCGACAGCATCAAGGAGGAGAGGGCTGCAGGCATAGGGCATGGCCCCGAAACAGCACGGCAGGGCTGGGGGCCTGCGGGAGTAGCTCCAAAAAGCAAGGCAGCCTCCCTCTTTTCCTTTTTTCCTTTTTTTTTTTCCTATGTTGGGAAACACTCCCAAAGCAGCTGCTGATGCTGGGAAAACCCCAGGAAGCTCCTGGCTTATTTTCTACAGCCAAACCAGCAGAGCTGAGCTGCGGGGCGCGAGGCATCGCATGCCTCAGCAAATGAGGATGAGTTGAGGAGCCTGTGACTGGGCGGGTAGCAGCAGCAAAGCATCCTCCTCTCTCCCTCAGCACTGTGCTTCGTGTGGTTGTGCTGAAAGAAAACCTGGGGGAAGGCGTGTGGGAAAACAAGCTGGGTGGGAAAAACGTGCCTCTCTGGGGAGGCCGTGCGGGGATAACAGTGCAAGTGCTACTTCTGTGCCTCGCGAGGAGCCTGTGGACGAGGGGAAGCATTGGTGCTGCACCAGGTTGCCACAGCCTTCTGCCAGCTTTAGTCAACCAGCAGTTGCTTGTCTCTGTTGTGCACGTTGGCTCTTATTTCCCAACAATTCAGTTTAATTACGTTCCCCCCAAACTGGTGATGGCGAGCTTGTTAAGGAAAGGCAGCTACGCAGTGAGGGCATTATTTATATTTGCTATGAAGCCACGGTTAGTTCTATTACAAATGACACCACGCACGTGTGTCCTGCTGATTTATGATGGCAAAGATGAGCTGTGATCATTCTTTGCAGCACACGAAATACACACGGCACATCTGCACCTACACGCTCAGGTCAACGCCTGGATCCAGCTTAACAGAGCAGACGAGTTGGTGCAAGATGTGATTACCAGCTGGCAATTAATTATTGGTAAAGGTGCAGACAAAGGCAAAGCTGGAAGGGCATTGGTGCAGGCATTCAGGGCAGGTTTCGGCTCTTGAGGATGTTCTCCAAAAGCTCCTGAGCTTCTTGGAGCCCGTGGGCTGCAGCCACACTGAGGAGTTTCTCTACTTCCCTGAAGGACATGAAATCTTTGTTAAAAAAAAATCTAGAAAAAGGTCTGGTTGGTTCCTATCTGACTGTTATTTACCCAGATTTTTATTAGAGGACCACGACTACTCGATCTGAAAGAATCTGTGAAGCCAACTCTAATATTCAGAAAACAATCTGCTTTTCTCTTTGCTTTTCCCTATGGTCTGGGTGTGCATATTTGGGGTTTGGTGATTCTCCCAGCCTAATTGCACTGAAGCAGAAATGATTTGGAGGTCTTACATACACCTAATAAAACCGAACAACCGACTCTGCCTATCTCAGGAGGAACGGGGCCCTCCTCTGCAGTGGAAAGGGGTAGGAGCAACTGGGGTTACCCTTCCTCCAGCGCCGCCGTCATGTTTCGGAGAGCTCCCAGTGCCAGGTTGAAGGAGGAGTGAGGGTGGCCCTGTCCTGCCGCCTGCCTGAAGAAGGAGAGGGGGCAAGGAAGGCATAAAGGAAAATACAAAACAAAAACTTAATTCAACTATTTCCCCTGTGCACCTGTGGTCTCAAACTCAAGATTTTTTTTGGCCTCCCCCTGGCTTAAAATAAGCGTGAGAGGACGGGGAAGGCAGAGTGAAGTGTCTTGACCCCAGGCGAGACTCAGGGAGGGCCGGGCACGCACCATGGTGCAGCACACCTCTCCCCACAAAAATATCACCAGTTCTTTTTCCTCCTCCCACACCCCGACAGACTTTCCCAGAAAAGAGCCAGGCACCGTGTCAGGAATTGTTTTTTTTTTTTTGCACCTCACCTGAACCAGTGCATGGCCAGGTCCTCGCTTTTCTCCACTCCAGCTCCTGAGAGGGAAACAAAGCAGCAGAGTCGGGGCGAGGACATAAAATACGATGCCACGTTTGTGTTCCCTGTGCACAAACGTCCTCTGGCAGGGATGGTTACCTTGCAGATACCTCTGCCCCACGATGTGCTGGGCATGGGGGTACCCCAGGCGAGTATACACCTGAGCCACGTGGAAATGGAAGCCCTGGTAGCACAGCGCCATGTACAGCAACAGCAGGGCGGCCACAGCCACAGCCACCAGCTGCAAAAGAGGAGGTGTGAGGAGAGAAAGGAGCAATCTTTGATGCAGAGCTGCTTCCAGCACCCATTAAAGCCAAATAAGCAAAATCTTCTGCAAGCCCTTGGTTGTGCTCCCCGTGCCCATGAACACAAAGCCCTGGGGGCTTTGCAGAGGCTGCGCTGACGCTGCCAGACTCAGCGCTGCCTCCCCGAGCCCCTCGCTTACCTCCCAGGTGCTCCACACCACGCTGGGGTGCTCCCCACCTTGCAGGGAAGGATTTTCCTCATGGGAGCCAGTGCTGCCCCTTCCCACCCATCGCCGCCGTGCCGGGGGCTCGGTGTCCCCCATGGCTCCCCGCTGCTGGAGCTCTGAGAGCTGCCTCCCTCGCCGCAGGTCCCTGTGGTCGCCTTCTCCCAGCTTTGCTCCTGATTTATGGTGGTCGCAGCCCAGCTGCTCGGCTGAGATAAGAGGGATAGTGGAAAAGGTGACCATCCTCTGCCAGCACCCTTTGAAACTGCTACCATTCAACTCTGTGCTGGATGCTTCTCCGCCTTCAGACTGCGTCAGGGTGGGTAAACAGCTAAATTTCACAAAGTTGAGGAAGAAATTAAAAGTAAAATGTTTGCTTTTCGTGCTTTTCCCACAAGAAGGCAAGTGCTTCGCGAGGATGCTACTCAGAGCCACAGATGTTGAGCAGTTTGTTAACTCAGTTGCTTGGGCTCCACAGGGTCCTGTCGGGCTTTGAATGAGTGAAATAAGATGCGGGCCCGCCCCCAGGTGAGAAAATCAGAAAGGGTGCAGTGAGCTATAACCAGGGAATTATTTATATTTATCTAATATATATGAAATATATAATTAACAACCCCTGCCCTCCCCCAAAGTTCAATGGGATGGGATTATTCTTATTTTTTTAAGCTGGAAAAGGGCTTACATGCTAAAGGCGGGCATTTTCTAGCTGTGTAGTTGTGCCTTTATTCATCTGCAGTGACTCCACCTAGTGAATTTCAGACGGTAAATCATGTTTTGCCTTCACAGCTCAGCACACGGCTGCTTTTAACACCAGGTACTGCCTCCTGCCTGTTACCTTTTCTGCTCCGGAGTCCTAGCCAAGGACCGTCACTGAGTGGCAAGGTAGATGAGATCCATCTCATGCAAAGGGCTGACCTTGCCTGGTTGCCTAAGAGTAAAAAAATTAAAAGTTTTTTTTTCTTTTCTTTCCAATTTTACAGCAAGGGGAGTGCCATGCTGTGGTTTTGAAGGCAGTGATGACTCAGCCTAAAACCCTTACCGAAGAGGAAACCCTTCATCCGTCTGCATTGAGGTAAAGTTCTCATTTCTGGTGTTGTGCTGCCATCGTGGGGCCAACCTCATTTGCTTGGTCACGGCCACACGACAGTCTGAGGCCCATCCTCATGCTCCTCATCCTCTTGATCAAAATGCAAAGCATTTTCAGGGTATATGAAGCGAATGGGACATGAACAGTCATATTGTAGGGTCAGCTGCTTCTAAAGCAAACCCTGAGGAGAAGGACCTAGGCTGCAGTATCCTTATACTCATTTACCTTTTTTTTTGGCTACAATTATTGGAATTTAAAGTTAAAAATGAAAAACAACGACAACAACAACCTCATGGAGTCATTCTGCTTGGGAATGAACCAATCTGTAGCTGCAGATCCCAAATTTTGGCAAAAGTAAGCTCCTGAGTTACTGTTACCATTGCTCATAAAGGAGTATCTGCAGTAGATTCACCCTGACACCTGACCTAGCTCAATGAAATTACACTTTTCGCTGCACAGTCAGGTCCTGGTGCTTGCAGTTCTTCATTGCAGGTGACTGCAGTGACACATGGGAAGGTGTTATTACTTGCACATTAATTAATGGCACGTTATCAGTGAGGGGCATGCTTGTGCTATAAGCCAGATGTGGTCGCGGTTCTCACGCCTGCAGTGAGCTTGAGCTGCTTCTCTGAAAAAATCAGCCTTCAGCACAAGGAAAAAGTAAATTGGGTTGTCGATGCAGCAGCCAGTGATGGCTGTAGTAGCTGTAGTAGCTGCCTCCTACCAGCACATCACTTCTCTTTGCCATGGCTTTGGCAAGGAAAGGACGAGGGGCAGGTGGTGTTTCTATTTCCCCTTTCATCTACAGCAAGCAAGTTTTGAAGAACGACTTCCATCTCGTACAAATGAGCATTTTGATTGAAAACCTGGAGCCAGCCACGTTCAGGAAAACACAATTTTCCCCACATTTCTTTTTCACGTGAAAGGTTTTGCTAATCATGTGGTTTCTCTTTTCCTCCTTGCTGTGTCAGTGTGGTTAGGGCTGGAAGCACTTAAATGCCCCATTTCAGTTGAAAGGTGGATTTTGAGTGCTGGAAGGAGCACGGGTGGCTGTGACTGGAAGGAGCTAATAGGACAACATCACTGTTCAGGAGACCTGGAGCCTAGACTGAGTCCCAGGGAGACAAGAAAGGAAAGAATAATAATGGATTGTGCCAAAACCCGTATGTGAACACTGTGTTTGTCCCTTCTCATTTGTTTTCCTAAGGTTTGCTACGCTTTGTCCCAAATGAAGAAACATACAGTTGTTGAAAGAATGTTAGATGAAGGCTATGAAACCAAAATAAGCCATGCCCCTAGCACATTGCCAGTTCAAAGCAAACACATCGACCTCGCCGCCTCAGACAGAGTCCAGGCACTGCCTCAGAGTGTCACTGTCTGATTAGCCTCAAGGAGTTTTTCCGATTCACTTTGTTAGGAAAAGAAACGGGTATAACCCAACTGATATAACTGGCACGAGTCTATTTAATCAAAGCGTCCCCTAGGCACCGGCAACATGGGGCAGATTGGATTCCCCCTCCTTGTTCGCCAGCTTGAAGGTGGTTGAGTGCGTGCTCACACATGGCTTTAGAGCACAACACCAAACTGTGAATGCTCCTCACCTCAGTTACCCTGCTGGATGGAGCTCAGATGGAGGTAGCAAGGGGGACCGAGGTGTGCAGCAGCAAGGCCTTCCTTGCAGGGCAATGGGCAGGAGGTGGGCAAGGACGTGTAGCTGGCATGGTCCCTGACAGGCTCCGGTTTCATTTTGCCTCCACAACCTCCCTTCACAGCTGGCTAACCAAGAAGGAGATAAAAATCAATTCAGACCAGCCATTCTGGCACAATTAATAGCAGACAGAAAGGTGTACAATAAGCAGGACCGTAGCTATAAGGGGAGCTCGAGTCTCTCCGATAATCAGCATGCACACGTTGTCTGCAGATCTATTACAGAGACGTGTGAAGCTGTTTCAAGATACCAGATTATCAAACGTATCTGTTAAACCCAGCAATTGCCCCCATTCATCACCACGCACGGCACCACAGAGCAGGTGATCCTCCTGAACCCAGGCACGGCAGCCAGCAGGGAGACCTGAGGGAGACTGCCCTTTCAGGTGCAGTTGCGGGCAGCTGTGCTGCTTCTTTGTCCATTTTAAATGGCAATTAACTCTGTTAACAAGGTCACAGACTTGTGATGTATCCAGACAATACCGCATTCACGGCCTGGTGGTCAGTGAGGGGTGGGAAGGGGTCCCTGCTTTATAGGATGAGTCCATCCAAGTTGCCTAAACGTGCCTTACGGGCTCCTGTCCTTTACTGCGCTGGACATGCTACACAACAGAATAAAGAAACCCTTCCCTTGTGCCCTGGTGTGCCACAGCTAGGTGCTTGAAAACCAGAAATGTCAGAAAATAGATCCGTAAATCCACATGGTAAGCAAAACCTAAGTCTACCCTGCACTTTGCAGACAGAGGAAAATTAACCCTGCACATTGTCCAAGCTGATCAGAGGGACCTATCAATGTTAATTGGACCAACAAAGGCCAATTTACTGTGCTCTGCCCCATTGAAGCGTATCTTCCCACCCCCACCACGAGGTGGTTGTGCTCTAAGAGCCATCTGAGTCAGTTTTAACTTCTCACTTCTGAAATATTAGGGAGGGAGTGGTGGCGAGGGGCTTGTAGCGTGAGGTGATCCGAGACTAGTTTCACACCCTGTGGCACGTCCCTAACCCTACATAAACTGCATTCACCACACAGACACCTCAGCATTAGCTTCGTAGCTACGAGCCCTGCTCTTTGGTGCGTGCTGAACGGGGCTAATAGGAACCTCAAAGGAGGCTGTAGTGAGGTGGGGGTTGGTCTGTTCTCCCACGTGCCTGGTGACAGGACGAGGGGGAATGGGATAAAGTTGTACCAGAGGTGTTTTAGGCTGGATGTTAGGAAGAACTTCTTTATGGAAAGTGTTGTGAGGCATTGGAACAGGCTGCCCAGGGCAGTGGTGGAGTCACCATCCCTGGAGGTCTTTAAAAGACGTTTAGATGTAGAGCTTAGGGATATGGTTTAGTGGGGACTGTTAGCGTTAGGTCAGAGGTTGGGCTGGGTGATCCTGAGGTGTTTCCAACCTAGAAAATTCCATGGTTCTGTGGGGTTCTAAGGGGAAGGAACGAGACCTCGACCAACTCCCGCAACCTTCTGTAAAATCTCGATTTTATTTTTATTTTTATTTTTATTTTTATTTTCAAACTCAAACCCAACTCCCGCTGACAGAAACCACCAGCACCCCCGAGCACCGTGACCCAAACCCCCAGCGCTAACCCCCCCGCCTCAGGCGCTGGCGGGCGCCTGTCCCTTTAAGGGGGGGCGGGGCCTGAGCCGCAGCGCCGCAGAGCGCCGCAGAGCGCGGCCGGCCCCGCCCCGCCCCGCCATTGGCTGTCGCTAGGGCATCGCCCCGCCCCCTGTGCTCTGTGATTGGCCGGCGGCCGGGCCGGGGTTCCCGGATGCGGGCGGCCGGGCGGTTATAAAGGGCCGGGGGAAGGCGGGAGCGGGCGCAGTTTGAATCGCGGCGGGTCGGGGCCGGTCGGTGCTGCGGGCCGGGCTCCTCGTCCTCTTTCTCCTTCTCCTCCTCCGACAGCACCCGCGCTGCTGCTCCGTCATGGTGAGGGGGCGGGGAGGTGTAGTGAGGGGGGAAGAGCTGTGTGTACGTGCGGCGGCGCCGCCGGCCCATGGCGGCGGCTGAGGGGCTGAGGGGAGGCGGCCGTTGGCGGGCGGCGCGGGCCGTTAACCGCCGGTAGGCGGCAAAGGAGGGGGAGGGGGAGGCGCATGCGCAGTGGCGGCAACGGGGAGAGGGAGGGGCGGCCGCGCATGCGCTGTGGGGCCGGCCGCGGCCGCTGGGGGGGGTGGGCAGTGCGCAGGCGCAGCGCGGAGGGGAGGGCGGGGGGGGGGGGTGTGAGGAGGGGGGCGCATGCGCGGTGCGGCGCCGCGGCCGCCCTCAGGGCTCTGCTGTCGTCGTCAGGCCGGAGGCAAAGCCGGGAAGGACTCCGGGAAGACCAAGACCAAAGCCGTGTCCCGCTCGCAGCGCGCTGGGCTGCAGGTGAGGAGCCAGGGAGCGGTGGAGAAGCGGGGTGGGCCTCGTGTCTGCCCGCCTGTGCTGTTCTGAGGCCTGCTGGTGGGCTGCGGGGGGTGTCAGGAGCCCGCACCCGCTGCTCCTGTAGGGTATCTCTGCGGTCACAGCCTGCTCATGTTTCTGTTACTTTCCCAGTTCCCTGTAGGCCGCATCCACAGGCACCTGAAGTCTAGGACTACCAGCCATGGGCGTGTGGGAGCCACAGCTGCTGTGTATAGCGCTGCCATCCTGGAGTACTTGACAGCTGAGGTAAAGCGCCTGCCAGGGGTGCACACACACACACTGCTCAGGGCCAAAATGGCACAGCGACCACAGCCTCCTGTCTCTGGCAAATTTGGGCAGGGGTGTGAGCTCTTCACTCGCTTTGCGCCAATTTTAGCTGTGTGCTTCCTCGGGGAGTTGCCAAGTATGCATGGAATTTCTTGCTTTGCATTTTTTGTGGATCAAATAGCTGTGATTTACAGCCGGGGTGGAAGTGTGAAGGACTTGATAAAATGTGTAGCTGCTGCACTTTGTGTCTGCTGTAAAATATTTTGTTCCTAAAGCCACACCTTGAAAGGAGGAGCCCTTAAAGATGCATCCTGTGCTGTCACTGACAGCGCATCTGATGCAGGGAGTAAAATGGTCAAGGCCATGCAGTTGGTCTCACTTGATTTGTGTAACTCCTCTGAAAAAAACTCTTGTCTGAAGGTTCTTGAGCTGGCAGGAAACGCATCCAAAGACCTGAAGGTGAAGCGTATCACTCCCCGTCACTTGCAGCTCGCGATTAGAGGAGACGAGGAGTTGGACTCCCTCATTAAGGCAACGATTGCTGGTGGTGGTACGTAAACTGCCTGTGGCAAGGCCTCTCTCCGGTGTGGAGGTGGCTGCTTGTGAAGTGTGGAAACAAGCAAAACAGTTAAAAAGAAATAACGTTATCTTAACTGTTGCTCTCCTGTAGGTGTAATACCGCATATCCACAAATCTCTGATTGGGAAGAAAGGACAACAGAAAACTGTCTAAAGGCTGCGAGGATCCCTTGTTATCTCAGGACTCTAAGTACTTCTTGTCCAGTGTTGGTGATTCCAGTGGACTGTATCTGTGAAACACAATTTTGCCTTTTTGTAACTTTAAGAAGCTGAAGCTCGCCTGAGCTTTCTAACAAACCAAATTTCTGCATTGAAGTCTTAACCGTATTTAAGTGTTACCATGGCTTCAGAGAAGCTATTGTATTTGCGGTGGGTTTTGGAGTGAGCTGACTGTTTTTAGATTGGTCCGGCGAAGTAAATGCGATTTGACGAAGTAAATGTTTTGGTTTTGTACAGACTTTTCATCCACTAGAGTGGAAATGTTCAATAAATGTTCTATGAGTACCGACCGTGTCCTGTCCAGGAAGTGAAAAAGGGTTGGTTTGTACAGAGTGTGTGTGGGAAACGGCATCCTTGGGGAGTAAGTGTGCTTAGGAAATACCACTGGGAAAAAGGGTGAAGCAAAAGGATGAAGCTGAAGGGATGATGTCAGTAATTAGGGGGTGTCAGCCAATTTTAAGGGGAAATCCTGCTGTTTTTTGCCACTTTTTGTAAAACCCTGTGAAGCCATCCCTAAAAGCGCACCTCCTGCAGCAGCACCTGCAGAATCCTGACACACAACCTCCGAGGAAGCCCAAAAATGTGGCAGCCCTAAAAAAAAAAAAAGCCGGTGCTGATTCGTGGCCCCATCCCCACCCCGCAGGGGGTTGGGGGCGGCCCCGACCCCGGCTCCGCCCGCCCCTTCCCCCGCTGCCGCCTGGCCGGGCGCATGCGCGGCGCTGCCCGGAAGCAGGCGCCGGGCCGGGCCGCGGGGTGAGGCAGCGGCACCGGGCGGAGGGGACGGGACGGGACTGGGGGGGGGCCCCGCCGCCGCCCCGCGCCCCGCGAGGAGGAGCCGATGGAGGGGAACCGCGACGAGGCGGAGAAGTGCATCGGCATCGCCAGGGACGCGCTGGAGGCCGGAGACCGCGACCGCGCCCTCCGCTTCCTCAGCAAGGCCCAGAAGCTCTACCCCACCGACACGGCCCGAGGTGAGCAGCGGGGGGGCGGCACGGGGGGGTCACCACGGTCCAGAAACGGCGAACGCCAGGCCTGGGCGTCAAGTGAAGGCGTTCAGCGAACGTTTTCCACCCCCTCCTACCCCCCAGCTCTTATACGTAACCCCAGGTGCCATCAGGGCTCTGCTTTTTTTCACAGCACGCAGGGTTGGTTTGTTTTCCCTGCAGGACTGCATGGCCGTGGCTGGTAAATCAGCAGGAAGGAGGTAACTCTGCTGCCTGGTTCGCATCAGGCGTGTGGCACTGTTGGTGTTCTTGCCGCTTCCTCGGAAATGCAAGCAAACAGAAGCCGGCTGCGTTCCCCTACATTTCTGTAGTGTGGGATGACAGCATGCTTGGAAACCTGTGCAGCTTTTTGGGATCTGTGTACACCAGGAAGGCTGAGGGTTTCAGTTCATCCCCTTTGGTGGGACAGGCTAACCAGTTTTGTCTGTTTCACATACCTTATTACCACCCTTTGCCTCCAAAATCAGTTAGAGTAGTTGAGGAAAACCAAAAGACATCTCCATGTGATTTGTTTTGAGATCTTGTGCTTTGTTTTTTATTTTAAGTAGGACCGCTACTGCGTAACCACCATTGCCAAGTATTCAGAGCAAGGGGTAGCCTAATTAGGCTATTGTCTGTAGGACGCTTCTGTTATTCGCTGTGGAAATTAGCAAAGTGTGTCACAAACGAGGTGCGGATCTGGTGAAAAGAGGATGGCCCTGCGCTTGTGGTGGTGGCCTGGGAGCTGTGCACTGACACCTCACAGCATTTCTCTGTTTCCATCCATCAGTGGCAGCTGATTGTTTGCGCCTCGTTTTCCAGGTATTATTCACCTTGAAACAAGGGCCTGATTTGTGGAACTGGTGGGCAGTTAAAGCTCCGTCTGAAGCTAGTGAGAATTGCAGGTGCCCTAATGCCACTGAAACAATCAGGCCCTAGGCCTGGTTTTAACTGGGTACTTAGAAATTAGGGGACTCTGTAAACCTGTAATATCCCTGTGCTCAGTTCCCTAGCCGTGGAGGTTGGTAATTCCTTTTGAGCCATCCCATTTCCTCCCAAAATAACACCAACTCGTTGAGTTTAAGTTTGTCAGGTACTGAAATTGACCTGTTAAGAGCACAGAAAGCTGCAAAGACACAGAATATCCTGTTCTCAGGACAGGGACTGGGAATTGTGTAGTAAATCAGGGCTGGAATTTTACAGGGACGAAGAATAAATGAAACGGCTGCTTCATTATCTCGTTGTCCTTTTAGATAAATTACGTTAGGGGTCCGCCTGGAAAAAAAAAAAGAAAACAGTAATTCGTTAGATAATTAAAAATCGTGTCATAGCATATACACAGGAGAAGAAAATAGTTGAGGTTTCTGACTTAATTCTAACACAAATTGTTATTTTACAGACGTAAAACCCCATAAAGGGTTGGTTTTCTGTGGTGGAAGGATGGTATGACAGCCCTGGGTGCCCTTGTGCTCGCTTGTTCTCTCTTTGGGATGTACATTAGGAGGTTCCTTCTTTCCAGTCTCTCTCTGAAGTCACAAATTCACCGTAGGGCATACCTGTAGTGTGAGTTTGGGAACAGTTGCCCACCATTTCACAGATGGTGTCGCATCAGCAATAAAAGCAGCGAGAATGGCGGTGCTGAGTTGGTTTTGGGTTTGTTTTTTTTACTGGTGGGACCTTCCTCCTCCTCCTCCTCCTCGTGTTCCAGCTGCTTACAAAGGGAGTAGAGCAGGTTTTAACTGTTATCTCTGAAACGATGTGGCTTATTTTTGGCAGCATTTGCATTGAAAGTTCGGTCACCAGTGAAGTTTGGTTTTGCCAAACAAAGCCTGAAACGCGCTGAGTGCAGCGGTGCTGTTTGAAGGCTTTTACTGGTGCGAAGTGGGAGGTCGGCGTGGCACTTGGCTGATGACTTCACGGGAACTGCTCGCGTTGACGTCGCTCTTTGCTAGAAAACTGTTGTACAATTCAGCTGCTCCATCAGCCTGTTAAGTTTGGTTGTGATTTTGATTCGTCTTGCAACTGAATGGGAACTAATTGCTTGTCTGGAAAAGATTTGGAAGAGTGAAGATAACAGAGGACGGTCTCCTTGTCAAACGTGTGCGCCGTTCTGCTTGGAGCTGGAGGCACCAGAGGACGTTACGGGCAGCTTTATTTTTTCAGGGCTTCTCAAGATTGCCTGCACTGCTTCTGATGCTGCCTTTAAAAGCAAGCGTTTCATTTCAGGAGTTATATGAGCTTCATTTTTTGGGGGGTGATGCTCTACTATGAGTTCAGCTGGTCTTCCCAGTAGTGAAATGGGAGTTGTGTTTGACCCGCAGTGGAATCAGATGCAGTGCGAGGATCTTTCATTCAGGAATGAGAAAAGGTGCACTCAGGAGAGCCTTCGTGTGCTTGGAGGTGAGACTCATCGTCCTAACCTGCTAAGAAAATACCTCGTTGACTCCTTGCATATCCTATTTTAAAACACCTGTGTGCACTCTGCGATTTCTCTTTAATCCTGTCAGTAGCACCATTCTAACACCTGCTTTTACCACCACCACTTCACGGATGAGTCAAAATCTGTTGTGGCTGTACGAACTGGATACTTTCACCTGAAGGAAGCAGCAGCTCCAGACCCTTTGTAGGACGTTCCTGTTCAGCGCAGAGCAGTCGCGTGTCTGTGTGTGCTGCGTCCTGTTCGCTTGCAAAGTTAAACGCTTACGGATATGACTGAACAACGCTCGCTTTCTGCGAGTGCCCTAGATTGTCTCCTCGGCACTGCAGCTCCGTTAGGCAGGCGGGAGCGTTGGCAGGGGTTTTAGGAAGTAGTGGTGTTGGAAGTGTAGTGCAGGCAAGGCAGCTCCCGGACAGACTTACTGCCTGGGTTTGCTCCGAGGAGTTGCTGGAGGTTAGAAATGCGACTTGCTGCCTGTATCTGCGTTTCTGCCACTTTTGGTGCTGCACAACTGTAGGGATGGGGATTTTCTGGAGGAATACAGGTACAAAGACAGGCTTTGCAAAGCTGTTCATTAAGCATCGTTTACGGAGAGTAAGTCAGGGTAGTGTGATCGATAGCATCCCTCGTTACACCATTATTAAATACTGAAGGTCACGAAACAGAAAAAGAATAATTCTGTTTTATCACTTATCTGGAGCAAATCTGGTCTGCAAACGCTTCATTTTGAGGGCACTCGTGTTCACATCTCTCTTCTCGATTAGTTCTTACTTCATTGACCTGAAGACTTCAACTGCTGTACCAGATGGTACTGGAAGCAGCGTGCAGCTACTCGGATGCGTGCTTCAGTTGCAATCCCTCACGCAGCTACAGCTTTCCCGTTCTCAAGAACCTCACTTCGTTTGTAGTGAAAACACCCCCCGAGTGTACAAACCAGCACATAAACGTGAGCCTCGTCTTTGTTTCCGCAGTGAAAAGCCTGACCTGACCACCGAGGAATCGTGCTGAGGCAGGCACGAACGCGAGAGCAGCGCTGAAACCATCGGACTGTTTCGGTCAGGCGGCGTGGGGCTGCCTGCCCGCAGTCCTTGGGGCCGCTGCTGCCAGCAGGTAGTGGGCAAAGCCTGGAGTAAAAGCAAACTGGGGAGCTCCAGGAAGCACCTCTCAGAAAAGTGCTTCTCTTCCTTTTAAACAAAGCTCTGCTTCCTTTTCCTTCCTGTGCTGCTCTGAGGTGCAAGCTGGAATGTGGAGGAGCCCGGTTTGCTGCTGCCGTGGGAGAGACCGTGCTAGTCAGAGGAGAGGTTTTACATTAGATTTAGGAGAAAGTCCTTCAGGCTGCTTCTCATTAGCTTCTAGAAGAAAATGCTTTTTCACAGTAAAGTGACAACATGCCTTCACGGTGAGTGGGATCTTCTTTAATGACACTAAGTCTTGCTTTATGAAATGCTGCGGAGTTTGCTCAGTGTAGTTTGCCGTCTTGCTCTGAAAGGCTGTCTCCTCAGTAAAGAGAGGCTGTTTAATAAGAGCTGGGTGCAGCTGACTGGTCCCAATTTACCCAGGGCAAACAATAGTTGAGATTTCAGCTCGTGTTGTCTGAAGGGGGTATAGAACATCAGCTTGTGGCCACCGATGGCTCAGGCTACAAAACTTCAGCTGATGTGCTGCAGAACCCCCTAGCAGGGTGTGTTGCAGTTTTCCAGCCTGACACAAATGTGGCTTCATCTTTCTGGTTCTCACCCCTCTTGCCACGACGAGACGTTATCGGTGCTGTTCCGAGGTGTAGGGCTTCTCGTGCACCTCCCCAGGTGAGCGTGGGCTCGGTTGTGACACTCGCCGAGTCATTCATCAGGAAGCCTCTTGTTCGTGACCTCAGGTAATGAGGTAACCCCGAGGCTGCTTGTTGGGAAGGGAACGGGGCTGAGCAGCCCTGTTTGCCTCAGCAGCTGCCAACAGAAGCGTGTAACTTCAGTGCAGATGATGCCCAGAGCTTGCAGTGTAGGTTGGGTTAGGTGCCGTGGCCTTTTCCCTGGGACACTACACCTTACTTGTCTTATTTTTTGTCTTTTTGTTACTGTGACATGTAAGGATGATGAGCTGAGAAAGAGCAGGCTCTTTTCTTCTGTCGCCCTCTTTAAGGTTACCAGAGAAAGCTATGGACCAAAGAGCATGTTTTGTTACAGCACTGAGATACCAGAATTTCAACCCGCTGTTGGGAGAAAAAAATCTCCATTTTGGTCTTCTCATTTAGTATTAGTGAAGCACTCCAAATCTTTTATTCTTTTTTTAAAGAAACAATGGAAATGAATGGTCAGTTTTGCTGTCAAGTCCATAACTCTTGGTTCAAAAGCCTGTTAACCAGATAAATATCATATAAAAAGTATTATTGTGTCATAATTATCAATAAATCTGTTGCCAGGACAAGTTTGCCTGCTTAGGCAAACCAGGAGCTGGGTTTGGGCTCTGGGTGGAGCAACTGTCAGGTTCTTTAGGGTGTTAGCTTCGTTCTTCTTTTCTGTTTGCAGTTGCTTATTCAGGTACTTTGATATTTTCACCCCAAAGAATGCATTCAGTGCCTCTGAAACACATGGAAACGGAGTACCTGGACATATTTTCTCCAGTATTAAATTACCTTGATGGAGATTGAGAGAATTCCAACCATGAATTTTGGAACGCTTTTCCACAGTTGCGCCATGCAAAGGAGTTGCAGACTGGCCTCAGATTGTGGTACAAAGTGATGATTGAAAAGAAAGGGGAATATAGCAGCCAGTCTCTTACGGTGCAGCGCTCCCATTTAAGGCACTTGAGAGCCCTGACTTAATTCCTAATGCCCGTAATGATGCTATGATATCCTGTTGTTTTGCAGTTTTGTTGGAAGCTATTACGAAGAATGGAAGTGCTGCTGGGGGAGGCGCCTACTGCCGAAAGCCAGCCGGTAGCAGTGATCAGAGTAAGCCCAGCAGCACGAAGGAGAGCAATGCCTCTGCTGGGAGCGAGAGTGGGAAAGGCTACACCAAAGACCAAATGGAAGGAGTATTCAGGTATGGCCTTGCTTAAATACACCGCTGGCTTTCATTCTGTGTGTTGCGTGCTTACGTTTTCAGAGGTAGCATCAAGAGAAGCAACAGAAAATTCGAAGTACAACTTGCAGGACAGTGTTTCTATTAAATATTTTTATACTCAGCTATCTAAGTTTGCATTACATCCTTACTCTTTAAAAGTCTAAAGCTGTTCAGGCTGGCCTGAGCCCAGCGTTAGAAACTATTTTGTTCTGGAAGTATAGATATCTGAGAAACATGGAAGCACATAGCCTAAACACTGTTTGTAAACTGTCTGGAACTTCATGTAGCATGATATCATTAAGACGGGACAAGAGCAGAAAAGGAGGATGTGAGAAAAGAAACAAAGACCAGTAGAAATGTCCTTTTGAGGCAAGTAACTCGTAGGTTATGTGATCATTACATGCTCGTTGTCAGTAGCAGTGAGAAAAATACTGTTTGAGATGTGCTCTTTTTTTTTTTCCTTTGCTAAAGAAATATTGATGTGGCCACTCTAAAACTGCACACCTCCAAACCCACCTTTATTTTCAGATAAACAGAGCCCGGATATTTTCAAGGGAGTTCAAAGAAGGGAAATGAAAAGGCCCTCATCTCCTAGTTTGTGGAGGTTGACCTGTTGTGCAGAACACAAATCTGTGTGTTAATTTTTTGCTGTGGAATGTATGTCGCTGTTAATATTGTCTTGGGATCTTTTCCTGACGTTCAGCAATCTGTTCAGCTGTGCTGCCAGTGAGGAAAAACTCACCTTTCTGTGTTGATACAGCAGCGCTGTATTCAGGCAGGTAGAAAACAGCATCTCTCATGGTTATCCTCTTCTTGTGGCTATTTACTAGAACTTTTCATTTACCATCATCTCCCTGGTTGATTGATGCAGTTGACCTTCATGGGGCATCTAAAGTAAACTCGAAATAAGCACATAGATTTTTCAGCCACCTTGAGATACCGGCTGTGTTATGTGTGTGTGCAGGTGTGAGGCCGTGGGCACGTTTGTGAGCCAAAATATCCAGAAAGTAAATCCTCCGTAAAACGAGGCTTAGATCAGATGAAGACATGTAACACGTTTCCAGAAAGCTGCTACAAGTAAGGCTGTGTTTCTGCCAGCGTTCACTCACCCGTGACACGCCATTCTGAGCTGCAGTCTGCTTTGACATCAGGCTGCCTGCAAGTTGTTTCTTGTTTGCTTATTTGTTTTACGAGAAAGTAACATTCTCTACTTCTTCTTGCCTAAAATGATGCTACAGAGCCAGCTTTTCTCCACAGTGTGCTTTTATGGGATTGCTTCCTTGAAGGGCCTTACTAGATACCAGACAAAATTATTCCAGTGTGGGGAGATGAGAACCAGAGGTATTCACTCAAGTCACACATTGAGGATAATATTGATGCAACACTGCTTTATAGTGATGACTATTTCATTTAATTTATTTTGTGAATATAAAATTTGGGGTTATAATCCGGGGTTATAATCCGGGGGGGTTGCAAATAAGCATTTGTACTAGCTTGCAGAGTAGCCCAAGTTTGTTTATATTTTACACACAACTTAGAAAATCAGCTGTTAAAACAGTATCTTGATCTTAGTCTGAGTGATGCATCCTTTAGTACAGCAGATCTTAAACCTTTGGAGAAAGCCTGCCTTTTAGTTTAGATGTGCAGTAATCAGCAGAGCAAATCTCTAGCCTTGCTGGAACATTTGAAGAGTTTGTCACGTTGTCTGTTAGTGACATCAACGCGCCACTTAAAAAATTTGTGGTGAAGAAGGAGAAAAGAATGTTTTCCTTGCCCAGGAGAACAGTATTAAATCCAAACAGTGGGCTAAAACCTAATGGAAAAATAGAACACATTCAGTGATGATAGCTGAGGGGAAGCTCATATTTAAACCACAGTGAGAATGAGCTTTTTAGTTGGAAACATGACAGGCTGCATATGTTATTGCTTCAGTCGGGCCCCAGACTTTTCCAGTTAAATGAAACATGCCCCTCTGGGAAGGGTATTCTTTAGAGAGTCAAGCTTGTCACCACCATATGCTGCTGCCTTACCACAGCTGAACAGTTTTCAGAGCGTTGAATTGGTTATAGAAATGCTGTGTGAAAAAAAAAAAGGTGGGTTTAATTTTGTTTCATGCTTGATTTCTATTTTTTCCTGTGAAAAAAATACATTTTTAAATAGCAAGGTAAGAAATCTTCAATTCTCTGTTAATTCTGTGTCTTACCATGAATTTGCGTCCATCAAACTAAATTGTTTTGTATGCTTGTGATTTGAAAGATGGTCATTATCCTCAGGTATTCTTCTCTCTTTTTGGTTCTGTGTTAGTAACTCAAGTGTAGACTTGAGGGGAGGTGTTCCAGATGTAACTACACGTGCCACGTACAACCCTTTCTTACAGGCACTGGTGAGCAGTAGGACAGGGATGGCTCTGAGCTCTCCAGCTTGAATCACTGAGTGGTATGCCTGGAGTTGCCCAGAAATCTTAAATTTGCTTTAGGTTTAAGAAGCTTAGTGAAGACACTTGGATCAGTAGAACTAATTAACCTGCATCGCTTTTCTGGGTTACTCTAAAGGAGTACAAACAAACACCTGAGTGCTGTTTTTATTTTTTCCACATACACAGGGGACGCTGCTCACTAGCAAGCTATCATAACACTTTTCTAGAGCATTGCATGAGCTTGCAAACAAGTTACTCGACAGGGAGAAGCCTAAGGTGCAACACGTTTCCACTGATTGCATAAGTGCTGGGTGATGCTCGGATCTCTGTAAGAAACGAGCTTACTGTTGCAGTGGGACAATTTGAAGGTTGGGGTATTCAAAAGCACCTTGTTATATTTGAACTGAAATTATGTGGAAACGCCATCTGCACGCGTGCATCTTCTTCTTAATGGTGGTTATCTTGTCCCTATGGGGCTGGATCAGGTTGCCATTACAGTTGAGGTGGCCTGCATGTCACAGCGATTGACAGGAGACGAGCTGAAATCTATTAGGACCGGGAGGAGGTTCCATGTGTTTTCAGAGCAAGTGCTCTAGATGTCTCTAGGAATTGAATCCTGTCTGAGCAGTGGCAAGATAAGTGCGTGAGCATCACATGCACAGGAAAAAAAGGGAGATTTGCTTTTGGCTTCTGCAGCCTATACTTAAATGTTTAGTGTAGGTTATTGGCGCTTTTTACTGAGATAAAGAGATGAAACATCTGTGTAAGAAAGAAAATGGAAACTTATTTTTCTTTTACTTAACTGGAAAAGTGTTAATTCTTACAGATTACAGTCGTCAAAGAGCTGTTAATTACTTTCAAGCAAATTCTGTTCGTAGTATCTGCCTTCTTATACCACGTGTGCAGATACTTTGGAAAGGTTTTGTGAACTAGCATGAAATTAAAAATAAATAAAAGAATCAATTGCCTGCTGTGCATTAATCTTTCCCATTTCTTTTTATGCTGTCAAACGTGTGTTATATTTTACGGCATAATTTGAAGAAAAATGTTTTTGAGCTGTCAATAGGTTGTACACTTTATAAAGATTCCCTTTAAATGATCTTAAAACTCATGGGATGTCCAATGCCTCTTTAGTAAAGAAGCTAAAGCATATGTTCCAGATTACCTTTTTGATAACTGAAAAATAAGTGCCAGGAGTAGTAATATGTTAGACTTGGTTTGCTGTCTTGTGAAAGCTTTGTTGGAGTATTGCTTCTCCTGCACTGCTAGTGCCTGCCTCTTGGAAGAGAGCACAGGAAAGATTTATTTATTTATTTATTTATTTTATGGGGGGGGATCTTTGAGCTAGAACCAACACAGACTGCTCGAGGCATGAGCTCTGTAAGGAACCTTGCAAGGCAGGATTAAATTTCATCCAGTAGTGGTCAACTGTTAATCAGCAGCTTGACTTGAATTCATCGAGCAAACCAAAAATTCTCTCTGTGCATTTCACGTAAGGAATGCAAGCTATGTGCAGGCCTTCTGCACACTCAGCAAAAAGATACAGCGTTACTTTTTTTAACATGGGGTCACGAAGATAATTAAAATAGAATAATAAGAGCAGTCAACAAGTCTTTAAAAAGAAAGAAATCAGGGCATGCCTTTAATTAGGCTTCTAGAACTGCTGTGAATCATTGAAACACGCAGTTGAATGGTTGGGAAAGTCAAGGTAGAAATCATAGTTACAAGGTCTGTCAGGGAGAAGTGACACAGAAGATACAGTGGCAGAAAGCTTTAATCTACACTTTTTACAATTAAGCTACACTTTACAGTTAAGAAAAGAACTTAAAACCTGGAGGAAAGTATGCTAATGCGAGCATAGAGTTGAATATTTAATTTAATACAAACAGGAGAAACAAACGGAGGGAGTGCATCTGAGACCAAGTACCAAGAGATGCACCCTAACGTGGTGTCGCATCTGTAAGAAAAACAGTGACCTGAAATGTCTGGGACATAGCAAGGGTATGCTGGTAACAGCTTGAGCTCTGCAACAACAGCATGGAGATGTCCCTCTTTCCAACCCAGAACACCTGTTGCAGACCACACTTTCTTCATACAAACTGTGACTGGCACATTCCCAATTCAGCTGCAAGATGCCGTTTGCTTCATGCTCTCTGTCATCATTGGAAACTTGAGCCTAGGTAGAAACTGGTTTGTGTGTTAGTACATTTTTCTGCTAAACGCTGGGATCAGCGTAGCTTCCTTTCACGCAGTTCTTTGTCTCTGGCATTCACATTGCTGCACGCTGTGCTGCTCGGTTTAGATTACCATCGGGAGAAATAACTGTGGCTCCCAGCAGGAGCTTTTGGCGATTGTCGTCCAAGTATTTGTCTTTTGGGCCATCCCTGCGTGCACACAGAGGTTTTGGAAGGCCCTTTGAAATAATGTAGTGGTAATCAAAATCCGTAGCTACTGATCAGTGCAGGTAGTTGATGCAGAAGTGCAAGCATCTTTGGTTAACCTGATACAAGATGTTGACCTAATCTGAATTGTAGATTCAAGCAGTGGAACAAGGAGCAAAGCAATAGGAGAAGCAGTGGTGAACTTGTGCAGGTGAAAGCAGACGTCTCTGCTTTTCTCTGCTCAAACAATTCAGCAAGGGCAGAAATCAGCTGAAGAGCAGAAGGAACTTCAGAGTGATTCTGAAATAGAAGTAATCCAGCCAGGAATGAAAAATACAAGAATTGCAGCTCACAAAAATAAATTGATGCTGAAAGCAACAACTTTGAAATAAGCCAGAAATAAACAAACAAGCAAAAACCAGTTCAAAAGAACAGCTAACATCAGTGATCAGCCTTTTCTAAAACATCCACTGGTTTTCCTCTAACTTTGTGTCGCGTGACTGGGAACAGGAGAGCAGTGGGAAGACAAGTGGACGAGTGCTCCCTCCATCCCTCGTGAGACAAATTTCCACAGGACAGTTCAAAGTTCAGGCAAGGGATGGTGGCAGAGTGGGGATTGGGGTGCCTCAGCCTACGGTATCAGTTGCTTGGAGACGAGGTGAGGAATAGGCCGAGAAGGCCGGCTTCTACTAAGGAGCAGGGATCAGAAGCGGGCCGTGGCTCCAACAGCTCCCAGCAGCTGGAGAGAATTTCTGCTAGGGATGGGGACAGGCTGAGGGAAGAGTACTTAAGACACCACAAACACTGATGAATTTGTTTAATTGGAAAGCACCTTCTGATCATCTTCACTTGTGCTGCCTTCCCCAGTGCGAAGCTGCTGTGGAAGGAGTTTGGGTGCAGAACTACTCGGGCTTTGCTGAGGGGGCAAAAACCGAGCCTTTACCCTGTAAGGATTGTTTTTTGCTTTGATGTGACAAAAGAAGACAAAATTGAAGACAAATTTAAGACAAAATTAGGCAAGACTCTCATCTAATGTCAGGGTGTAGTGAGGGTTTCATAGCACGAAGTCACTGCTGAGGATTCCAGATACAGGTGCAGTTTTTGGCCTCTGTGTATTTACACGATCATTTGATGTACTTTAGCTTTAAAGTTTGATCTGCCTAATCCAAAGTCCTGCTGAACTCTGCAAAATTGCCTTGCGTGGGCCACGTGCTTCACTACGAAGCGGCATGCAGCAGCGCTCCTGGGGCTGTCCGCCAGAGTGCTTGCAGCGTGTGGTTGCTGCTGGGGTTTGTAAGAGCCAGCACTGAGCTGCTTGAGGTGTGAAGATGAAGAGCTGAAGATCTGTTCACTGAGGCAGTGAACAGGAGTCACGTTATCTCGGGGTTCGTCCTGTGCAGCAGGACATACCTGGTCTGGAGGCTCAGTGACGGGTCTGTGGCAGGCAGCGTTCCCGTGAGCGGGCCGGGCCCATCCTGAGGTGAACCCACAAGGAAGAATAAAAGTCAGGGGTGGCCATCACAATCTCACAAAGGCTTCTTTGTTCAAGGCTGGTTGTTTAGCCTAGGCTAGCCAGTCAGGGTATGAGGGCAATTTGGAATAAGGTGTGCTTGAAATGCTAAGTCATAGCTTCAGACAAAATCGGGAATGTCGCAATGGAAATATCTGTGCATTTGCATATTTTGTTTGACAAAGCAGACATTAACAAAGATATGCGCAGAGAAAACAGAAATGTGTTATACCTTGGCAGAATGTTTATTTCTTGACACGTAACAGCTCCTGTGTTTGTGTCCTGAGCCAGGCTCAGGATAGCAGTTTCATTCACCTCTTCTGAGGGCAAGCTCTGTATGAGCCACGCAGCAGGTTCCTGCCCGCACATCCTCATCAAGACGTAGCTCTGCTTTGGTGCACTGGCTCTAAGCAGTTTGTGGGCTCAGAAACTGGTGAGTCATGTACTGACCTGTGCATCTTCTGATCAGTAACAGCCGTTCCTACTGTCCCTGTCAGGGTTGGCCACCACGGGACTTCCACTGGCCGCGCATGGGAGGAAAGTCTGGGGCAAGTTTTGGAGGATTAGAACAGGCTGACATTCCTTGGGCTGGTTGTTGTTGTTTTTTCTCTGCTTTTCTCTTCATCCTACAGTGTTATGAAGTAAATTTTTTTTTCCATGTTTGTTACTTCCATGAGAAATGACCATACGCTTTTGGGGGAAGAAGTTGAGGTGAAGAACTTAGACCAGATGCAGAGATAGCAATTTCTTGAAATAAATCTTAATCCAATACTGTTAGACCTTCAAATAAAGCTGTTTGTTCTTGATACAGTTCATAAGTAATCCAGATCTTGAGGCTAAAGATGAAGGGATCTGTGTATGCTACCAGAATTTTTGCCAGTTGTACAAATTAACAAGCACAAGTTTCCAGTACTCAGAGTGTAATTTAATGTATTTTCTTTCCATTACTTCTTGTTGGTGGAATTGCTGTATTCTTTTTAATTAGCTTTATCAGCTTCCTAACTGCAGCTTATTAAACACTACTTCAATATAACGAGCTATATTTGTGTCACAGGATGTTCGTGCTGGCGGCTGCCTGCATGCATTCGATGCAGTGCTCTTGTGAGCACTGCACCGAGACAGCCGTGAAAGCTCGCGTTGTTCCATTACACCACAAAAAGGATCCCTCAAATGAAACCTGAGTTGATCAATGTGAGAGCTACGCAGGACCACACACGATGGTGTGGGTGTACTTCTAATGCTAGCATTCCCTTAATTACAGGGTCCCCGTTCTTCATTCACCAAACTGCCAAAGGCTTGCTTACTCCCTTTTTTTTCCACTTGGCTACTCTGTGTATAGTCTTTGTAACACTAAACCCATATTTACCTAGAAATGTGTGCGATTAAAGGAATGTGGACACAGTTACAGCCATGTGAAGAGACTCACATTAAGCTTTTAAAGTATTTCTGGATGTAATTTCTATTTCTTGCTCAGACCAGCTCTTTTCTTTTGGTATTCTCCAAATGTTAGCGTGCCTCGTTTCTGCCATGCAGTTCTGTTGTTCAGCCTTATTTTTCTCTGTTTCTAATCTCTTATGATGAACTCTTAACTTTTTATTAAAAAAAAAAAAATAAAAAAAAAATTAGCAGGATTGATTTTAAGGTGTATTTATTGGTTTGATAAATTCTTCCTACCTACATAGAATTAACTTTCTCTCAGTCCCTTGTAACTGCAGTTTCTCTCTTCTGGGTATTGTAAAGTATACAAATCATCAAATCATTTCCAGATTTTGCTGTTCATCTCTGTGTGAGACTGCTTGTAGTATAGACTGCTATATATAATATAGACTGCTTATACTGAATTTCCAGGTTTTCAGAGTCTTCACTGAACATTTGAGATGAGTTGAATCTGTAATTGCAGGAAGTGTTTATGTTTTTTTTAACCTATATAAACACTTACAGAAAGTTTCTTAAGATCCAGGTGCATTCCCAGCAGCAGAGGTGTTCTCACATACCTTATTTCCCTCAAAAGTGAATGTTTGAATGAATTGTGACTTGACTTTTGTTTGGAGAAAGGAAGGTATTGTTTGTTTTGGTTTATATCCTGGATAACAAAATACATTTGCTGTTGACAGTCAAAACTGGTCTTTCTACCTGCTAGCTCTGCAAAGTAAATTTGAAATCCTCATTTTATGCATTATTAACAGCAATATTCACATAATTGGAGATGAGGAAATTCTGTAAAAACTGCAAACAGAAACCTTTTCTTACAACGGTGGTAGTTTTACAATACAAGTAGAGCAAACTAAATTTATGCAGTAAGTAATTTTGAGTACAGTAGTTTATTGTGCTCGGTTTTGAGCTTATTGTGAACAATGGCTTTCTTATTTGTTTGTAGGGTGGAATTTTTTGTTTATTTTGTATTAAAAGTGAGAGTTGTAATGCATTCCGTCAATACAACATGTTAGCTCATTTGCAGCTGTGTTCTAACATACTACTGTTACACCTTTTTGGTTACAATATTTTATTTCCTTTTCTTTTGCAGTATAAAGAAATGTAAAAATTATTACGAAGTCCTTGGGGTGTCAAAGGATGCAGGTGAAGAAGACCTAAAGAAGGCTTACCGAAAACTTGCTTTGAAATTCCATCCGGACAAAAACCATGCACCGGGAGCAACAGAGGCTTTTAAAAGTAAAGTTTTTACTTAAACTTTCTTTTATGATTGAACTCTGTCCGTTTAAAAGCAATTCATCTGCATTGTTGGATTGTCATTCTATAAAATTGTCAGTGTGGTATTTTCTAGCTAATATTAAACTGACCTTTTTTAGCCAAAGAAATGTTTGACCTTTATTATTTTGGCATATACCTAAAAGTTGAGATGAATAATAGGGACTTCTGGAGAGGGTTCATTTTCAGAGGATTGACTGTAATTTTCAGGTACAGAGAGGGAATACTAATGCTTGCTTTGTGAACTCCAGTTGCACTTCTTTGCTGTCATCCATTTTGACTGAATGTAAGTCTATCAGCTGAAGTTGGTTCAATGTAATATTGGAACGTACAATACGATTATTCAGGTTTTTTTTTGGAGGGCAGGTTATAGCATTTACCATTACTTTGGCTTCTGGAAAACCTGTGTCAAGAATGGTGATTTGAATGAAGAGTAGTAGTTACATGGAGTAAATATTAACAGTCCTCATAAATATGCTATTTTTTAGGATGTGAGTAGTACACTTAAAAGGACAAGTGACACTTACTGGTTGGTGCATTGCTTTTACTGGATATGCAGCTTGTAGTGGATGATATTATATTATAAGTAAATTGATTTCTAGTTTTAGCATTGATGTAGCCCTCTAAAACATCCTGACCGAATACACAAAATTGCCATGGGCATATTCATTTTTATATTGCTGAAATTAATAGAATTTTACTAGGTAGGCATTTGAATCCATGACATTTGCTTTTATTTCAAGCTCAAATAGCAAAGTAACAATAGCAAAAGGCAGTTTTTACTGAATCATGCGTTTTGCTGAGTTACCTTTTCGTTACAATTCCTCCCATGTGTGTACTTTTGTTACTTTTTCCATACAAAAAAGCATTTATTGAGAAATGCCCATTAATAGTTGCCTTTGCCTGTTTCTTTGATCAAGATTTACAATCTGATCTGACCTAAGGCTGCCAGGCTTTGCCCACTGCAAGGAGAACTGTTTTGAAGAAAACTACTGCTTCATCTCAAACATAGATGAAAAGAAATACAAATCTGTCTGAAATGATCATGCAGAAAGAAACGATCTGTGGTATTTCTGTATTTTTTCCTGCATGAGGTTTATATTCAGACATTTGAAAAAAATTATCAGTTACAATGCTTACATTGGGGAAAAAAAAGAAATGCCAACAAGACTTCACATACAGATTTTAAGGGGTAATTATAATAGCTTTTTAGCAATTACAGAGAAAAGTAGATGAACCATAGCAGGAAAGCTGATCAGTGATTGTTGTTTTGATAAAGCTATGTGATGGCTTTATTCTAAAAAAGGTGTTCTTATAAAATCGTCTCCAGCCCTAGAAATTAAATAATTCCTCCCTGTTAATAGCATTTTAAATAATCTTTGAAATACTGGAAATCAGCATCTTATTATTTAATCTTTGATTTAAAATGAGCCCTTTGGTCAAGTTGGATTTCTTGGACTTAATTTCACTTTCTGGTTCTTAACTAGATGAGTGCTTGAACAGAAAATCTTGCTGACTAAAAACATAAATAATTTTGAAATAATTATTTTTAAATATTTAAATAATTTAGATTTTTAATCTTTAAAGAAAGCTAGTATTTTTCTTGCATTGAAATGATTGTCATCTCTTTGTATGGCTCAGTAAATGTATCATTTAGTTTGCCTTTAAAGGTGCCTGATGAATTTCTGACATACAGTTGAGACAAGGAGTTTCATAACAAAATGTTAAGAAAATGTACTTTATTTTAAGGAAAAGTTACATTAGAAAACAGGATTGAGTTTGGTGTCAGGCAAGGTACTTGGATCTTTAAACTACCTGGTACTATACTACCTTTGTTGTATTAAGCAATCTTCCTTGAGGTTTTATTTTAGGTTAGAAGTTTGTGATTTCTTCAAATATAATCACTTTTAATCTCTTGGAATCTCTTTCATTTTTATGTCCTTTATTTAAAGATAACTCTATTTGGATCAAATCTGTTTTGAATTAGCATCAACTAATCAAAAGCAAATAGTAAACAAATAGTGAAGAAAGCTTGCTGACCATACTATGACAGTATGGTGTCCTCATTTTATATGCTCGCCTGATTAATGTCACCTTCAATTTATAATTGTTGAAAAAAAATCTAAGTTTTTACTACTAGTTTTATCATTGGCTGAGTAACAGAGTAATCTTGTGGCAGCATTTGCTGTCCTTAGTGTGTATCACATACTCCCAGGCTTAATTTCTTTGAGTTTGCTTCTCCACTTAAAGTCATTCTTAATTATTGTTTCTAAGGGCATCTTAGGTTTAGTGAAGATGTGACTGAGTGAAGATTGTGCATTAAGTGTCAGCAGAAGTTTTCCTTAAACCTGCAAGAGCTGTGTGTGTGCACAGCAGCTGGGGTCAAAGCTCGTAAAGCCAGCAGGCCTTGTGGTCTTTTCGCACTGCCTCTTTCCATGCACACCTAGCTGAGTTTTCCCCTTTCTGCCTTCAAAATTGAAGTTGTTCATTCATGGCAATGTAGCGTGAAGCAGGACAGGCAGCCAGGCCAGACTCTATAAATGTTAAGGGTGTGTCAACAGCCTTAGGAGCACACAGGTTCCTGTCAGGCACGCACGTACTCCTCATGTTACATCGTACAAAACTTTGTGTTATTAACGTACTCCATAAGGAATCTTCAGAATCGTGAGGAAAAATTTCATCTACAAGAGCGGGGACGTAAAGTTTACACACTGAAAAACGTTTCCGCTTACCACATGAAACCAAAGAAACCTGCTGAATCTGTGACGATTTCAAGTTAAGTTGCTGGAGCTGACTGAACTTTGCGATTGCCCAGCTTCAGAGCTTTTCTTGTAGTGCTTGATTCTGTTTTCTCAGTTGCAGTGAGGAAGAAAATTTCCACAGATGTAGGTGTTCCCCTAAAAAAGGGAAGAAAAATGCCCCACTTTCTGCCCAGTTCAACAGGTTAATAGGCCTGGGAATGGTGTTGTTGGGAAACCTGGTAAAAACCGTGCTACAAACAGTAGAGATGTTTCTGTACTATAGGTGATTTGTAACACAGCAAAGGACATCGGTCTCTGCCTGTTCTTGACTTCGAAACTGCAGTTGTCGTGCTGGAATAGCTCCTATCTTTCATTGATGAGAGTTGTCTTTTATTCCTTGCTTCAGAAATCGGAAATGCCTACGCCGTGCTGAGTAATCCAGAAAAACGAAAGCAGTATGACCTTACAGGCAGCGAAGAGCAAACGTGCAATCACCCTAGCAATGGTAGATTCAACTTCCACAGAGGCTGTGAGGCAGATATTACTCCAGAAGATCTATTCAACATGTTTTTTGGAGGGGCATTTCCAACAGGTATTTGTATTTGTTGGCATAATCATGCCGACGTCATGTCGGCATAATCATACTCTGAGCAGTAGTACTCAGAGTGGCATTAAAGTTTGGCATTGGAAAACAACAAAATTACTCCAAACACCTTCCATCCCCAACTCTAATCCATGTCACATTTTAAATTTCCTCCAAGTGTTGCTAAATCGCTAAAATGCGAGTTTGATTATTTGGGGTTTCTGTGGTGATCCTACGGTACATGAAATAGTAAATCAGTTGGTTTAAAGCTTGAAATATTTATTTTAAACGGCTTTGGAATTGTGAGTTACCTTAAAGCTGGGTTATTTCATGCATCATCATGTGGTAATGTTAAATTCTCTTATGTTGTTGCTCCTGTTTTGACCTCTCGATAGTTTCTTTTAGATTTTAAATGTGGATATTTCTTTTCCTAGGTAGTGGACACTCATTTTCTAATGGTCGTGCTGGCTACAGTCATCCCAATCAGCACCGTCACAGTGGACACGAGAGGGAGGAAGAGAGGGGTGATGTATGTTTAAGCACCATTGACGTTAAACTGCGGATTGTGAAGTTTTTTTGTAGTCATTTTCAGTGATGTGATTGTACAGTGGCTCTGTACTGTAGAGGGAGATTTATACTTGCCCGTTACATATTTTAAAACTTTGGCAGGTGATAGTCTTACTGATGTGGTAGATGGACATGCAGATTTGAGAAGATAATAGCACGTTTTTGTAAATCCATTGTTGTATGCCACTGTCATGCCAGTGCCTGGTCACTAATTCTTGCTTGCATTTAAAAGTTGATTTGGGCTGAAATAAGAACTGTACTTACGAATTATACATAGTCCTATGTAATTACACATGACTGTATTGATGAGACTAAAACATGGAGTACTGTGTAACTGAATTCAGCTATTAATTTAATAGTGGCTTGTGGCTACGTGCTAACTTAGGAACGCTTGCAGCTTCAGCATGCTACAGATATTGTGTATGCATTGGAAAGTTAAGATAACGCTACAGTGTTTGTGAATTTGTAGTTATAGTTTCAAAGTAGCTTTTGAATCTTGAAGTAGAAAGTCATGCTTAGAATTAAATTATGTCAAATGTACCTGCTAAATTAGTGCTGTTTTATGAGATACCTGAATCTGTTGTGTTTTTTTTTTTCCACCTTAGGGAGGTTTCTCTATGTTCATTCAGCTGATGCCCGTTATTGTGCTGATCCTTGTCTCCTTGTTGAGCCAGCTGATGGTATCTAACCCTCCTTATGCCTTATACCCAAGATCGTAAGTAATTTTCAATCACATTAGTTTAAAGCAGAGGGAAGGATGTTGTAATCACCTTTTCCCAGTTAGAAGCTTTTAGAGAGCCTACCATTAGTTGGTCTGTGATTTCCCACAGTGAGGAAAGGGAAAGTGTAGATGAAGTGAAGCCAAACACAACTTTTAAGGTGTGTACGAAGAATATGCTGTGCGAATGTAACAGAGAACAGAGATTAACAATACTTGAGTTTAGGAGCTCTTTTAATATGACACAAAGGTGTTTATGTATCTCCAATGTATTTAATCAAATGCTGAAACCTGCTAAGGCTCGGTATTCTTTTGGGAGTCATCTGTGCTTATAGCCAGCAAAGTGCCCGAAGGCAAACTCATCCTTATCAACTAGATAAGGGCAAGAGAAATTGCCCGTTCTAGATGATAGTCTCTCTGTTTTCTTGCAAGGGATTTTGATAGTGAAACTTACTTGTTTTGTACAGAAGAATCCTTTTTTTTTTTTTCCTTAAGAGAAAGAACTTTTTAAAATACCAAGCATGCAACTACCTAACACACTTGTCCCACTCGTCACAACTATTTTAACAATCCTCAGTTCCATCTAGAGCTCTCAGCTCCACAGCAGAAAGGCTTTTTTTCTCCTTTATTATTTTTCCAGAGTTCTTTATTTCCAAAGCGTGTTGTTGTTCTTTTCTGCATCTAAGTTACCGTGATATGTATAAATACTTACCTGCCAAAATGTTTGTGCATGCTCCTTGATTTTTAATCTGCAGAATGCCAGCAGGAAAACGGATTTGTCAAGGGTCGCAGAAAGCAATTTAGAATGGAGATGCCCGTACTGGGCTGTCACAATAGTGACCCGTTTTGTTTTTTCTTCTGTTGTGTTTAAATGTAATTTGCTATTATCAAAGCTTATATGTGGCTAAAGAGGTATGAAACAAGTGTCTTACAAAAGTGTTTTTTTTAAAGATTAAGGATGAAAACAGCAAAAGTTAATGTTCTCTATTTAATGTAATAATGAAGGTAGTATTTTCTTCTCTGGCAGATGGTACAGCCATTCATTTCACTGCTTGTCTTGGAATGGCAAATTCAGCGATGTGCTGTTCTTCCATAATAACAAGATTTTTAGAAATATATTTGTGTTATAAAAAAGATCAAATAAACATCTAGTCTCTCACCCACCTCTTTTTTTTTTTTTTTTTTTTTTTTTTTGTAGAAGTACAGGTCAGACAATTAAAATGCAGACAGAAAATTTGGGTGTTGTTTATTACGTCAACAAGGACTTTAGAAATGAATACAAAGGAGTGTCATTACAGAAAGTGGAAAAGAGCGTGGAAGAGGATTATGTGTCCAACATTCGTAATAACTGTTGGAAGGAGAGGCAGCAAAGTAAGTTTGTTAATATCTTTAATTTCATAAACACATGCGTTACTTAAAAAAAAAATCACAGGCAAGAATGAAGTGCTTGTATTGCTAATACAACTGAATGAGAAAGCAAGGGTAAGGTTCCCCGCCGTTTCTCACTTCTTCAGACTGTCCCAGCTAGTGTCACTTAATTTTGCTGTGACCTAACCACCATCTGAACGTCCTCAGCAATTTTCATCTATCATTTTGTTATCTGTGGCCATTTCTTAGAAAATGACTACATTGAATTGGTAGTGAGAAAGGAGTTGCTCTAAGTTCAGGACGAAAGCTGAAAATTCTAATCTCTTCCACATTATTTTATCATGGCATCATCTTTTGTATTGTGTATCATCTTTAGGTGCTTTAATATAAATAAAACAAAAGCCCAGATGGATGTTTCCAGTGAGAGAAAAGATAATCTGCCTGGGACTACGGTACCAATGGCACTGCTTTTCCAGGCAACCAAGGACACCCAACATGACGTGTTAGAACACCATAAGCTAGAAATCAGTGCTTAACCTTTTGCCAGTGCTGCGTGATTCTTTTTTTCCTCCCTGGACTTGGTTCCTTGGCTACATCAGACTTTGAAAACAATCTTTGTAGTTCACCAGCTATGTTTCCAGCCTCGTTGAATATAACACCAGGAGCTATTTCCTTGAAGGAGATGCAGCACAGAACTTAGTGTTAAAGCGTAAGAGTACTGCGTAGCATCTGCCATCTCCAAATTATCACCCTGCTATTCTGTTACCTGTGACCAAATGGTTTGAACTTTCAGCAGGTAACCTTTGGTAGTATCCTACCAGAGAAAAAAGTCATTTGTGAACTGTCAGTTGCTTACTGAAAGCAAATTTCACTCATTATCTGAGTGTAACTGTCTGTTCCTGCAGAACTTCCCTCTCTGCAGACCAGATGCCCAGCCTTTCTGCTGAGATGGCCCCTTAGCTCCTCCCAGCTGTAAAAGCCAGACCTCACAGTTAGTCAGATGCCTGCACGGGACTGCATGCATTCATTACAGTTGACCTCTGTGTATACAAATACAAATTACTGCCCATGCACAGCAGGCCCACTGCTTCCCAGAGGCGTTACCCTCCGTATTCATTGCGTATGCCCAAGTAAATCTCTAGAGGTTTACAAATTGCCCAAAGGAAAGCAGAACTGTTGGCAGAAAACTGTGCCAATCAGTCACATGTATGCAAGAGAAACACCTGTCCTTCTGGGGGAGAACTACCAGATGGCTGCCCTGACTACTCGATTTGATCAGAATAATGTTTTCCAGGTTTTTCAAGTACAGGAAATTATCAGAGTATGCTTGGCTATAAAACAAATAAATATCAAAATCTCTTGTATGTTTTCCAACTGTACTGTCCTTTGATTATCTTGAAATGATTGAATATGCCCCCTCTTCAAGAAATTTACATCCCATTTGCCTTCTTCAAGTGGCTGCTAGATGAATGATTGGTAGTCATATCTTATGAAATGCTTTGCAATAATGAGAGATGGTTGTTAACAAAAATCACAGAATCACAGAATCACAGAATTTCTAGGTTGGAAGAGACCTCAAGATCATCGAGTCCAACCTCTAACCTAACACTAACAGTCCCCACTAAACCATATCCCTAAGCTCTACATCTAAACGTCTTTTGAAGACTTCCAGGGATGGTGACTCCACCACCTCCCTGGGCAGCCCGTTCCAGTGCCTAACAACCCTTTCAGTAAAGAAATTCTTCCTAACATCTAACCTAAAACTCCCCTGGCATAACTTTAGCCCATTCCCCCTCGTCCTGTCACCAGGCACATGGGAGAACAGGCCAACCCCCACCTCTCTACAGCCTCCTTTAATGTACTTATACAGAGCAATAAGGTCAGCCCTGAGCCTCCTCTTCTCTAGGCTGAACAAGCCCAGCTCCTTCAGCCGCTCCTCGTAGGACTTGCTCTCCAGGCCCCTCACCAGCTTCGTCGCCCTTCTTTGGACCCACTCAAGCACCTCGATGTCCTTCTTGTAGCGAGGGGCCCAAAACTGAACACAGTACTCGAGGTGCGGCCTCACCAGAGCCGAGTACAGGGGGACGATCACCTCCCTAGCCCTGCTGGTCACAGTGTTTCTGATACAAGCCAGGATGCCGTTGGCCTTCTTGGCCACCTGAGCACACTGCTGGCTCATATTCAGCCGACTGTCCACCATCACTCCCAGGTCCTTCTCTGCCTGGCAGCTCTCCAACCATTCCTCTCCCAGCCTGTAGCTCTGCTTGGGGTTATTGCGCCCCAGGTGCAGGACCCGGCACTTGGCCTTGTTGAACTTCATACAGTTGACCTCAGCCCATCGGTGCAGCCTATCCAGATCCTCCTGCAGAGCCTTCCTACCCTCGAGCAGATCGACACACGCACCTAGCTTGGTGTCATCTGCAAACTTACTGAGGGTGCACTCAATGCCGTCATCCAGATCATTGATGAAGATGTTATGAAATGAAAACACGAGAGAGAAGCCAGCACAATAAAAAGGGCAGATATTCTTTGTACATGTTTTTTTTCAGCAAAATGTGGATTGGGTAGAACAGTCATGTTGTTTGCTATCTGCAAGTTATCAGATTGTGTAAACTACCCTAACTGACATTCAAGAAAGCAGACCCTAATAGATTTTCTCTACTTATAGAAACAGCTGACTTATATTTTTAGAGATTTAAAACACCTGTTGTGATTTTGATTTTTTTTTGACAGTTAAAATCTTCTTTCCAACATTGATTGACATTTAAGAATGAATTAAAATGCTGTTGAACGCCAGTACAACAAAGAGAGCTCTTTTAATAATTCCTCTGAACACCAGCAGGCTGAAGCAGCATCAGCTGAAGTAATGAGCTTAACCTTCAGAATGGATTTTTGGCACAGAGAAGATGCTAGAGCTTTCAATAACGTGCAAAATGAGTGTTGTATATATCCGTTTTGTTTAACAAGACCTGATGCAAGTAGTAGCTTTTGCTTTTGTTTTGTAATCAGGTACTGCTGTATGAAATGTGAGGGTGCTGGAAGGCTGTCACCACTTTCCCTGCTGAAAAAGATGAAATGTTTGGGAAGACCCAGTGAAGGGAAGCCTGTAGCAGTGCCGTTTAGGCGGTGTCTGTGTGTAGTTAGAATAGACAGAAAGAGAACAGGGTGAGGATTAAACCTGAGGTGTTTCAGACAGCTCAGAAGAGGAATGCATCACGTGCAAAGCGTTCAGTTTCTAACCTGAAAAATCTTCTTTCTTCTTTTCTTAAAGAAACAGACTTGCTTTATGCAGCAAAAGTTTATCGAGATGACCGTCTCCGAAAGAAAGCAGATTCCATGTCCATGGACAACTGCAAAGAACTAGAACGGTTGACCAGCCTCTATCGAGGAGGATGAGCAGCAATTGTACACATACATCTTTATGTATGCCGTTATTTCTCTTGTAAATTAAGAAGAGATTTAGTTTCACCATGAATGCTGGAAAAGAGGGGTGGATGTAAAACTCTACTGTGTAGCTGTTTCCAGAAACCTTATACTGAAATATCATTTAATGGCTTCTTTACCTACTGTGAAATATAGATAACTTTAATTGTCTAGATTTTACTTCAAAGCTTCTGTGAATTCTTTCAGCAGAGAGAATAGCTCAGAAAGGATGCTATACTTGTAGAGACTTAGTCATAGTGGTTCTCCTCTACCATATTTGCCATGTAAATATCTGTGGAAAGAACACTTTGTGTATATACGAGTTAAATGACTTTCTATTTAAAATCTCAGAAATTTAGTTCCATACAACATTTTGTCTCACTGATGGAATAAATAGTATGATTACATCACTCCTATTCAGATGTCAAGCGTGTGGAGTCGAAACAAGATTTTTTAATATTTTATCTCTAACTCTATGTAAAATCTTTAAGGTTTGTCAGCTTAGAAGAACTTGGTATTTTTAAATATAATAGCATATATTCCTAATTATCTGTTGGGGTGTATTGATCTGGTGTAGAGTAGCAGTTCGCTGTTGTAGTTTTTTAGTGTTTCTAAGCAATGCAGAGAAAACTAAGAAAAACACTAATCTCTTTTCAAAGTAAGTATTTGCAAATTCTGTACAGACCATTGAAAGCATTGCTTTTAGTACTTGCAACAGTTTACAGCAGCTCTCCCGTTTGGTATTCCAGCAGCAGTGAATCCATATGTCTGGCTAACACGCATCTATAGCTTCCTTAATTTTTACTGGAAAGGTAGATGAAAACACGCGATAGTAAATCTCAAAAGCTTTTTTTTTAAAAAAAAGGCAACTTTTTTTTTTTTTTTTGCTGGGAGACTTCAATTTTCTTACTCTTTTTTTATTTCAAGCTAGGTCCTAACAGTGATTCCTCAATGGGCACCACAAGTGGAGCATGGAAATACTGCTAAGGACAAGCTTTGTGCCTTTCTACACTTTTGCCAACTGTTTAAATGCTTGCTGGCTTGCAGTATGCTCCTGTGGTCGGAGCCATGTCACTTGTCCCGGGCCACGAACTAGAGGAGGAGGTAGCGTATGCATTTTTCTGGACCAGAATATTGCTGGATTGACTTCTTAGAGATGAACAAACACCGATTGGTTTCTACATCCAATGTAACTCTGTACTCGGAAGCTATGTGTAGCCACACCTGACAATGAAACAAAGGTGTTTTGAAGCAGCTATGTACAATGCACTTAAAGCTTGTTGAAAGTGGGTTGAAAATGTATTTTTATTTTATTTTTTACATTTTAACAGTGCTATGCAGGAGAATGTTTTCTTGTATGTGAGAATGCCAGGTGGCTTGTAACAAGGGCAGTATTTTTTGCTTGAGAAAACTGCCGTCTTTGAACAGTGCTCTCAGTTTATGTGGAGCCAAATTCTCAACCTAAATTGAAAGTTTAAAGACTTGACTGACTTCACTGGAATTCCTTCTGATCTAGTCTTGTCATTTGAGAGCAGGATTTGACTTCAGAAGTACACTAAATGCCATTGCTCTTGGTGATCCAGAAATCAATTTGCATGTGTACCTTTTCTAAACTGTCCCACTGGAAATGCCTTCTATTGAATTAGTTGGTGTAACGTGAGAAAGACTAGCTGCAGACTTTTGACTAAGCAGCTAAATCGACGTTCAAGGTAGACATCAAAGCTTGAGGTACAAAGCAGAAATAAAAGCTGTTGAAATAAATAAAGGGTTGCTGTACCGGATATTCTTACCGTGATGACAGGAAAAGGGAGAAGAAATGGAAGGAAACCCAAACGTTTGAAGTTTGCCCAAAAAATTTACACAGAAAACATGAATTCCCGGATTTTGCAACTGCCCAGAATGTATTGTAATTCTACTAGGGAAAACAAAACAAACTATCAAATTACATACTGGCACTCCTGTGTCATCTTAATAGCAAATAATTGTTCCAGAGGCAATAAGTAGTAAGTACTTACACCTTCTGGTCCACAAATGGGTCTGAGGTTGCAGGCAATCTCTTAGTTAACAGAGGCAAAAAGATGCGCAGCGCACTTGTCAAATACTGGAAGGATGAAGGCAGAGTTAAGAGATGGTCGTAGCAAAGCTGCCGATGGGTATAATCTGCCCTGCTCTTACTGCTGCTACGGCTGAGAAGCGGGTAAATGCAGAGCTACGCATTAGGATGGTTAGATTGCTATCAGCATCTCAGCCAACTGCAATAATGCGGTGCCTGCGTGTGGTGTAATGACCACAAGGACACCCGGGTTCTTTCAGGATGAGTAACTGCTGCTACTTTTATTGATGACTTTACTTCATTATTCTGTCTTTCTGAGGACAGGCTCCCTTCTTACACCATTCCCCCACAGCAGTCCTTTTGCACTCACTATTCATTGGTGAAACAACTTTGCTCAGCAACCAGCAAACCCCCAGCAACTTCCATGCCTTGACGGCTGGAGAACAAGCAACCCGAGAAAACAAGGGTCTCCTGAATCACCCTTCTGTGTTCCCTCTAAACTCTACATTCCTGATGGCCTCATCGTTAAGTCTGATGCTATCACCAACCATGGGGCTGGTCGACCCCCATGGCCACACTCCCACATCTGTGTCCTATGGCAGTGCAGGTGTCCCAGGAGTTCAAAAGGGAGACCTAAGTTGTTACGTTTCCTCGGATTATCTATTGTAATTGCCATTTAAAAAAAAAAAAAAGAAAAACTGTCAATATATTTATACTTGTGAAAAAATGCTACCTAGCATCTAACAGATTAAATAGCTGCGCACTTTGAAATATGCGGAATGATGCTATTACTTTCAGAAGCATAAAGATTAACCTGCTCTAAATATGGCCTGCAAACATTCTTTTAATATTTCAAGTGGGTGTTTCTCTCCTCGTGATTTTCTCAAGTCTTTCTTCTCAAGTCTGAAGGTTTTTTTTTCTTCAGAAATGTTACTGTCTTCCCTGGTCTTGCTAAATGGAATCTGCTGGAAAATTCAGAAGAAGTTTTCTTGTGAGCAAGAGGCTAACTGAAGAGCATGGAGTACTGGAATCTTTTCAGATGACCTTTCCTCAGAAGGTGAAGTTCTCACTAAAATAAGATACTGGCAAGAAAAGGGAAAAACTAAATTGTGTTTCTGAAAATCCCTCAAGTTTACTAGCTACTAAGAATTACCTTCTTACTCTTTTTATTTTGTTATGACCTGTGTTGAATCTGGAATTAAAGATAGCACAAGCATGGGTTCTTGATCTCTTCTTTAAAAGAGCAAGCAGGAAAGTCCTGCAAAAAGTAAAAATCCTGGCGTGACGTTTTGACATACTATGGTGAAAATGAGAGGTGATTTGCATCTGCTGAAATGCAACATTGGTATTGTGTTTATGGAGCATCCTGAGTCACAAGCAAGTTCAGTGTTCACATCTGATCAATGTTTCCCTGCAAGTTCTCAAAGTGTTTAGGAAAAACAATTAAATTTGGGTTTTTGACTTTTTTAAACAGTCTTGATTCTTCTTCAAGAAAAGGTTAAAAAAAAAAGTCATCACTAAAATGTAACAGGTGCATTTGAAAAGGCAGCAGAGAAAACTTGAACGTATAGATGTTTTTAATATAATTTTATAGTGAATGCCATAAAGGGATTAAAATGGGTGGGCGAGAATATGTTTTGTAAGGCCCCTTGCTCCATGGATTTCCTTTCATCCCCAAAGTAGTTGTAACCCTTCCTTCTGGTAGACCTGTCGGAGAGAGCAGAGGGAAAGCGCAACGGTAAAACCAAATGCCTGGATTTAGGAAATGCTTTTAGTTTATGCGAATTCCTGAAGCGATACCTGAGGTAAGTTACTTGAGGTACTTCAGGTGCCGCCTCAGGTGCAGCAGTGGAGGAAGCTCGGTGGCTCCTGCAGGCTGGCAGAGGCCTCCTTGAGAAGCCTCGAGCAGAGCCTACCGAGATGTAATGGCTGTGAATATCTGCACTACGTTTGGTGTGTGGTCAAAATGCTTTGGGGAGGCAATAAACACGGGAATAAACACGCCTGAATTTCTCTTCTCCAGGGTGACCGCGCGGCCCCTTAGTGTGGCAGCGGCTCGGTGTGGGTGCCAGGTTTCTCGGCGTTTGTGGAGGGGACACGGGAGCACCCTTGGTGCCAAACACACCTGGAGAGGTGTCACTGGGGCGTGCTGCGTGTGGCGGGGCTGCTGGCTCTGGAGGCAAAACCCCTGCCAGCCTCACAGCCTGTGGTCATGCTCAGGCTGACGGAGAAAGGGGCAAAACGCAGCATTTAGCGTCGTGCTTGCACATTGTGAAACATTCACACACCCTTTAGGGACTAAACCAGGCCGGGGTTTAAAGGAGGAGCTCCAGAGAGCCGAGGGGCAGCGCCTCCCTCAGGCGCCCTCCCCTCCCGCCTCTTTTCGGCCCCGCCGCCTCCCCGTAGCGGGGCGGCGCTCCCGGCCGCCAGCACGTCAGAGAGGCGCTGGGAGCGGCAGGTAGGGCGGGGTGGCCCCGTCCCTGTCCCCCCCCCGCGGGTCGCGGTGGTCCCGCCCGGCCGCCACCGCCTGTGCCGTGAGGGGAGCGCACCACAGCGGCGGGGCGGGGGGGTAAGGGGGGGAAGGAGCGCGGCGTTGACCGCTCCGCCTCTCGTCCCGCAGGCCGGCCGAGGTGGCAGCAGCGCCGGGAGGCCGCCCAACATGGCCGACGTAAGCGGGGCGGCCGTTGGGGCCGTTGGGGGGGCCGTTGAGGGGCGGTGAGGGAAGGTGTGTGGGGGGGGGGGTGTCGGTGCCGGTCCTGTCACGCCGCTCTCTGTCCCCGCAGGACCTGAAGAGGTTCCTCTACAAGAAGCTGCCCAGGTATGTTGAGGGTGTTTCTCCTCCCCCTTCCCCTTTTTTTTTTTTTTGGTTAAAAATACGCTTTTTTGTGGTAATTTTTGTGTTTCTGACGCCGTGTCCTGCAGTGTGGAAGGCCTTCACGCCATCGTGGTGTCGGACAGGGACGGGGTGCCCGTCATCAAAGGTAACAGCAGCTTCCTCTCCCTCAAAAGCTCCTCACCCGGGTGTTTAAACTTACTCCAGGCTCCCCTCAGCAGCTGCAGGCTGGGGGGGCTTTCCTCTTGTGCCTCCTTACTGAATAGAGTTGATGTGGTGCGAGGCGCTCACGTCTTCGTGTCACCCCCCTGGAGACACAGAGCTGGTGCTGAGGGGCACCTGAACCCACCCTTTACACACCATACAGTATACCTGATCTTTTAGTCATCTCATTTCTATCATATCTCTGCAGTCCTTGTTTCAGGCGTCTTTACACCGCAGGCAAAATGACTTAAGAACACAAAGATTCAAGTGTTTTCTGTTGTTGGTAGATTGGTTTGTTTTTTTTTCCTTTGTGTCCCAAATTATGTAAGCAACTAGCAGCGCTTGCACGTTTTCATCCACTTCCATTCGGATGACTGGAATTTGCCATTAATCACTTCATTTACCATGTTGCTGTGCGGGATGTGGAACTGAAGTGCCACCGGCACAGGCTGTGCGTTGTGAGGGATGAGGCAGGCAGGGAAGGGTGCTGTGTAGCGACTGTAGGTCGCTTACAGAGCACTGAGCGATGCACTGCTCTTGAGGATTTTCCTGTACTTGTTGCGGAGGCAGAGATGATGGGTTACATGTACACAGATCTGCTTTTGGCACTGAGAAAGACAAGGATTTGAGATGCAGTCACAGGGTATAAAAGCAAAAATGTTCCTGTTCTGTTCCAGTTGCCAATGATAATGCTCCAGAACACGCCCTGCGACCTGGCTTTTTGTCCACGTTTGCCCTTGCGACAGATCAGGGCAGTAAACTGGGACTTTCTAAAAACAAAAGCATCATCTGTTACTACAACACGTATCAGGTGAGTAACCTCAGCGCGGCTTGTTCTCGGCAACTAGAGCTCCTCATATGTTCCTCTGAGTAAGGGGGAGAGCGTGGTTTGAAGCACGCTAGGCTTCCACTTGGCTGCTATTTCTGTTTTCTTTGTCACACTGCTTAAAGCTGACTAAGCTAAACTTCTGCAGTGTTTGTTGAACTTCTCAGTTTTGAGAAACACTTAAGAGAAGACCGGTCACTGGTCGAAAAGGGTGAAGTTTCCGAACAGACAGCAACCAGATATAAGCAGCAGGTGCTACTGATGTGGCTGAGTCTGCTGTGAAGGGTTTATGTTCTTTTGCAAAGGGTATTTCTTTATAATTAGTGATGCCTACAGTTAAATAAGCACGAGCAGCCTGCTTCATAGTTAATCTTGCTGCTGCAAATATGATGTCAGGAAAGGTTTGAAATACTCGTAACTTCCACAAACTGGTTATTTGTGTCCTGGAATCTGTCACCTATCACGCTTCTGTTCTGGTGGCCTTGAGAGCTTGAAGTTTTGGCTGCAGTAAGCCAGCCTGCTGTTTAGCCCCTCGTGTCTTGTTTTGTTTGGAGAATAAATGGTTGAATGAATTAGTTTGCATACACAAGCGCGCTGCCGCGATTCTCTTGACGCTACTGGATTGTTGGTGTGCTTAAGATTGAAGTTCTCTATTAATGGAAGAAAAAAGCATTGCTATATTGAATCATACTTTAAAACAACAGCCCTGCCAGCCCTCCTGTTATCTCCTGTTAGAGTGGTTCCCACGGAGAACTCCGCAGCTTTGGCAGCTGGGGTGGCTTTCAGGCGGGTAACACTGGAGAACACCATGGGGAGGGGAATGCCAGGCCTTCCCCGCAGCATCCTGCACTGCGCTGTAAGCCCCGCGGGTGCTTGTGACCGTGGCATCCATCAGGTGAACCCTGCTGCTGAACGCCGCTCTCTCTCTGTCCTTGCAGGTGGTGCAGTTCAACCGCTTGCCTTTGGTGGTGAGTTTCATCGCAAGCAGCAACGCCAACACAGGTACGCGCTGCCCAGCAAGGAGACAGCTCCAGTGGAACCCCTCCTGTCACCTGGCAGGGCAGGGAGCCGCAGGTTTTGGAGAGGGGCTTCTCCGTTACGCCACCTGATGGGATTTACATTTATCTTCTTTTCCCAGGGCTGATTGTAAGCTTGGAGAAGGAGCTCACGCCCCTGTTTGAAGAACTGAGGCAAGTCGTGGAGGTTTCGTAGCCCGGCGGTACAGCCGGAGCGCAGCATCGCTCTGCAGCCCGGTGGGCAGGAAGATCCAACGACCCTCAGTGAAATAACACGTCTCGGAAGAAATACCACAGCTCCTTAGTATACTAAGTAAGAGTAAATTGTACATAGTACTGAATCTGAAACGATCTGCTAGTGTCTTGTCGGTGGGTGTTACTTTAGACCACGCTTCTTGCGTCGCGCGGTACCGGAGGGGCCACGACGCAGCTCCCATGGAGTTGAGCCCAGCCGGCGAGGCGCTGCTGGCTCGGACGCGTGGCCCCCAGGCCCCTGCCTTACAGGGAGCCAGGCGCGCGGCGGTTTGTCCTCAGGTGCCATCAGAGATGTGGCTGAAAGCGTTGCGAGGGCCAGCGTGCTGGTATCAGTACAATCAGTACAATCAGCCAATGCCCCATCTTTCTGACGGTGGTGACGCTTCGGTAAGAGAATCTTGCTAACCTGGGTGCCGGCTGCATCCTGCTTTCCTTAGGAACGCTGTTTCCATGAAAAGTGTTGCTGTAAGGGGCTTTCCTGTTGCCCACATAAAAGCACCTGAGCAGTGATTCACTTCTTTTTTTTTTTTTTGTTCTGTGTGTAATACGTCTGTGAAGTTCTCATGTCTCTTAGTTTCGTGTGGGTTCATCACTGGTGACACTCTCAGCTCATTCACCCTTAGGTTTTCCTAAGTAAATATAAATAAAAATCAGTATTTTTAAATGACAGAGCCTGGTCTGCTCTTCTTTTGCACCGTAACACTCTACAGCATCTTGCATCACTTGTTCTGTGCCGGGAACAGGTCTCTTGGTTGTGCCAGGAGTTTACAGGCTGAAAACTCAGCTCAGCTGGGCTGTGTGGGTGTAGAAGTTCTTGGGTGCAGAAGTTCTGTGTTTGTAAGACCACGGGGGCTCCATCCCGTGCCTTCACCTCCCCCCTTCTCTCCTTCATGATGACTTCAGGGGAGACGTTCAGCTCCAAATCCTACCTGGTGGCTGCGCTTCCAGCCACAAGCAAAGTCACCACAGCTTGGTAGCCGAATTGGAGGTGCCAGGGCATTAGCTGAATTCTTCACAGCAGGAAGGAGGACAGGTGTATTCTGAGAGCTTTAACAATACAGTACAGAAATACGGAAGACCTGTGGTAGTTTTATAGTGACGTTTTATTCAGAAAACAGTCTGTATAAAAATATTTACAAATCCTTTGAATTTCTAAGTTGAAATAAAACTATTCCTATGCCCAAAGCTGCATTTTCTTTTTTTCTTCCAGTGTGTTTTCCCCCTCTTCAGGTTTCTGACATTACAGGCAGCTGCTGAACGCTGCCGCCCCGCTGCGTGAGCAATGCCCAGCCCTTTGCCGCAGCGTGTTGCCCAGCACAGGAGGTTTGTGGTGTTTCAGCAGCACCTCTTAATTCTGGAACACAGCTCTGGACAAAACCTCCTGTCCTGTGTGCTGAGTTCTCTGCCTGAGGGAAACGCACAAAATGCAGCCCATTTTCAGAGGGGCAGCACAAGGGACCAAACTGCAGGTGGCGTTCCATTGCTGTGGGATAAATCTAAACTGTACAAAAATACATTTGACCAGAAGTGTTACTCATCCATCACCTTGAAAAGGGCCTTGAGATATTAGGTTTAATTGTTTGGATTGTAATCTAGGTATTATTTACAGAAATGTAACAAGTTCTGTTCTTTTGATTTAGGCCCTAAACAGGCCATACAAAAGAAGTCTTTAATGTTTCCAGAAGGCCTGGTTTTAAGTAGCAGGCTCAAGGTTACAGACCATGCTGCTGAGGGTTAGTAGTGATGGAACTTGGAATAAATTCTCAAGAGTGCTCCCAATCACCACAGGGTTTTGAAGTGACCGCCTAGTTAACGGGTGTCTGAACCAAGTGTGCACCACGGACGTAAATTGCACGTACCAAACCGACACTGCGATTTTGCAGCAGTCTCCACGTGTGACTCAACAGCCTGGAAGCACTGGGCTGTAAAATCTGTGTGCAAACATCTGTGTGCAGCAAGCACACGCGCACAGGCCCTCCGCAAGTCAGGCAGACGTTTGAAACTGTCCCCTCGTTTGAAACTGTCCCCTCGTAGCCAGGCGCCTTTTCCCTTTGGCAAAGAGGCGACTGCTGCCCAGGGCGCAGTGCTGGAGGTGCAGCTAGGAGGTGAGGGCGGAGTTACGCTGCTCCAGTTGCCTCCGTATCTGCGACTAGAACAGAAGAACAACCCATTACCATTTGTCTGCAAAACTGAATCCAAACACTGATTTTTTTTAAAGGAAGTAACATTGTCAAGCCTTTACGTTGTCGTGTCATTGCTTCCTTCAGGACCAGCACACACAGTCTGTGCTGACGCTCAGTACCATCCACTATCTACACTACGACACATTTGAAGATGGAAGTAAGTCATTTCTTCTCTGTAACAAGTATCCAAAGGGCATCCCAAAAATGTACAGTGGGTTTGCAGACATGTACATTACATGAAAACTACATATTTTGCTCTAGTTGGCCTGGAAGCCAGAGCAAGCACCCCTCGCTGCTCCTAGCAGGCTCTAATATTGGGGCTTACTGCGGCAGTACCGAGGGCACTGCTTCCCGAGGCGCAGGCACTTAGCACCACGCATCACCTTACCAGTTTCCATCGCAGGATTTTGATCCACTCGTCTGCTTCTATCCCGGTTTTGGCGCACAGGTAGTATGTCCTTAGTGGGAACACCAGGCTGTAGGCAAACAATCAGAAATATTTCTTAAATTGCTGGAACAACCAGCAGGTCCTCCAAAAACCCAACCCATCTGGCCTGTATATTGTGTGTGCATGTTAAGACAGAGCTCCTTTACAACTCGGGGACGTGCTGGCCTCAGCCCACGTGGACCCAAAACACACTCAGGCACAGAAGCAGTTATGGTGCGACCTGTAGCAATATTTGAACCAGCAGCTGGGCCCTCCCTCGCCAAGCTCCATGAGTCTAGGTGGTGATTATACACACTTAAAGGATTAGGAAAAGAAGTGCCCGCAATATACAGGCCTACCCTCTTCCTCCTCACCAACCAAAGAACCTCTTGCCACAGGCACCCAGCAGCTACATTTAAGACCCCTGGCTATTTGGGCCTGCCCAGCAAGGTGCAGAAAGAACAGCGACTTACCAGAAACAATTGACTCTTTCTTGGGAATAGTCAAATTGCACAGCTGAGCATTCCGTTAAGTCGAGTGCCCGAATTGGTTCTGTGGCCTTGAAAATAAAGTGGTTTTAAAATGGGAACACACGGAAACAGAATATAAGGCTAGTTCAGTTCCTCTTTGATGCACATGGACCCTTATACACGCTCCAGGTTTCTCTGGGTGTAGGGGCAACAGGTACAGCACTGGAAACCCAAACTAAAGCAAAATGAACGTCGGTGCTAATGTCAGATGAATGCAGCTAAATGTAAGATACTGGGCAGTAAGCTCAAAGCTGGACAAACAGCAAACTACTGCTGCAGGAAATCAGAATTAAATTAAATTCAGTAACAGATCAGGTGTCCAGCTGAGGCTCACAAGAAGGAGATAGTTGTAAGTCTTATCAGGCTTAACCAGCTGCTGGAGATTTAATTAATTCCAAAGTGCTCTAAAAGGCTGAAACTGAGTAGGGAGAAAGGCACAAGGACAGCTCAAGCTGTGTGTGTTTAGCTTTCTGGGGATAGGCCTGGAGGTGCTAAGGTGCAGGGATGCAGTGATGCATGTGACTGCAGCCCCACACCCTTCAAAGTTCCCTTCTCTCCAGGTGTGAGTCCTTTTGACTCATTTCTCTCAACCTCACCCTGCTGAGCACCTCATCAGAGGTGGCTGAAGTGAGAGGGCAGCTGCTCTCTGCTCAAACACCCTCAGCAGCTCCCACAACTGGGGTGCTGCCATTACAAATGTTACGCTGGAAGCCGAATTCAACATGATTTAACTGAAAGGAACACCGATGGCAAATCCCACAAATACTACATCATTGTTCATAAATGGGAGTGTTCAGGATGAGAGGGCAGGTGCATGCTGTTGTTTTAAAACCTGTTAGGCCCTTGAAATAGGGCTGGGCAGAGGTAAACCATTTGGCTGCACTTCTGGAGGAACTCGCCCTGGAGGTCTTGCAAGGGTAGAGAAACTCTACCTGCATTTTTACTCAGTTTAAGACGAAAATGGAACAGCAACAGAAAGGGTGAACATTTTCCCAGATGCAATAGGTGAAACTATGTGCTAGGTGGAGTGCTAACAAAGAGGGTTTTTTTAAATAAGCAGTTTATGTAAACTGTGCAACCTTTTGAACTCAAAGGATGAAATCAAGGAATGCAAAACATACTTCTGGTATTTGCAGAAATATTTTAATAGCACTGCTCTCCGCTAGGCTGTATGTCAAAACTAACCAGTGAAAGCTTGAAAGCCACTAATAAAAATGCCCTGTGAAGAGCAACTCTAGCTAGGAGGTAAGACTGACAGAGCACAGGAGATGTTTCCTAGCTGTAAAACTTAATAACTTGCTCGCTAAGGTCATCAGCAAAACTCTGACTGAAAGGTCTGACCCCTCTGACAGCATGGGAAGCTGTAGCTTGGTAAGCCGTGATAGATATGCAAGAAGACAGAGGTAGGAGGAGGTTGCAGCTGCCTCTACAGAGATTTGAAGAGTGGAACTGGTGTTCGCTACTTACTGTCTGGTCTTTGAAATATTTAAGTTCGTTCCTATGCAATGTAAACCACCTCGTCTTCCAGTTCTGAAAAATTAAGAATGGATGGTAATTGCCTTGTGAGAATTTAACACACCGCTTCTTGGGAAAGTAAAACACAAATTTGTTCCTCTCTGTAGGGGAATTGAGGCCGAGCCATTTCAGCTCTTCATTCACTATCTATTGTGTGTGTGGTTATAGAGTAGAAGCAAGGAGTAAGAGGTTTTCTTACCTTGACTATTTTGCCTTGTTTTATCAAATATCCTTCTTTCGTACCAAGCTGTGAAGTGAGAAGGAAAGGGATCGGGGTTAGAGACAGCTCTGCTTCCATTTCCCACGTCCTCCTCTTTGCTTACATCCATGAGGTGGAGGAGCAGCCTATTCTCAGCAACCTTTCCCTTGCTGTTTGCACTATCCTCCGTCCCATGTGCCCTGCTCCCCTTGTGAGGCTGGATCCAACACCAGGATAAACACGGACCTGTGCTGGCTCTAGAGGCAAAATCTTACACCGTGCCTCCCCATTCAAGCCTCTGGCCTACATTTCATCAGCCAAACAAAGCAAAATACATGCAGTTATGGTTAATTTTTATTTAGTACACTTGGTTGGCTGTCCCTGTGCATGTTATAACCAGAAGTACCCAGGGTTTACCAGACAGTGGAATTACCCACAAAAATCGCTGTTGAAATTCAAGAAATTTCTTCTTTCAAGCAGCCACATGTTTTAGAAGAAAGACCTGTTACATTCCACGTGCTTCCTGAAAAATTAGTTTTTGAACTGTTTTACTGGTACCATGAGCGACTCGAGGAGCCCGTGATTTCTCAGACAGTCACTGAAACTTTCTGTAGAGACCTCATGTCAGACTGCTGACCTCTAGAAATCAGATTCTTGCAGAGTTGGTTACTGTTTGCTCTTGGAAAAAACAATGCCTTTTATATGCAAGCCAAGTTTCTTTGAAGGCTAAGTGGAAGTCAGACATGAATAGTTAGTTGTAGGACACAAAGTGCTTCTTTCATGGACTTAATAAGCCTGTATTAATGCAACTCTTCCTCTTTTACTCTCAAGAGTTAGTTATTAATATACTTTCCTCTGTGTTTTGAGCAATACAGTTCTGGAGAAACCACCTGTCTCACTTAGATATGAGTTCCTAGGGATTTAAAGTCTCTAATTACTGTCCAAGTGAGTCACAGATGTCAGAGCAGATGGCCCAAGTGGATATGAAGATGCTCTCCTGTTTCTCACACCAGCAAGGCATGGCTTCTAACATGACACAGCTTTTTACTAGGGCTGAAAGGGTGGAGGCTCTCCTCTGTCATATTGCTCTTTCTATTTTGGGTACAAGTCTGTGTTAGAATATAGTAAGCCATCTTCCTTCTTACCATAGAGTAAGATAAGATGATTCTCAAGTAGTAATAAATTCAAATGAGAAAATGCTAAAAAAAATCTTTCAAATAATGTACCTATCAGGACACAGATACACTTACTGATAATTTGGTTGTACCACACTTCAGTTTGGGGTTTCCTTTTCCAAATGTGTTCCTGTCTGTCTTTTTAATGTTTTGTTTGTTTTGTTTTGTTTTTTGTTTTTGTTTTGTTTTCAAAAGCTCCCTTTTTAAGTGAATTAGAAAGTCAGAGGTGCTCTCTTCCTTCCTTCCAGTTAGGAAGGGGTCTTGCTAACTGAGGAAAAGAATTCTGCCAAACCAAGAAGGCTACTAAAATAATGAGCAATGAGTTTCTGTCTAATCAGGTCCACTGCTCCCTGTCAATTAATCCTCATGCTCACTGAATGAGACTAAATGTCATAGATCCTGAAGCTATTACTTGTTTTAGTTGTTGTGTACTCCTCCTCTCACCTGTGGAGAGGAACTTCTCACTGCCTGTAAAGGAGTTCTGCCAAAATCAGGGCTTAGAGTGCAACCTCATGAAGGTATTGTAGCATACAGCCCGACAAGTTTGTCAGAAAGACTTGAGAAGTGCTCATCTTCTGTGTTGTTTTTAAATTCCTGATAATGTTAGTGATAAGGTGGCATTTTAAAGTGAAGTTAATGCAGAACTAAAACCCTCTTATGTACTTTCCTTGGATGGCCAGACTCACCTAGACCAGCTGCAGACAATGTTTTCCCACTGACAACATCGAGGGTCTCAGAGAAAACAGTTGTGAAAGGCTTTGTCTGTACCTAGCAAATCTGTTTTGCCTTGTTTGGCAAAGACTTCCTGTATATCAGAACCCATAAAGGGATGAATTACTGGTGTTATTCCACAGCTCGCTCCAGCAATCATACTAAACTCAGGCCACCAAACATCCCTCACACCAGACGTGACTTACTGAGGGAGCACTTGGAACAAGATCACTCTCTGTCCTTCCCGTCTGCATTGCTGTGTGAACTCGGACAGACTCATAGATGGATGGTTCTTCCACTTTGCATGGATAGGGATGCTTCAACACAATTAAGGTTCCTGGAGAGAAAAAGAGCAGGAGTGAGTCATCTGGTAACATAGTCTTAGAAAATAACTGGCAGTAGCTGCCTGCTTGTGGAACGGCGAACTCGACCTTTTCTTAAAAATGGAAAAGGAATAATGGCTCTCTCATGTTGATAAATCTGGTCAAATATTTCAAACCTGCACCATTTGAATAGTTCAGACTTTGTGGAGGACGTCTTCTACAAGAATTCACCCGTGCTACAGAGAGGCACTTATTGCTGGATTTGCTTGCCCAGTGTCACCATCTTGGCTCTACTGTGTTGCTCAAACATGCTCAGACAGACTCAACAATGACTTTTGGGCACCTGGATCTGGCTTAAATACATTCCCTCATCCCTGTATCCCTTGGCGCGGATTTTTTCGTGAAAACCCTCTTCAGTTCTTCTAAGTAGTAGATAATTAAAACCATCCCGCAATGCATCAAAAAAAAAAAGTGGGGAAAAAACAAGACGGCAGTCCTCAGGGGTAAGTGTCTCATCCTGCCTGAACCTTCTTTCCAGTCACGGAGTAACTAGGTAGTACAGAATAAATGAATTGAATCACAGATTTCATAGTTAGTGAATGCTTACAGATGAAATGCTGACAAAGATTTGCCTTGTGACTTTCTTCAAAGTACAGGCATCTCTTTCACGGCATGCATGAAGATATGACTACAGACATTATCACATCTGTTTGTAAGCATCCGTGAAAATTTTAAATAAATGGTGCCTCTTTAAAACTTTTAAACTTACTGGTGTTCACCCTAGGACATATTATATTCCCTTCCTGTGCATGAGGCTGGGTGGGTAGGCATGATGCTATATTAGATATGAAGATATGAGGTCATAAATCGTCCTGGTTTTGCCAACTCCCCACACTTGGATGCTGCACAAATCCTTTAATCTGTCAGATAGACCTCAAAACAGTAAGCCTGTATTACCATCACCTTTTATTATTTTGCCATAGTTCTTCCTAGTTAGTAACATTCTGATTAGGGTGATTTTTTATTCTCCAAATAAGTTCTTCTTTTCTTTTTCTCCCCCATTTTCTGCAAAAAGCTGTGTTCACAGGAGTGAATCCATCTCACTATTCACCACGGTGAAGAACTTCCTCAAAACAGGATCTGCTCTACCTTCTAATCTCCTTGTTTTAAAACAACATCGCAGAGTACCACATGCTGCTGCATTTCCATTTCATGCTGGAATTGTTAGCTGTTGAGGAGGAGGGACTTGAAACCCAGAGGTGATTTGAGTAACTTAAATATGAAATGAGGTTTAAATTATGTTTTGTAATGTGAAGAGCTGCACAGGGAAGTGGAACCATGACAGCTGAAGTAGCCAACTGAAATCTGCTCACGGGTGTATGTATGGGTGTATGCAAATACGGTATGTTCAGCTTGCAATAGGTAAAAAGTCAAGATCAGTTTAATTCTCTCTGACCTTACAGGAAGAAAATGCTGTGCAAAAAAAAAAAGGAAATTGAGACACACCCCATCACCAGCCTACAGAAACTACTCCTCAGCACAGGCTCCGAGTATTACCATACGTACATTGTAGACGGAGATCCCCGTGGCAGAACTGGCAGGGCTAGTTTAACATTTCACACAATGCTTGTTTTCTAGTAAGCTCTCCATGTTTCTTCTCCACAAAAGATACTTGTACGGAGTCATTTGGCAAACATATAGAAGAACTAGTAAAGGCTGTCCTGCAGCAAGATTCTGCTGTTTGTGCACAGTATCTGTTTCTAAGGAGGAAGATAAATTAGCCAAGTTGCTGGAAATGCTAGGTTTGAATGGCTTTTGCTTTCTTGCCTGAGTAATGACTCTATGTTTCTGTATGTTTTCAAAATACTTTAAAGGAAAAACTGATAAACTAAATAGCTAAGAATAACGTTTTGACCTTGTCCCTTTGAATAAAGACAGAAATATGGAAATATTCTCTTCAGCATTAATAAATAGGTTCAGCCTGCCTGTTCAAGAAACAATCTCACAGAACACAGCAGCCTCAACTTCCTTTTCATTATCTGTAGTTCAGGAGGAAGTGTACACATTACACTGCAGAAAAATACGTTAATCCATGCAGCAAGCTGAAGTGGCAAATGAAGCTGTAGCAAGACAAGGTTTGTTGGCCTTGGAGCACAATCCTGCAGCTGTCCCAGTACGAAAGATCCACTGTGTTCCACTGACCAGTTTGCAGGGCTGCAGCCCTACACGTTCAAGTAGTGATCAAAGAGCCTGGTGTAGCTCTTCAGACACACAATTAGCTCCAGTGAGACAAAACTTGAATGGAAAACAGAGGAAACCATCACATACTCTTCTGTATTCTCCTGGAGAAGCTGGCAGCCCATGTCTTGGACAGGTACACGCTTTGCTGTGTTATAAACTGGCTGGTGATGTAAGTGAAGTAAGCCCCTGCTCCCTGTTCTAGTAGAGATTGGTTGTCATCCCAGAGAGTTTCAACATCTGCATCTGAAGGAATGTTGCCTGAATGCCAGATCTCTCTTCCTCTCTACTGCTATCCATCGTAAAAAAAAAAGGCAAAGGATTTTTTGATGGGATGTTCAAGTGTTTTTTTCCTGCACTGTATCGTGTTCAACTTAAATAAATCAAAGAGGCTTCACAGAGCCAGCAGAATCTGATGCGGGGGCCTTAAGGCGACAAGTGAGCCCATCCTTCAGCACTGTTGATTCTGTCCACAGAGATCACGTAACATCGGAGCCCGAATTCCTACTGTCTGCAACACATGTACTGAAGGAATGGGGAAATACAAGCTTTATGTCATCTGAACTCTTTAGAGCTAGGCCTGTGGGTGCATGTCCGACTTCACAGGAAAAATTGCTTATTGGCACAAAAGGTACCACCAGAAACTCTGTTCTAAATGCAATACTGAGGTTACTACTGCATTGCTTTGTAAAATATTTTGCAAAGCGACCCTTGAATTTAATGCCTGTGATCTGCTTCTGTTAACATAGCACCAATGTGTATTTGTGTCACAGCTACTGCATGTGGCAGCTATTATTTAATTGGTCACTTGCATGTATGATTAATGCAACTCAGAGTTATTTACATACACTTTCTACGCAGGATATGAAAATTTTTGGCACTTATCTGTTTTGACTCATCTTCTACTTACATCTACTTACATCTGCAGCTTATTGTTAAAACTGTCACTTTCATGCTAACACACAGCTGTTTGTTGTGGGATTCCAGTCTGGTAGTGCTCATCTCACTTGTAGGAATAGAGTTTAATGTTTTGACTCTTAATTCAGATAGTGTGCTGGCTGCTGAAGAAGCCTGTGTTTTTCTCCTTTCTTAAAAGCCACACAAATCACTGTGATAGCAAATGAAATCAGCAGACTGATCTGCTCTAGACAGAAAGAGGGAGACGTCATACAGGGCACAGTTCCTACAAAAAAGGGGGGAGCATATCACTGTAGGCTTGTTTGGATGAGGAATTATGAAGCTAAACAATTTCAGGTCCTTTTTCTACTTATTCTTACTGGGGGATTTCAACTCCATATATGAACACTTATTTCCTCACTATAAAAAACTCTGCTTTGGTTTTGCCCTTTTTTCAGAAGGTTCTGCTCCTCCCATTACATGCATATTTTGAAATGCTGCCTTCTCTGGGAGGCCAAAAAGAGCTCATGTCCCTAGATAGCAAAAACCCAGTAAGTTTACGTGTAGTTTGTCTTCATCATAACTTGAGTTTTTGAAGAGGCATATTTTGGATACCTCAGGTTAACACAAACACAAATTTCTGAAGAAGAGCACTTCAGCAACAGATCTACCTTTTAACATATCAAAAGTTCCTTTTACTCAGATCTATGTGAAGCATGACTATAAGCACGTTGATACAAACATACGTCTCTCCTTACCTGTTTCACTTCCAATTAAAGGCTGATTTGCAAAGTGCATGACTAATTCCTTCAAGCTAGCAAATTCGTTAAATCCAAATTTGAATGAACTTCCTGTGTGTTCAACATGGAAGTGCTTCACAGAATCTTTTCCCCTAAAACAGAAAAGAAAAGTTGTCAAGGCAGAAATACCAAGGGCATCTGGCATGTAAAAGCCCTAAGCAGCAGCTTCCACTACAGGACATCAGATCATAGGCTGCAAATCATTGCCCTGGCAGTAATAATGCTGCTATTACTAACAAGTGCTAATAGTCAACATATCTGAGAATCAGATTTATTAAGGAAATGTAATTGCTGCTTTACAGATGAGGGATAGTGAGAGCCTAGAAAGGCCAGGTAAGTTAAACTAATTATTGTTGTCAATAAGAAAAAAGACTTATAAACAAGGTTTCCAGCCTTCTGTCAAAGCAGGATGACGCTCCTCGTTCATCTGGCTTTGGTCATGATGCTGTGCCCGTATCACTCAATGTACCTTACTTTTCATGTGTCATCCCAATCTCACTGAAAACGCTTTGTTGCTTTTTCAGTCGCAGGCTGCATCCTTTTTGCACCCCTATTAAGCCTAACTTCAGACAACTAAGGCTTTAAAATTTGTCTGCTTTGTCTCTGTCCTCAGGCAAAGGGCTCCTTTGTGGAGCTGACAGTGGGTGCTGTCAAACAAGAGCCAGGGTCCTTTTCCTGTCAGGGAAGCAACATTATTTGTTTATGAAAGCTGGTGATATTTAGAGAAGTGTGCAAGGCCTCACTTCCTGGATGGGTACTTATTTTGACTTCAGAAGTCAGTGAAGCACTTAGAGCGAGTATCTCTTCTCTGAAAAAGTTACTTCTGTTAATATTACCAGCATCCAAAGGAGTTTGGAGAAAAATCTGGCTCAGGGAAACTGTATGTAGCAAATACACAGACAAATTTTGCAGAAGAAAGGGATTTGTCTTTTCTGTTGTTTATTGCCACTTCCACAGGAGACTGAACAGTACTCAGGACATGATATTGTAGAACATGCCTCTATCAAACCCTCACGTACTTTGCCCTACAGCTCAGATACAAAGTGTGCAAGTCAAGTGCAGAGGCCCTATCTACCAAATAGCCACTACAGCTGTTTGCTATAATGACAGTTCTTATCTTTTCATTTAATTTCACAATAAATACCATGTTGCAATGAGAGTAACTTCTACTCTATTTCATTGTTCCTTTCTAGGGTTGGCTAATTTAACTGGGGAAGGGAGTTTCAGGCAGCATGTAGTCTCTCTCCCTGTTCTTCTTACAGCTGTCAGTTAAAACCCCAAGGGACGTTTGAGCACGGTTTCCTTTCACAAATTACAATAACGACTGGTGAAGTTTCTTCAGAGGCAGAAAGTAAAGTAGAAGCTGTAGAAATAATTTTAGGAGAGAAGAAAATGGCAGCTCTAACTTCCAAAATAATTCTACAAAGTATATCAGAACAAAAATGAATTACTTCTGCCAAAATGAAGTTTTAGTATTAGTCAAAAAATGCAAAGGAAAACTTAGAGTAGAAAATGGATAAATGAAGTATTTTAAAATCAATATAAGTATTTCAAGGGAGTTGTACCACCACAAAACTGATGTAACAGAGTAAAAGGCCAAGCTTCAGGCTCAGGTCTGGAACACTCCATACATACAGTGAGGTACTAAGTGACTCTTATGTCAAGAGATGAGTAGAAGAAGATTGGAACTGGCCTGAAGTAGACTTTTCTAGGTGTCATAAGCCTAGAATTTGTTAAAATGGCAAATATATTTTCATTAACACTTTAGCTTTCATTTCAAATTAGAACAACTACTTAAATTTCATTTTGTTATGATGAGTTGTTTCCTGAGTGCCTTTGAAAACTAGTTTCATGATTTATTTTTTATAAAACTGGGGTAGATTATTCCAAATAATGTTTGGTTGCATGTTACAGTCAAAAAATACTAACTAGGAATATACAGGTTCTTCTGAAATTACTTCTTTAAGGCAGGCTGTTATACATACATGCTACCATTCTTCTTTCCAACACTTGCACTCAATTCAGACATTTCTACTCTGAATATCTGTGCTGTAACATCAGCTTCAGACCTCAGTCTGGCACCCTTCAAGGTCCCTCTATAAATGGCTGTCTATAACAGTAATAACTTGAGCAGTGTGTGTACAGTCATGCTTGCTCCAGTGTCTTCTATCAGAAGTCAGTGACACAGCTGATATTTACTTTTCACACCTCAGGGGATCAGGATATGGGCAAAGTGCACTTTCCTCGGGTTCTGAGCGACTACGCTCCCAAATTATAAAAGCTCCTGGTACTACACATAGGAGGTCACAATTTCAAGGGAGAATGCTGTTCCTATCTAGCAGGGTCATGAATAACTAGCATCCTTGTATCTATTAGAGTGACTTTGGCTTAAAAAGTTACTGTGATTCAGCTGAGCTGTGGTTCAGAGGCTCAATCTGAGGCAGAAATGAGTATGAATGCAATAGCTTAAATGTTCACTAGAGACTGATAAGAACAGATACTACATTTGATCTTTTTTAAAAAAAAAATTCTAATAGAGTGTCATTCAACAGGATTACATCATTAGGAATATATATTAAAATAGTCTGGGCCTTCGAAAGAAATCTAAAGGTCATATCAAGGCATGAGATGCAAACACAGAGCAAGTGAAGACTGAAAAATGCCAGTTATGCAGCAGTAGATGAACTCGCTTCTGTCTGTACCTTACCTTACAGAGAGGGAATACAAATCTTCCCTTTCATTACTCTTCCTCAAGAGATAGCTTCCATCCTGCCCGTTGGAAAGAAGCAGGGCTTCTGCTGCGTGTCGGGTAAGATTATCGTGATACCACCTGGGAAGACAAAAGGGGTTAAAACATCATTACCTCTGCTCTTAGTTAACAGCTTCTGCAGAGTTATGGAGCTGAGTTAAGAGAAAAACGATGCCCTGCAACTAACACTGCTACAATTCTACATTATTCTTCTCACAGGCTCACACAGATTGCACAAAACTCGGCCTCTTAAGGAACCTCCTTTTGACAAGCTCAGAAAATCATTTTCGTTTTAATAATGAAAATGTGTTCTTCCACAACTTACAGTTGATAGCTTGCTCGATCTTTCTAAGAAGCCTGCAAATTCTACGTGTGTAAGCAACCAGAAATATCCAGACCTATTCTGAGAAGGTGAAAGCAATTCCAGGGGGTACGCAGGATTCCTTCTCTAATTTCAGAATCTGTACTTCCTGCTGTATCTACACACTTGAGTATAGTTTCTCTTTTGGGGCAGACACACAGCACTTTAAAATAAAAACCTCCTCCCAAACTCAGTATTTCTCACAACTCAGTTCACCTGCACTGCTACAATCTGCAATTTAGCAGATTCACCCAAACTTCAATTTTTAATTTGAAGCATGACCTTTTTTGGAGGACGGAGCAGAGGGAAGGAGCAAGGTTAACCAACAGAATTTGATAAGAAAATTTAGACAATATTGCCATCACTTCTGCTCGGCCATATGTAGTCTGAGGAATGCAGTGATGTTTCTGAACACTTGCTGCATTTAAATTCAGTGAATATTCATTAATTTTTCAACACAAAAACAATCCACAAGGAATCCACACGAAATTCTGTGGAAAAAAATCCTGCGATGAAGACCACGAAATGCTGTTCACAGCCTCGTTTCTGCCCAGAATGAGTCAAGATACAAACACCTGATTTGTTTCAGCAGAAAAGGATGTCATTGGAAACATTCCCCAGACTGAAGACAGAAAAAGGGCCACAGCTATAAAAGACTGGAGTGAGAACCCCGTAAGAGATGCTGTATGCAGATAGGAAAATGGCTACATACACACACCAGGACTTCTGGTGCAGAAGAAGGAGAGAATACAGGGTCGCTGGTACTTCTCCCCTCCTTTGTATGGGGGTGGTGCTGTTTCTCCTTCCCCTTCCTCTAAAGAAGGCTCTTAGTGTGTGCCTGTAGTTTTGGGGTCAAAGTCCATAACTATTTCAGCTATTGAAATATAATTTGTTTGCCAGCAGAAGGTTGGATCACAGCATTTTCCGGCATTTGTATCACGACAGTCTTCAAGCTGAAGTGATGTGTAACTATACACTCTTTCTCCTTATCTGTTCATCACAAGTTGCCACTGAACTTGGCATCTCCCACAAAGTTTTAACTCTGAATGTAGGCTGGCTGCCTACTTGAAAGGCCAGCTGGTTGATAAATTGCTTTATGAGAGACCTCAGACTGTTAACCCTGTGCAAGACAAGCTCTACGTGAAACTCAATACAGGCAGAGTATCGCTGCTTTGGCTCTAGGACGTGCTCTGTGGACCATCTACACAGTAGAATAAAATAATGAGTATTTAAAGATCAAAGTGTCATCCTCTGAAACACCTGTCAGCCACAATCTGCTTTGGGATTAACTGCCCAAGTAACAGTCAAAGGTCAGATCTGTTCTGATGGGATGAGGATCACAGCAGCTTGCAGGGTTGGCTGGATCTACAGCTGAGAAGACAACGCTGTGTTTTGGGTAGGATGTGTCATCATGCTTTTTCTTTCACGTCTGTGCAAAAGAAATATATTCAGAAAACGTCAAAAAAGTGGTCATTTTCATAAAGAAGGCATGTTCCGTTTGAGGTTGCTCATAAGTGTGCTGTTACCTTATTTCCAAAAAGCCTTTTATTTGGATTTTAAAACAGATGTCACCTAAGTTCATAAAATGTTCTGCTTAAACCTCTTTACACACAAGAGCAACTAATGAAATTCTGCCCCTATGGTAGCAGAGCCTGGGGGGAGTACTTGGGAAAGTAACTTTGGCATAAAGTGGGCATTTAAATCAGCTGCAAAGGTTGCACCACTCTTCTCACATAAATATGCTGTCTCAGACAAAAATCCCTCAAATATTACCACGGTCATCTTGTTCAGCTTAAAAAATAGAAGTGAATGTGAAGCAATAATGCAGCTTTCACTGCCAAAGTGGCTGTGTTACACAGCTATTTTTTCCCCTCTGTTGTCACAGATGGCTCAGTCAGTAACAACTGTCAGGTTACTTGGCTATTCCACTCTGAAAATGGTCATTCAAAATTCGTTTCAATAACATAAAAGCAGGTCCCATTTAAAAGGTCCTTCTGATCTCCTCACCCAGTCTATCTGATGACACAAATAAAAGTAAACAAGGCTAAAAAGAAACCCTAATAACCTTTTAGTTGGATACTGCTAGATGCACTTCAATTGAATTTAAGTATTTTTTGGCAGGGGAGAAATCCTTTTTTTTTTTTCTTTTTTGGAAAAAAATCTTGAAGCCAGTTCCTTGAAATTTGCAGTCAAAATGCAGGATTAAAAAGTAAATACAATCATGGTAATTTGATGAATTAGCTGTTGTATGCCGACTGATACCAAATGAACTTTTAAGATAGCAGCCTGAAGCTCAGTCTTTGTGGGTATCAAGGAGGGGAGATATGGCTCATTCAGCAGCATGTTATAAAGGGTCACCACCCTTACCTTAAGTTTTGTTTTTCTGAGTGATAACTGGAAGAGGAAACTGTAAATAGAAAACACTTTGTATCTACTTCCCTGACTCCTTAAATCAATAAATTAGTTCAAGTTGAAAGACACTACAACTACCCATCTATCTGAGGTCATTAGGAAGCTCTACTTCAAAAAGCTGAATTATCTGGTCCACATTTTCATTTTGAACGACAGCCTTACATACTGGGATCTCCCTAAAGGTCCTTCAAAAAGTCAGCTCTATTTGACATAACTTAAAGAGCTTGCATTTACTGCAAAAATTCTGGAAGTATGCTCAGTACTCTGACACGTGCCAGACTGAAAATCACCAGGAGAGCAGAAATTGTCTTTTACTCCTGACACAGACCTCTCTGAAGAATACAGGGGAAAGAAAGAAGAAAGTCCTTCCCTGACTCTGAGCCTCTTCTGCCCTTGGCCTTGCATGTGCTTGTGTTTCAAGTACAAACTTCTGGGAGGTGTTTTGTTTGTTTGTTTGTTTTTCCCAGTTACTTTATTTCTCCTATCAAAACTCCTGTACAATGCTATTCCTCCTGCTCTTCAGGGTGGAAGCATCTGCTGGGCCCATCGACAGCATGTCTTAAGGCAGGCGCACATGATACTGACATTACCTTTGTTTCTCTCTGGAAAACAACACTTTTTCAGAAATCAGACCACCCTTTAGATGAGATTTCATCAGTGACAGCACAGGACGGGCTCTGCTGTTGTCACTGTTATGACGAGGAGGGGGCAGAAGAGAGACGGTGCCCCAGGAAGCCAAAAGCCGTCACAGCACACGGCCTTCTCCTCAGGATCTGCGCACCAGCGGGACTTCCCCGTGGTGGCTGACACACCACAAACCACATCTGTACCAGCCATCTGTGCCATTAGAGATACGCCAGTCGGTGCAGGCCCAGGATAGGGCACTTTGACATGAAAACTTATTAATTTTTTGAAGATCTCTGTGTAGTTAATGCAATAAGTAGATCTCTCACCACAGCAGTGTTTGGGGTGGGAAGCTCCCTCTTCAGATAAGAACAGCATCCCCAAAGCATGCATTTGTTCTTTAATAACCCAAAATACTTCAAAGAAAAATGCTATTGAAACATCATGTCTAGGTCCCCTACAGATCAGGCATGTCATCTGCCATTTCCAATAATGCCATTTGCAAAGATATGGTATGGGTATTTTTCCAAAATGTTTCTTTTCCACCCATGGGGCTGGTGAATAAATCTGCAGTTGGCATCAGATGTATTAACTTTCTATTAATATTGTATTGGAATACACGAGAAACACAAAATCCATGGTTGACATAAGGGTAAGTGCTGAGAGACGTGGCTAATCCTCTTCTCAGACATTTCTATATGCAACTGCTTCATGTCCAGCAGCAAAGCTCATTCCTCTTCATAAAAACAACAGGTAGCTAGCAGCTGCACAGAGCACAGCAAGTTTTGACTGTCGTTTGCTTCTCATGTCTGAAGCGATGCTTAACTCTGAAGTACGCCTCGCTATCAGAAAAATGCAGTAGGGCTTATATTTTGCGTCCTTATCAGATTATGTTCCCAGGTAGTTACAGCCTGGATTGAGTCAGATACTCTTCGTACTTTTGGGTCACTTCTGTAAATGCTCGGGCAATTTCAAGTTCCTTCTCTGAAACGGGAAGGAGAGTCTCAATATTCAGCTGAATTTCAGCTGAAGCTCCCTCCCCTGCTGCAGTAGGTGCACTACTGCTTGCTCTCCGTGGGCGAGCGTCCCTGCAGACAGCACTGTGGCTGCCTGAGATGCAGGAGCCAAGCAGAAACGCCACAAACTAAGTCACCTCTCATCCAGCTCTGAAAGGGAACGGAGATACACGTCAAGGGGAGACGGTCTAGAAGTGCTCTCAGTAGGACTTCATTCCTAAATTATTCAGAGCAGCTATTATTTACCCTGGTTGCTGTTTGTTGTTATGGTGGTGTTGATAGATCTTGGCCGGTTTTGCACCTTTTTATGTATAAAAGGTATCTTCTACCACAGCAAGTTCAATTACTTTATACTTTGAAATTATATAGTAGCCTCAAAGATGTATTCCAGTCCTTAGTTTAAAGAAGTAGTATACTGCAGTGCTTGATTTATCTCCTTTGGCTGGACATGATGCTCTTCATGTGCATTTACCCCGAAAATGACTCTACAAAATGGCCTCGCTGGTTTCTCTAGTCTCTGCATGCTGCATATTAGCAACTTCAAAATCAGACATGTCCATTTCTTTTTCCTATTCAGAAACCCTAGCAATATTACCTATCACCATCACGAAGGGCTCCTTGTATATCACGTCAGTGAAAGCAATGATCTGGCAACATTTTAATTGCACGAGTTGACAGAGCTCTAGAGACCCTACAAAAGGGTGAAAATGTTAAGAGAGGAATTATAGGTGGCAGACAACCAAAATGGTATTTAATAGACATCCTTTCAATGTGTCACACCGAAACACTAAGTTTCAATGTGTCACAGTCAAGCACACACCCATGGAAAGTACTTTGCTGGAATACAAGGGTGCCACCTCATAGGAACATTAATTAAAAAATAGAAATATAAGGAAGTGGCTTCAGTGTATCCAACCTTAAAATTCACATCTTCTATCTGCAGGCTTTCACTAGTTCAGCTTCTGCTTCTCACTTCCATTTTCTCTCCTCCTTTTCTCAACTGACTTTGTTCTGTGCTTCACACATTTCTTTGGCCCACTTTCTTGCCGAGTTAATTTTGACCTTGTTTACATTAGAGATATAGATGAAGAAAAAAAAAATATTCTGACCATTTCCTCTGCCCTGGCCATATCAGTTCCTCATCGCAGAACCGAATGTTATCATAGTCTGATTCACGTCTGTGGTCTGATTTCTTTTCTCTTACTAAAACTAAGCATGAAGTTGCTCATGCTTAGACTTACTCAGTCTTACAAACACTGTTTGTCACTATATTGTCAAACCTGGAGCAGGAGAAACATAAAAACTGTGCTACAAGAGATGACAACGCTAGAGCTACAAAGGGAAGAACGCTACAAAAACCTGGCTCCCCTTCCCACATTCCTTTCACCTCTCAAAGACAGAAAATAAATCAGCGTTGCCTAACCTGTATTATGTTGGGAACAAGGGTGCATTACCAAATCAGTCTGTAATTACTTGAGATGACAAGATATTCCACATTCTCATCGCTTGCGCAAATAAAAGAACCACAGCGTGGAGTTCCCCAAAACTGACATTATACGTGATCGGCTACTGGAGTTTCACTCTGCAGTACTCAGGCTGTCCTTTTAGCAAGAGTAACAGCAATAAATGCAACTGGGAAAAGTGCTGACTCCAGGAAGAGCCAGAGAGCTCTTGAGAGAAGAATCATAAAGTCAGTTTCCTTTTCCTTTAAAACACGATGTGTCTTTTTTGACAAACTTCAAGGCTCTCTTTCAAATATTTTTGGAACATTTAGATAAAAAATTAATGAATGAGGTAACATGTTTTTAAGTTACGTTCTGGTTTTGGTCTTCCTATTCATTCAGCATTAGTTACATCTATAAAAACCCCGACAACGGAGCTGACAGGATTCTGGATGGCCACTTTGAACTCTTGGCTGCCTGACCACCAAGCCTATCAAATAGTTTAGATAGCTTCAAATAAACAAGCCGCCATCTTCCCACAGACTGAGCGACTGAAAGAAATTGTTTAAAATAACAACAAAAAGCCAAATCCATCACACTTGCTATGATGTAAAGGGCTAGAAAGTTCTTCTTTATAAATACCGAGGCTTTGCAAAACTACTGCCCAATCTAATTAGATATGCCTAGACCTCTCAGTGCCTATGATTGTCCCTGATAACAATTTGGACTGTTAAATCTCATTTCTTTATTTTTATTTTATTTTATTTATTTATTTATTTTTGGTGATGGGTGATACACCTCTAGCAGGAGCAAAATAACGATGGGGTTTGAGTATATTGATTTTTTTTTTCCTTCTCCCTTCTGCATTGCTCTTAACAATGCACTAATTACAGTGTAATTACAGGAGCATTAATCTAGACAAGCTCAGTGAATACCAGGTCCTCCAAACCTAGCAGAGTGTCTGATAGGTTTTGCACTGTACACCCAACTGCCCTGTTGTCAACTTTCCGTTTTGATAACCAGCTAACCTGGTAAACTCTTAAATTATTCTGGTACCAATCTCCTTTCCCTTAAAAGTTAAAAAAAGTGCTTCCCATTTCACACTTCTTCAAACCTTCTCCAACTTCTTTGATTTTTGCACAGCAAAGCAGAAGCTGTAAAATAATGTGTTTCATTTTTTCCCAAAGGCATGTGAACGTCAAAGTTGCTCCTCATTTGAATGAGCTTTTTCTCTGTTGGTCTTTACTATGGCAATGACCAGAGTCGGGGCTCATTTGTTCTAGATGCTACACTGGGTGTAAGGGAAACTCATCACTGCCATAGCACCAGGACTAAGGTTAAGGGAAAAATGTTGCGGTGGCTGAGAATTGGATGTTATGGGCTGGGGAGTGACATGTTTACTTCTTACAACTGAAAAAGTATTCACATTAACAAATCTTTTAGACCATGCCACCAGCACGTTTGGTGTGTGACTATTTTTTTCCTCTTTAGGGAAAAAAAAAAAAAAAAAAAGTGGACTTAGTACTACTCCCCAAAAAAGAAGTGCTTTATTTAATGATTTGAAGGGAGTCTTTGTTTGGCATTGCTTATTGAGTTCATTTAATTCAACACACTGCACTGAAGGAAATGCGTAGTATTTTGGAGTAGGGTGAGAAGTTTAGATCTTGCCCCTAAAGAAGAAGTAAAATAAAGAGGCTACAGGTTTAAAAAAAACATCTTTGTAGCTTTCTCATTTGCAGTCTTCCATTCTCACTTGTACCCAAGCAGACTGCAGTCCTATGGGACCATCAGTTAGGATGAACTTTCAACCAGCAAAGTCATTTATGAGCATAGGTCACTGGCATAGATCAGCTCAGGCCATATAGTCTAAAATAGTCTAAATAAATGAAAGTCTGGCAACTTAGAATCATGTTTTCTGCAGCAGCTGAAACTCACTTTTTTTTTTCTTTTTTTTTTTTTTTTTTCCTGTAGCCTTTTTTTTAGGATGAGAGTAATCTTACAATTGTACAGCGAAAGCAGATAATGCCCACTCTGGCTACCATTGCAAAAGTGACTTTACTTCATTTTGTAAGTTAGATGCTTTGCTAACAAGGCACTTCATTAATAGGTGCTTCCAAATATGCAAATTTACTAGCTGTATGGAGATAGTAATTCCAAGCCTTTGTATTCCAACCTCTTCACTAAGTGAATTAATCCCTAAAATAAATATTCAGTCCCCATCCGTAAGTACCCAGCAAACAAAAGTTTTGCTTTTTTCTTCTTTTTGAATGCAGAGATGACACCAGAGCCTGTTTCCTTTTTCAATATCATCACTGGTCTTTTTTTTCTGCTTTGTCTCCCCTCCAGTTTGCTACCACAGCCCCTTCCCTCCCTCGCCTTATGGTTGCCACCTCTGCTGCTCCACCAGCCCCCATTTATCCTATCTACAGCAATGCTGCCCGTGGAAAAAGCAACACAAGCCTTCCCAGTATAAAAAGCAAAACTAGCTAGAGTAGACAAAATGGGCGAGACATGTCAGACTGCCAGCGGCAAGGAGGGAATGGGATCTGTGGCAACCTGCAGCCTTCCTTTTGCTCCTGGGGCTTTGTTTTGGGGCGAGGAGGGCACCTTCCAGAGGGCTGGCGGCTGTCCACCGCCCACTCCTCTCGCTGCCAAAGCCCAAGGTGCCCAGCAAGGTGTGGAGTTGGGGTGGCCAGGGTCCAAGCCAGGCTGCCCACTGGGGCTGAGGATGCCCAGAGGATGGGCTCTGGGCTTGAGAGGAGTAAACTGACGGCCAGAAAAACTCCATCCCCTGGTCCTACATGGGGACACCAACACAAAAAGCAGCTCTGACACAGCTCCGCGCCACTCTGGAAGAGCTGTAACCCCCTGGTTATATTTGAAGCGCCTGCTTGCACTCTAGATTTTTCTAATTAGGATTTATTCCCCACCTGCTGCGCACCACCATCCCCTGTACACCTGTTGCTCTCCCGGACCCCATCACCCAACAGGGTACCAAGCCCCTCCAAGTGGGCTCATTAGCACAAACCACAGCGTTTCTAACTCCACTTTTTATTAATAAAGTTTATTTTTAACCCCACGCTTTGTCATCCAAGCGGGCACTGCCACCCCCGCGCTGCCCCCCTACCCTACCCTACCCCACCTCACCCCACCCCACCCCGCCGCCGCCATTTTGCGCGGGGCGCCCCTCGCCCCTCCGCTGCCCCGCGGGCCGGGGGCCGCCATTTCGCGGCCGGCCCCCCGCTGCTTACCCCAGGGTCCGCAGCTCCTCGTCCAGCCGAGGAGCGGGACGCGGCTCCCGGCTCTCCGTCATCGCCTCCGCCGCGCCGGGGGACGCCGCCGGCCCGCGGTGGCCTCTGCGGGGCGCTGGGGAAGTGCACGGGCGGGTGCCGGCCGCTCGGCGCTTGTCATGAGTGGTGCAGCCCGCAGAGCACCCCGGGGTGGTACTTGCTGCCCTCATGAGCGCCCGCAGTCGGTACCCCGGCGTCTTTCGTGTGCACGACGAATAAACCTTTCTTCCTGCATTTGGGTCACGTTTCATCTCTGACTTACTTGTGGTGTCCCTTCAGCTGCCCCAGTAATAGGTTGCAACTTGTTTTTTTTTCCGCATGCGGATCAGAACTGACGGAGATCCAGCATGCGTGAAAGTCCATATGTGTACACACCACTCACTCCTTACACAGGCTCTCATGTTCAACACACTGATGAAACACACTTTTATTGTTGCTTTCTGAAGCTGCTGTCCCTTTTATCTATTTGTTTTCTCAGCTTCCTGAGCACTCTTTTACACTCATAACTGCAAGTTCAGGTGTAAGTGATTTCTCCAGCGATTGTCATCCCTCTCCATGTAAATTTTAAAGAGATCATACTGGTTGCCTTTTGGAAACAGGAGTAGGAAAATATTGTAAAAGATTGTAAAAAAAAAAAAAAAAAAAAAAAAAAAAGTAATATCTAACAGGAAATTAAGTTTTATTAGATGATGGCTGAGCTCTGTGAGAGAGAAATTTCTTAGTGTTAGCTAGTGCCCATCCTTCCAAATGGTTAAAAGACTTGTTGCATACTAGAGGATGTCTGTAATCCCTAATACATCATGGGCAGCAATTATTACAGTTCTGGCAAATTCTTATCTTAATTAAACTTCTTTGCCCCACCCCCCCCCAAAAAAAAAAAAAAAAAAAAAAAGAAAAGAAAAAGCAGGGCTCTGGGGAGGGAAGACACAATGCTATTTTCCAGTCACACACCAAAGTTTTCACTGGGTATCCAACACTGAAAACAAGCTGTGTCTAGAGAAACTGATATTTCAAGTGGCCAGAACAACTGTCAATTTTCTCATAAGTAGTCATTTGAACAATGTGCTCAGTGTGGAACTAACATTAATTTGGAACAGGCTCATTAAAATCCTACTGCTCCTGATGCTCTCAGTGAATCGGTTTTGGAAAAGTTTTTTCTAGCCTCCTAAACAGGAAAAGCTTCACAGACTTGCCATACATCAGATCATACTGTCCTAATTTGCTTTGTTTTCTTTTTTTTCTTTTTTTTTTTTTTTTTTTTCTGTCACTAATTGTGCTTTTCCTGGTTGCAAGCTGCTCATCTCCTTTGCTTGACCATTCATCTCAGCAGCCAAGCGTTCAACTGTAGACAGATTTCATAAATGAGCTGTTTTTGTTTTCTCCTTCCTAGCTCTGCCTGCTTTTGCCCCTTCCATTATCACTTAATGATAGCTTGTGACCAGATATTGGATTTGCTAATCTGGTCTTGAGATCCACAACCTTCAGTTAAATAGTCGGTTTTGACATCTCCACATTTTGCTTGTATTTTTATTTTTTTTTCTCCTGATCTGAAAGCTGCTTGGTTTTCAACAATGCTTCAGTCCATTTCAGGTTATCACATTTGCTTGTGTTACTAATATAGGAAGAAAATTAAAGAGACTGGAAAGAAAACAATTAAATTCCAAACAATGATGAGCCACAACTGAATTTTAGCAAATTCTAATTATATCACAAATTGTTGTAAAAGTTCAGCTTTGCAGGCCAGAAGGTAGTTTCCAATCCTCCTTCATGTTTTATGCACCAGTGGCTGTGGTGGGAGAGGGTTCCCATCTCAGAGCAGATGCTTCCTCTTACTCTGCACCTGGGAGTGCAGTTTCCTTTTCATTTACAGAAAAAATGAAAGCAGAAACTCTCTTACAGCATGGATCAGCCTTTCCTTTAATCAAGTCCACATAGTAGTTTTTTACACACTTCAGTCACGGAAAAGATTCCCAGGTCGCATTTCCCAAAAGCCAACAGGCTCTAGCGACAGGGTATGGGTCCCATTCCCAAGACAAAATCCCCATGGATTTGTGTGTGCTTTGAGCACTGTGCAGAGCAGACCTGTAGGTAGCAGCAGTGCTCCAGCGCTTGCTGTGCAGTCCAGACTGCTGCTGAGCACAAAGCATCCCTGCGAGAGACAGCAGAATAAGGTGCCTCTTTGGAAATCAGTGTATAGTTGTTTTATTTATTTATTTATATTTTTGTCTTTTTCCTTTTTTTTTTTTCATCTCCTCATATCTTTCAGTGATGAAACCAAAAAGTGTGATTTAATTCAAGCCTTGAACTCTTGCTTGAATTGCTGTCCTGCAGGAGAAAGAGAAAAAAAAAAAAAAAAAAAAGAAAGAAAAACCCATCATTTTAATTTCAGATCATAATTAAACAAAAAGAAAACTATGATGAGGAAAATGGGGAGGGGAAAACCTATTTCCCCTATATATATAAAAAAGATAGCTTCTATTGCTGTACAACTAATAAAACTGATACAGAGATGTAAGTGCTGCAGAAGTAGAGTTAAAGAACTCCAAATACTTTACGGGACTTGACAGGAAAGAATAGAAAACTTTTTTTTTTTTCCATTTTATTTTTTTTTCCACTTTATTTTTTTTTCCCATTTATTATTTAACCTCACCTTCTAACAATCTGAGTGGACAGCTATGAACCAACTAAAACAAATACTAAAGGGAACTCCAGGAATACAGGAATTACAGAAATCCTTCCAATGTGTTCATGGACACACCAATACCTTCTGCAATTAACTTGGTTCTTCCCTTCTGAATGTGTCACAGATTGGCTGGGAGTGCTTATTGAAAAACATTTATTCTGTTTTCTTGGTTGGAAGGCACTTGATGCACTAGGTATCAACGCATTGATGACTTTTTCTTCACACATTTTGAGATGCCTGAGGCTTATTTATTTAATGTGTTCCCCATGTATGTGGCACATTTACAAAAGGTGCCAGCTAACCCAGCTTTGTCTGTGGTGTGTTCAGACAGGAGACGCAGAACAGAGGTGGGAAAAGGGATGAGAAATTACCAAGGTTCTTAGGGAAAAGGGGCTTGAGGAAGTGTTGGGCGTAAGGAGGGGATGTTCTTCCTGCAGTTTTCACTGGCCATCGCCTCTGTACCTGGAGGTCACTGTAGCCATGTCAGCGTGAGGGCTCCTTAGGTGAGGAGTGCATCCACCTAGGTGCAGCAAGGGGTGTTAACAGCCATGCCCTCCCAGATCTTTGCAGAGTTCCATCCCAAGAAGGCTGGGTACAGCCAAATCATCTCTAAGTATGATTACATACGGGATCCCAGAAATAAGCATTTAATAATTCAGCTTTTTAAATGTTCAGCCCTTAGTAAAACAAAACCAAGACCAAGCTCACACTCCCCAGCCTCTTGAAGATGCAGCTCTTGGGACCACAACTGGTTAGCGTTTCTAAACACGCCTTCTCTTGTTTGCTTAGTTCTAGGAAACACAGCTACCCTCTCAGTGAAGAGTAAAGAATTATATTTTTCTGATCCATGAACTTACACGAGGACATGAAAATCAGTACAGGAAATTTCTGATGATGATCATTTTTTCTAATCCTTGCTTGCTGTGTCTATAACCAAGAGCTAGGGCACGTATATTCTGAGATAATTGGAAATTAAATACCTGTACTCAGAACAGCTGTTATTTGCACGTGGCTCAGTTTCTAGAGGTTTGATAACGTAGATAACGATGTGAAGATTGCATGTTCCCAGTTTCAGTTCTACAAGAAAAACTTTCTAGGACCTTTCTCAATCCACTGTTCAATGCACACGTGTGCTTGAAGCCTTCAGCACATTTTCCAGGTCTTGTCACAAATGGCTGGAGTCTCTAAAGCTTCCCGTGTTAGAGCAATATTGTTCTCTCTAAGTAGAAGGTGTGTGTTGCAAATGCTTTTTCTATCCAACCAGTCCCCAAGACAATCTCAAGAAGCAAACTCGGGCTGTGCAGCATTGATCTGGGAGCTGCAGTAGGGTAGGAGACCGAACATCCTCATACCAGGAGTCCCACCAGGAATGGGATGGGGTGCTTATTTGCAGTGTAAGAGTACCTCCCTGCAGGAGAAAGACAAAACTGATGGAGATTTAGTGTGTGCTTACAGGCTTGGGTAAAAGTATCTTAAAATACAGAATGAAACTTTTTAAATTACAAAGGAGGTTGGGAAAAAAGACGAGACTAGTTTTGCTTGCCTGTTAAAGGAACTCAGTTTCATGCGCAATCTTACTACGTCTCATTTATATAAGTTTTTTCTTTTCATTTTGAAACTTGCCACATTAGCTTTATTTAGCATAAAAGTCTAGGTTCAAATAGCATACAAATTGCACTCATGCACTGGCAAACTTGCTAGCCCTGCCCCTTTGTGCCTCTACATAGGGATACAGGGACGAACTTTATGAGTAACAACACCAAGAGCTGAGCAGAAAGGAGCTCAGATAAAATTAAGGTACATCAGTAGCTCCAAAAGCATTTGAATTTTTTGTAATTTTGTATTTTAGGGTGCCATTACTGAACAGGCAGGGTACTGAGGATCTGGGTCAAAATGGGGATGTAAAGTACTTTTTAAGGATAATGATTGTAATTGTAATGCCTTTTGATTGCTGGGGAAACATGGGTTAATAGGCTGCTCACATCTGTGTAATGGACACCCAGAAGGCATCTTGCTGGAGGTACGGATGCCAGGCATTTTCCACAGCCTTGTCAAAAGCTCCGTACATTGCCAGTTGCTAATTTAAAGCTGCATATGCCCCGTGGCAGGACAAATTTATTATTATTTTTTTTTTCTAAAAAGGATAAAAACCTAATCTTAGAAAGGGTGCAGATGCTTTATGATTAATATTTCACGGACTTTAATCAGTTTAGCTGGTGTTTGATGCGCTGCAAATTCTCGGTATCGGTTGCTTCTTCTCTTACTAGCACATGGCATGAATGGCCATTTTCAAGCCAGCAGCGGTTTCATCTTCCATTCTGTGTTGAGGCATTTCAGCTACTCCAAAAACCAATACTTTGTCACATTAACACCCAGGACCAGCCACCTATCGGGGTGCAGGTTATAAATAGAGATCCTCTCCAGAAGCCCGGCCTCACCTGAGGCATCCCTCCATCGAGGCGCGAGGCCTGCGTGTGTATTGCTTGGCAGCCCTGCTGAGGGAGGAGGCCCAGCTCTGGTTCTTGCACACAGCGTGCTCTCCTGCTTCAGTGCTCCTGCTCACAGACACCAGAGCAAGCACTCTGTCAATTTTACAGAGCAGAAAGTAAAGCCCACGTAATCTAGGGAGGGCTGCGTGAAGGCAGGGC